CGCCGTCTCAACCAGGCGTTACAAACGTTTTTAGAAATCATTCAAGGAACAAAGCAATTGCTAATTGATTTTTGTTGATTGACTGATTTTCTGGTAAGACCATTTTCCTGAAATTCTTCTGAATCCAGAAATGTAATGAAAAAACGGAAAAAAATAAATGTTACTCTGCTTTCAAGCTTCTTTGGGCGTCTCATTTTGAGTTAAGCTTAAAATTAACTTACAACGCGAAACAAAATTTGCTGGATGGCGTAAACTGTAAATCACAGGGAAACAAAGACAGATAAAGAGCGCAATGCATCACAGTTTGCCAGGACCCTTAAAGCCAATTTGAAGATTTTTATAGGAATGGAGTGATATTTTGATGAATTCGGAACTCGAGAGAAGCAGTTAGATTAACAATTGCTACGTACTCAATCAAAACCAACAAAGAGTTACTGGTGTAATATGAACCAATTTTGGGCATGAAATTGTTAGATTTTGGCATTTTTTGACATTTAAATTGCTACACACAGAAATATATGAGACAAACGTAAGCAACAAAACGATGTAAAAGCAACAAAATTTCCTGTCGGTCATTGTACTGAAATTTTCTCTTTTTGATTGCTGAAGGTTGCAGAAAGTTGCATTTTGTAGAAAAGGTGAACCCAGAGTCCTACAAAATTTTGATTGATTGTATCATGTGACTATTAAAAGGAAGATAAAAATAGAAGATAATTAGCAACACTGTAATCAAACTACTGGGCCTTTTTAATTAGATCTTCTGCAAAACGACTAGGGTATGAAGAGAAACGAAGTTAAGCCTCTTGCTGGCCAATTGACTCAAAAACCGTGGAGAAGAATTACATGGATTTACATAACTTTGATTTTCTCGCTTCCTCCACCCTGCGCAGTTGTATCTCAAGAGGCAGCATTTTTGAGGAGGGAGGAGGGGGGGGGGGTAAATGCAGTAAAGAAAGGAATTGGCCTAGGTCATTGTAGAATATAGACACAAACTGTTTAGTAATCTGGTATACCTGTGTTCTGTTATCAAGCATACAATAGTTGTAGGTTATTTTGAAAGAAACACGAAATACTTTCTTGAATTAAACTAACAAAGTATGAAATATTACAATCCTGACGTGTTTCTGTAAATAGTCTTCAACTGCCACTTCCTCTAGCCTGCGAATCGAACAAATACTCGTCCTCACTGTTCTGTTTGATTTGATGAGAATAAAGTAACGGAGAAGATTGAATATATTAAAACTTTGAAAGATGAAAAAGAAAAGTAACTAAAGGCTTAACTTGAATAATTATCATAATTTGCTTTGTATTTTGTTGCCATGGTTTGATTTTGCAACTATAAGGACCCTTCATCTGAAATTGTTTTTTGTTTCGCACAACCGAGGTCAAATCACTTTATAAAAATATCGTACACCTTTGATGAAAATCCTATTGCTTCATCTGAAAATCCCTGGAAATCCTTTTGTTTAAAGGAAAATCTCTTACGCAATTTACAAGAGCAAATTATCTTTTACGCAGAACCACCCTATTGGCATAATTGAGTGCATGGAAAGTACACGCATTTTTTTGTAAGAAACAGGTTATATATAAGAAACAGTAGGCTCAATTTTTTGAAAGTTAAGAAAAAACCCCACCCAAACTGAAAAAAGCTAAGAAACTTTTATAATTTGCAGTTTTAATTTTCCGAGTTGACACTCGAAACAGTCTTGACATTGAACATCACTTTATATTGCAGCACTACACTTGACATGCAATTTGCATTCATTCTCAGTAAATTGCTCACTCAAGACGTTTCCATTTAAAAATTTGTTTTGACTTCAACTTGACATTGATGAAGTTCAATGAGCTTAAAACTGTTTACAGATTTCAACAGAGTTAGTCATTCTAGGAAAACAAAACTCCTTGATCACTTTGTTAGTTTATCTCTAAATGTGAATGAACTATTTACTTTTCCTTGGAAGCAAGTTTAAAAAATTCATTACCTAAGAAATTTCAGAAACATGTAAGAAACTTTTGATAGCAAAATAGCCAGAAAATTGTAGAAACTGCATACCAGCAACTGACCTTCGTTCTTTGGTAAAAAATTACGTGTAACGTGTAACTGCAGACAGGTAGTGCAGTGTTATAAGCTGTTGCATTCAGGTGGTGGCTAGATTTACAAAGGAAAAATATTTTAAGTTTGGTTTTAATAGAAGATATGAAAAAGATGTTTTTGAGGCATTTATTACGGTTGTTTAGAAAATAAAATAATGGAATTAAAATATTGTCACACCATAGCTGATACCTGTGTAAACTATATAACATTGTTTTCAGTCTTAATCATTTGCCTATTGAAGACAAATTGAAATACCCGTCCCTCTCTTAACACGCGATGCAATCAACACAAAAATTAGTTATCTGATCAGATTCGTGTACAGCTCCTCAAGCCATAAAATCTTAAGAGCACGTAAATAGAAGAGAGGAGCGGAGAGGCGGAGAGGCGGAGAGGCGGAGAGGCGGAGAGGCGGAGAAGCGGAGAAGCGGAGAAGCGGAGAAGCGGAGAAGCGGAGAAGCGGAGAAGCTTCTATCTGAGAGTCCTCAAAGTCTGATGGCTCTGATACAACATATTTGGGTAACATACCAATACGGTACACAACACTCTGAAGGTGATACGAAAATCATTCCGGAGTCGTTTCATTGCGTAGCGTGGTAGTGTAATCGCACGAATCCAATATACTCTGCTTTGAAACATAGCATTTTCCTATTGTGTTCTGCTCTGCTTTGAAGCAATTCGATCATTAGCAAACGATGGTGACTTCTGTGATTTCGGGCTTGCTGTTGAACATGGGCAAAACTGATGCTAAACGTTGAGGAGTGGTTGGGTGGGGGGAGGGCTAGGTATTTACCTTGCTCGAATATTTTTTTTCATTGAGACAGAACTGCCCGAATTTTGCCTGAGTAGGGAGGCTGCAGCGTTGCTAGCCCCGATATCTCCTACGCTTATGCTGTTGAAAAATGCCCAAAAAATCGTCCTACATTTTTCGTACTTAGATTTAGCTCCTTGCACAATTTCGCTTTCTGTGCTGGCAACCACTTCTCTTCCAATCACTGGGGTTGTTTTTGCCATTTCATACAGTATTTATTTAGAACGGATTCATAACAGCACATGACTTAACAGCATAAGACCAGATCATCAAACAATTAGAAATAATGCAGTTAAGGCATAAGATTGCAAAATCACACTGCATTGTGGACCGGAAATTCTGAGGAATGCCGTCGTGTGGGCAATTGGAGCGTCGTAGAGTAACTGCTTCCCCAAATATCTTTCTGGAGTTTTAGTTACTCGGCTCCGCTCTGCCCCGATGGCGATTCTGTTACCCGTATAGTTCTAAGGGTCATTATCAAGATAGTTGCATTATTTGAAACTTCTGGCTTATTCTTTGTATCAGAGAATAATTGTGATTGGCTGCGTAAGGAATTGCCAAGGGGGATTTCTCGTCTAATTGAACCAATCAATTGTTAGAAATGCAATTTTTTATGCTTTTGGGAAATCATATATCTTTTAGATATATGTGAAGGAGGCCACTGGGCACATTTCCACTGTTTGCTTTTGCAATCACGTTTTTTATGAAATTTTTGCCACTGATGAAATGCAATATCATTGTAAACTTGTTTACTTTCAACGATCATTCAAAATAACACGATTCAAAGACACAATCAAAAGTTACATGGTTTATGCATATTAATATATTACAACTTTTCCCTATTGTCTTCAGTCTATCATACACGAAGAGCACTTAAAACCACAAAGTTACCTAAATTTGTATGGCAAATAAAGAGAAGACGAGAGAAGAGATAATTTTTGTGTCAATAGCTGATAAAAAAGGAAAGGGCAAGTCTAAAAAATCTACATAATGTCAACTCTGTTTGGAAAAAACTTAACAAGAATTCCATCTTCAAAATATTGATAATTCGTAGCTTAAGCTTACAATGACCAAGCTTCAGCATTTTCTATCAAGGACTTCAAATTTAAAAGGAGGATTATGGATTTCAATTTTGATTATGCACCACCTTTTTTCTAGGTCTAAGCATAAAATATAACCTCAAAAGTTTTAGTGGCGTCATCTTTCATCCTACTTAACTTTTTAGAGCCTCGCAAAATGATTTGACATTGGCCCGGCTAAAGAGTTTCAAAGTGTCGGCTCTTTGATAATGTGTTTTTAGAGCTGTTGGCATTCGACCCCATAACTTGAAAAACGCCATGACATAACTAATATGTATACATAATAACACATAAAATTGTACATAATCTGAAATCTAGCAAGTGAAAGAGCTGGGTTTTGCCAATGGATTACTGCCGTTACATCCTTGTTCATAGATTCTAGAACCGAAGCAAATTTATATTCTAGAACCGAAGCAAATTTATATGGGTTTAACTGGAAATGAACCGCTGACCATATCGGAGGCCGAACAAAGGCTTAATCTTTTTGTATGTCAAGTTTCGACTCATCTCGTTAACCGTCTGATAGTCAAATAAAAAAGGAACTGTCAGGTCATGGCAAAAAATGTCCTCATATTTACCTGTTTACCGCTCGCAGTGCTTTTATTGATAGCTGATTCATAGAGCACTAAGATTAGAGAAAATGATTGGATTGCTGTTTGCAAAGAATAGCAAACAACCAAAGAAGTTTTCAAGGATGTTTTCAGATGATCAAACAAACAGGTGCCTGTTTGAAAAATGATTTATCTTGAAATTAATCAATTTCGAGCCCAGAAAGTGTTATACCGCAAGTCCTTTTACCAAAAATGATATTCTTCCTAAGTTTTCGAAGCATAACCTTATAATTTACGTACAGTTCGAATTTATCCTAGCTGCCATCGATCACAGTAATTGAGGCCGGCTTTCATACCTTTTTACAGGAAATTTGAGGCAGCACAAGTACGCCTGAAGCCTGGTTGGCAAATTTTTAAGAAATGCCAACGTTGCTTTTGCTTGGGTACCAAGTAACCTGGCTGAGGACAATAAATGATTATAAAGCCAGATATTAAGAAACTGTACCAAAACTTAATTAATAAAAGAATGGTTTGTCCAATCATCAAAATGCTCGAATAAACACAATCTTGCAGCTGGCTCTTTATAGCAACTGCGTTCCATGTAGTTGGTCAGCGTATCCACGGAGATTTGCCATGATTTCAGATGGATAATGTAAGTCACCCGTTTCGCTGATAGAAATTAAGAAAAATAAGAAACCCGTTGTATGCATTCATTGACTTATCCACCTGCATTACTAGAGAAGACTTTGAAAGTAAACAGTTCTAGAGAAGCAAATCAGATTAATGCATGCGGAATTTTTGAGAACTTCCTAAGCTGCAAATTTGACCAAAATTTACATTATAAAGAAATAGTCTTCGCTATGAAATTTTAATTCGATAGAACAATTTTTTTTCAAAGAATATGATTCCTCTGCTTCAATGAGTCAAATGTACTTAATTTTTTCCGGCATCACCCTAAAAAGATCCTTTATTCTAAATCGAGAATAGAATACTGGATCAAATATTGCGTTGTCTTCAAATGTTTCTTCTATAGCTTCTTCTTCTCTGGCTACATCCCTTGCATATATCATATATTAATGTTTTAGCTAAATGCGTCGGGTCAAAAAAGCTGCAAAGTACAGGTGACCGCTCTTTTACGGTTGTGCTTCAACTGGGTTCATTCTCGGTCTCCCGCACCTTCTCCAAACAATTTTCAATATAAACAGTTGTCCTTAAAAAAGTGCAGCTATTGTATTCGCGAGACCTTGTAATCGACTACATTGTAAGTGGATTGTTTTATGAAGACCAGAAAATTGCTCTGGAAACTCTCGACATAAAGACAGACGCCACCCCCCTGACAGGAAAATTCATCTAGGAAGTATATCTTTAATTGGAAAGAGTCTTGATCGACAGCGTTGAGTGAGTTGCCACTTGTTCATCGCGATGCTGCGAGTAACTTTGGTTTGCTTTTCATGTTTGAGCATTCTATCCTTGAGTAATTGTCAAATATCAAGGCTATCATGCCGGCGCAGTGGAGCATTTGAAGTTAATAAATCGGACCAACGGCAAAGCAGAGGGGTCATAAAGAAGAAGCTAGTACCATCTCTCCTTTCTTGCCATTCAGCGTGCACTGCAACAAGCAACTGCGACTCGCTGAACTTTCAAACAGTGAAATCGCCTCAAGGTCTGCACGAATGTGAGCTTCTCAAAGAAGGCATCGAAGGAGAAGAATGGGAAAATTCGACAGGATGGTATCATTATGTGCCAATACAAAAAGTAAGCTTTATTTTTCTTATAATACCGCTTACGAATCAAACCATTAAAGTAGCGGTAGAAGAATTCGTGATGATGTAGGATTTGAAGAAAGTCGTATTGGAAATACATCCAGTCCAGAGTAAGTTCTCTTTGCTGAAAAGTTGATCTTGACGATGTTTTTCATGATACATCGATCTGATTCTAATAAACTAATATTTTTCGTCATTTCCTCTATCAAATTTAAGTATAAAATACCTGCAAATGACAGAAATGTTTTTCAAAGAATGATGGAAATATTACATGAAACTATACGAGAACCGTTAAAAGGTAGTCAGTAGAAATATCTTTGGCTCCAAACCATATTCTTGTGAATCGCAAGCAAATTTCTGGAAGATAAGATGACTCTTCGTTAAGAAGTTGATAATTTATGTGGCTGATTTTCAGAATTCCATTAAATGACATCACAGTAACTGTTATTTTTCATGCTTATCCTGCTACCAAAGATTTAGTGTGTGATACCTTCTCCTTTGAAAATGATCTCTCGCATCCTTCAGCCAGGACCATGCTCGGTTAGCTATTGTTTATGTTTTCATTGCAAACATTTGGCAACAAAAACAATATACAAGGAAGGCATCCATGTGGAAATCCAAAGCGAATCTTGTTGTAGTTACTCAAAATGCTTTACGTTAATAGCAATCTGCCCCTATCATGGTCCTCTAGCTAACTGCTGCTTTTAGAAACTCGAATTGCATGTTTATTTTTGACAAAAACCTCTCAATCTGATTTGGATTCAGTTTAAATAGTCATGGTCTAGAAAAAACTATTGTGAACAAGAGGCAACAGATAGACTTATGACATTGATTTTCTGATGATGCTTTATGATGAAGGTCAACGTGTTGAGAAGCCTGATGAAATTGGCCTTTAACAGGCACTTTATCTTGATAAGCCCAAAACTAGCCGAAAATATTGAAACCAAAGATAGCGATGACCCACTGAAGTACCTACCCAGCAAAGAACTGCCGGTTGAAACTAGTTTTGAATTTCAAAGGGTTGATCCTGAACTCATTGAAAATGAGATCAATAAGTTAAAATGCTCTAAGGCTGCAGGGCACAATAAAAAATCAGTAAAACTAATGAAAGACGCTGCTGATATTTTATCTAAGCCATAAGCAGCTATTTTCCATTTTCTCTCTTGAAAGCGGTGTTTTTCCGAACATATGGAAAGTAGCCAGGGTAACATCAGTCTTTAAAACCGGATCGAAAACTGATTTGAACAACTAACGGCCAATATCCATACTCTCGATATTCTCCAAGCTAATCGAGAAAATCGCACATGATCAAGTCTCCACCTTTCTGAAGGAAAAAAGCATGCTCTCCAAATGTCAGCATGCATTTCGAAAGCTGCACAACACGTTGACCTCATTACTCAATGTTACTGACTCGTGGTTCTCAAATGCCGATAAACGAAAATTAAATATTAGCATCTTCCTTGATCTAAAGAAGGCATTTGACACTGTGGATCACAAAATTCTGCTCTCTAAGTTATCTAAGTATGGAATAGGAGGAACCCCACATCAGTGGTTTACATCATACCTAACTGATAGGATACAATACTGCCAAATCAATGGTTCCAGTTCGCAACAAAAGAAGGTTCAGTGCGGTATTCCCCAGGGTTCGTGCCTTGGGCCCCTCCTTTTTATCCTATACGTAAATGATTTTGAGCGATGCTTAGAAAAAAGCTCAACAAATATGTATGCAGATGACACTAGCATAACAGGCTCTGCAAAAAACATCGAGGAACTGTGCAATGATTTAAAAACTGAGGGTGAGAATATTGCAGAGTGCATGCGGCAAAATAAGCTTAGTCTGAACACCAATGAAACTGAATATATGGTCATTGGTCATAAAAGACGAATTAACCATATCCAGGGGGAGATAAACGTGGAAATAAATGGAGTGAAAATCCAACGAGCCCATGAAGTAAAATATCTCGGAGTCACTATCGATGAAAACCTATCTTGGAACAAGCAGTACAAGAAGCTTAAGTGTAAACTTAAAAGTGGTCTTTCTTTGTTGAGGAAACTTAAAAACATACTCCCACTGTCGAAATTGGACCAGGTTTACAGGGCACTTTTCGAGAGCCATCTAAGATACGGTGATGAATTATGGGGAAGTCTGTCCGCTACAAAGCTTGAACATCTTCAGCGTCTTCATAACGGGGCTCAAACATTGATTGAAAGTGCCAAATTTGAGGACAGGTGGATTTGTAAATGGCTTTCAGTTTCGAATCTAATTAAATATGACAGGGCCATAATGACGTACAAAATGATGAATGGTCTTTGCCCTGACAGCCTTAAAGGTAAATTTATTACTAGATCAGAGATATCCAGGTATTCGACAAGGAATCAGCTTGATATTGACATCCCAAGGCAAAATTTGGAATTCTCAAAGGGAAGTTTCTTTCACTCTGGGGCCAAAACATGCAATGAGATTCCAAGAAACATCGAAATGAGCCCCACAATTTCCATGTATAAAAGAAACTTGAAGGGATTCCTGCAAAGTTAATAAATTCCCAAAACAAAACACGATCCCTAGGTAGAACAGCAACACCTTTATTTTATATATATTAAAGAAGTAATTGTAATAGAAGTAGTTTATTTATATTTGTATTATAGCTGATAGGGAATTCGTGTATAAAGATTTTTGAAATGGAATGAAAAAAATTTTCGAACTTTCTCATGATAAGCAAACATTAATACTTTATGCTTAAAAAGGAAAGACCACGGTAGTACAATGCTCGACGGACACCAGAAGAATGTTTACGTCAAAGTCGGTAAAATGTTATTCAAGATAATTAACATTTGGCGCCGGCAAACGGGAATTCACCAGAGTAAAAGTGGATAAGACCAAACTCCTTTTTGGCCTATAATCATGGGTGTAGCGGATACTAAGGGTTTAGGGGGCATAGTCCCAATCTTGTCCGAATATCATTTTTTCGTTGTATTAAAACAGCCCGAATGGATCCTGAAATGTGATAACTTTTGCCTGAAGCCCTTCCAGCCCGTGTCTCTTCCGCCTATGAATATGACGTCACCGATCCACCATAGACGAGTGGGCAAAATGAAATGCTGCGGGATATTGAAACATACATTCGATACGATTTTATCGAAACTGAAGATAACCTTTGCGTTTCCACGCCAATAGTAGCTATGGTAACTGCAATCAAGCAGGTGGAAAATTGAAGTATCTGAAAAAACTATGACACAATTCAAAAAAGTAGAAGGATATCTGAGGATAACAACGTTTGATAACAGTTTCTCAATTCAGTCATTTGTAACATCAAGAATCGTTTTTTATAGGATTAGATTCATGAAATGAGGAAGTAATAGAAATCTGTCTCAGAGTTTTTCAGGTAGAGCCATACAGCCTTGAAGAATATCAAAGCCAGTAATGTAGTGCTTTCAAAATAACAAGGGGGGCTCTTTCATCTTCCATCATAACCTATTAATCTAGTACGAATCTTGTTGATCAAAGACAAAGGCATGATCACTCTCATTGCAACATTGCTCAGGTAAAGTTCTTGATTGATATTGATTGACATGGGACTTGCCTCTCTTAATTAATTGCTGTATCCACAGTTTGTTTTGGCTGTAGTTTTCTGGCGTTCATCCTCAGAAATCAGCAACTTTTTTAATGTGCTTTTTAATTTTGATTATAAAATGCATGTTCTTAATCTTTGTATTGGCCTTTATCTTTGCGATTCTTTTGTTCGAAGTCTTAGGAAAGGCAATTTTCAAAAAGAAATCCGAAAATTGGATTTGTTTTTCAGATCATATTATTTCAGCTGGAGTTTCTACTTCATTTGCAATGTAAATTCAAAGCATGCAAAATCAAGACGCTGTGTTGATCGATAAATTTTACTACATTTCTGGGACTTTCATCCTCTCTTACACTTCGAGGACGACTCTGGGGCACTAGATACTAGCTGAAATGGGGCGTCTTGATTCGGGGGTTAACATGATAAAAGAAAGATTACCGAAGTAATGACATAACATCAATTTGATCAATTATACCAGAAAAACAGAATGAAATGCCTCTAACTGTGCAAAACAAGTTGAATGTGCTACAGACTGCCTGAGATATGGCCACGTAAGCAGATGCTCTTTCCCCATCAAACCTCTGTAATTTGGTCCTGGCTGTAACCCCATCAACTAGGCCAGAATAACAGTAATCCGTTAGCAAACTTGAAATCTTTTATTGACCATATATCAACCAATCTTGAACATATCTAACTAATTTTGCAGGTATTTGATGTTGTTCTTTCAGATTATATGGTCAAAATTAAGAAATTTTAAAAACAGATTTCTAAAGATCGGTACTCTATTGCCCCACCATTCCACGTGACCTATAACTGTTCAGACAATAGACCATTGTCTTGAAGTTGGTGAAGTTGATCCCTAAGAAGCACTTATGAACCCTCCAAGTCTGCACCTGATTCAGCAGCCTTTTTGGCTGAAAGTTAGCCTACGTGCAGCTTATGAATTGGAGGGTTTTTTATGTCACTTCAGGTTTTCCTGGCAAAAGAGGTTTGAAAACATCACAAGTGAAATAAACTATCAAAATACGCTGTTTTAAATGCTTCTTTATAAGGAGTGTATATCCTGCATCTGATGAACAGGCTTAAACCAATATCATTGTATGATACCAATTTTATATTTTTCTTTATTTTGTTTTCAGGTTGCTAGCCGATGCCAACTTGATACCTGTCCAGTTGGTCATACTTGCATTGAATCGTGCGAAAAACCAGAGGGATATGCCTGTAGTAGGTGTCATTTGCATTTCGTCTTACAATTGTATCAGTTTTTGTAGACTATTTGTGTCATGTATGAAATTATAGGTTCGTAGATTAAACTATTTTATACTATAGATGAATATATTTCATGCTTTTTCAATGCTTTTAATGTAAAATGACTTTTATTTCTAATAAAAAGCCGATATTTTTATTGAACAAGAGGAATCATGTCAACTATGCAACAGTACGGAAAGTACCTGGAAATCGACGTGACGTCATAGAAACGACTAGATACCCCATTACTGTGTCAGCCAATCTTTTTTGCTAACCATTTTCAACTTCCTATTCAGAACACGATCCATGCATGAGTGAACCATGCAAAAACAACGCAACATGCAGTGCATATGGGGAAACTGTTGTATGTCAATGTAAACAGGGGTTCGAGGGAACATTTTGTGAATCAGGTTTGTTCGTCCAATGACTACGTTGTATAATTTATTCAGATCTATTGCAAATTTTCTAATTGATTTTTTAATTCAACAGTTGCTTTATAAATAGGCTTATAATATCTTGTGTATACTGGTAGCAATGTCAACTTTGCTCAACAATTGAAAAGAAAGCATTTAAACTACAGATAATGACGGACTTCACAAAAACAAACGTCGGAAGAAATTGTGTTCATTGAATTTTCATTTTCTTTAAGACTATGCTTCAGATTTGAAATGAAAATGTTTAACTTGAGTTGAAATTTAAACATTGCGAACTCTCTTTCAGCGCAAACCTGTTCATTTGGATGTACCACACCAGTTTGCAGTAACTTAGGTAAGCAAACTTAAGTAAGTTGAGGTAAACACAATCTATCGCTTTCAGTGCAATGCAGCTCTTTGTCACATGTCAGCTTTACGCTGCTATTACAAATCATGTTAACCTTGCAGGAGAAGGAGTGGCTTTCACAACCCAAGGCAGAACTGGCCGGTCAGGAGTCGTCCAAACATACACAGTGCCAAAAACAGCAACATATGAAATCAAGGTGGCAGGGGCCAAAGGTGGAAGCCATTTGACTAATTATGGCGATTTCCCAGGCCTCTTTTGTGGTGGCAACGGAGCACTAATGGTCGGGGAATTCAATCTCAATGCTGGGCTGGTACTTCAAATCGCCGTAGGCCACCGTGGAGGATATTCGGTAGAGGTGCAAGGCGGAACAGTGACAACCAATACGGCAGCCTCGCTTGGAAAATCAGTCGAAGACAATGCAGGGACTGGCGGCGGAGGAGGAAGCTTTGTTTACACCTCAGCAAACGAATTACTTATCGCTGCTGGAGGTGGCGGAGGAGCTTCCAGTGGCTGGAATGGAGTAGATGGCAGCCGCTTTGAGAATGGGACAGACACCGTGGGGAAGTCTGAAACGCAAAAAGGAAGAGGAGGTTCTAATGGCCAGCAAGGAGCGTGCTGCAACACTGGAAGTTATCCAGGAGGAGTGGGCGCTGGATGGCTGAGTCAAGGAGTTGCCAGAACAAGCGAGTCGCACGGCGATCGAGGCGGATCAAGGTTGCAAACTTGGATAGGTGGCCTGGCAGGCAAAATGAATTCTGGCAATAACGGTGGTCCCGCTCCAGGGGCGGTAGGTGGATTCGGGGGCGGAGGGGGAGGCAGTGAAGATAATGGTGCATCAGGGGGTGGAGGAGGCTATTCAGGGGGTGGGGCTGGCACACATTCTAATCAAGGTGGGGGAGGTGGTGGCTCCTATTGCAGCAAAACCTTAGCGATTGCAAACTCCTGTGTTGGTATCACTGGAGGAAACAAGAACCATTACGGATATGTCGTTATAAAGGAAGTTCCATAGCCAAAGTAGCTACACTGAGAGCCAAAACAAGAGTGCTCCGTCTACCTCTGCTGTTTTTTCAATAGAATGTTGAAGTAAAAGAATGTTGCCAAATGACTGTACGGCAAAGCCTTATTATCTTAAGTGGTGGGGAGAGTGCTGAGTAAACACCCCACTATAAAAACTTAAAACCTCGTAACACTATCTGAAAAATGGTACAGCCATATCAGCACTGGGCACTCCACTTATAATGTAATTAAATGTAGGGTCGTGTATTCTTTAAAGCTGTGACATTTCTTGTGGCATAAGGTGCTAGCTGTGAAACTAACTATGATTGAATCGGATATTGTTTAAATCGGATTCAAAAATCACATTGAATGGAAGCAACTGTACCGCTCTTAGACCAGGATGTTGGGTCACGTTGATTAAAGGCAAAATAACTTTATATCTTGATAATGACGTTACAATTGTTTTTGTGATGTTTTTGTGATGTTATCGCGATGTTTGTGATGGTAAGTAAGATGCATGTAAATTATAGCTGCTCCACTTGTTAAAGTCTTGTTGCTATCACTAAAGACATTTCTTGTGGCATAAGGTGCTAGCTGTTTTCTTTTAGTTTTGTATTAAAGTAATATTAGAGTAATTTAAGAGTAGGGGCAGTGGCGCAACGCAGTTTAGGGCACCTTATTTCGATAACTAAAATGGGTCTCCCCCCCCCCCTCCAGATTTTTTTTACATCCATATTTTTAAGATCTCACTCAAGTTCAGCTCATTTTCAAAAACTTCAAATTCTTAAACTGAAATTTCTATAACTTAGCTCTCCCTAGTTTAACGATAACAAATCATCGTTTTTACACCCTACCCTTTTTAAATATGCTATAAAGCATTGAATGGGACTTTCTTGCAGTCGGGGCTTTCTTGCAGACCCCGGCTCAGCTTTTTTCTTATAACCCAAGATGCCTCCGTTATGCCTCTGAGAAAGGAACTACAAATATCAACAGTATTTAGTGAGAGAAATTCATACCAAGACATCAACTGTCACGATATTAATGGAAATGACTCCATTTTTATTTCCCTCTTTGAGTGATGAGTTATAAAATGACCCGATTTTAAACTGGGTAGACTTTTTAGGGATTAGTGTTTTTATTAGAAAATAAAGTATATTCGGGATCACTTGTTCTGTAAGAGCAAAAGTATTATGGTTCAGAGTAAAAATAAATCATTTCAGCATCTTCCAACGCCCTTCTTTTCCTTCCGTATTTTATGTTCTGGTATGAAATGCTTTGCCTTGCAATATCATCTTGCAATAAACGTTTTCTGGTCGAATTCTTGAAATAATGTTAATGTAAATAGATTCATGTTGATACCCTCAATACAAAAACTGTTTAACAGGAGTATTATCTTATAAAACTCACTACTGTGCAACTTTGCTAACTCTGAGAAAACATCACAAAGCCTTGGTTCAACAAAGCCTTGTTGGGTTTACTATGACGTCGTGTTGTGTTGTGCGTTTTAAGTTATTTGTGATCCCCGATACTCTCTAGTGCTCCAGCTTTTCAAAGCCAAGGAAGATGTGCCTGTCTTGGTTTAGTGCAAGTGATCAAGTAAGAAGTCAACGTTTTGTTTACCATGCCACTTTCCCGGATCCGAACGGAACGCAAAATTTGAACGGGACGCAAGTTTTGATCACTTTAACGCTGGGGCAAGAACAAGCAGAACAGCCACACTGAACCTTAACTCCTGGGAAACAGACCTCGCTTGGGTACCAGCATGACAGCATTGTTGTAAAAAGGGCGCCGATTGTTGCCGATGCCTTGGCGCATTCAGATTCTCCCTTGTGTAAGCACGAGATCCCACTCTGTATTGCTCCCAAGACAAGCTTGTAATCACACGCGCACCTGTTCCCCTGTGGTAAACATCCGCTCGGCCCAGGACCGTATTCTAGCAGGCATCTGCAATAGAAAAGGATTACAACATTTTTTTAAGAAACACTAAAGCTTTATACCTGACACTCTTTAGAGTATAAAATGTCAGAATAATGATAGGAAACACTTTTTGACAGTTCGGAACAGTTGTCTGTTTATCGTATTAAGCGTGAATCTCAGAGCTGCATTTTAGAACCGTCCTGTTCTTTAAACCAAAGTGTATACCAAATTGTGGATCGACCGTTTGAAAATATTACCAATGGTGTCCAAGAATGAAAGTAAATATCTTCTGTCTACACAAAAGCGGTTTCTATTTTTATGTAGAACATCATAACTTGCAGAAACTAAGGGCCTACTCTGCTTCCACTGTGTTTGATAAGCGAAAAAGATCCAGGGACGAAAGCAAGTGTCTAATTTTGGGGGGTCGTGGAAGGATGAAAAAGATCGACACTAATTCTACAGTTTAACAGATCACAATCATGCTCTTAGCAAGCATGAATGTTTCCCATGATTCGAACAATGAATTAATACAAAACCGTTGCAATTCTTCGTATCAGTTGAAAGTAATTTTCCCTTTCTATTCGTATTTGCAAGATAATCTTCAAAAGTCAAAGTTGATGATTCATAGATTGAAACGATTATTGTATATATAATCTTACGAATAAGGGATAAGAGTGATGACAGCTATCAGCAACGTGCACGAAATAAAGTGGAACTTTGAATGTCAGAGGCCAAGAGACCTTAGCATGACAGAATAAAGGGATAAAATCAAGATTAAGATAGGGTTTTTACCTATCATGCTCCATGCAATGTTCGTCGATACCGTCTATTGTAGGATTACAATTCTTGCATGCTTCTGAGACCTTATCATACGGTGCCTTGCACACCCCTCGAGCATGCTTGCAATGGTTCTCGAAGCCACCAGTGTATGCTCCACACCAGTTGCCATGCGACCATCGCGTAAACTTGTCCATGATGCTCCTCCGCATCCTACCCAGATGCGCAGTTGTTACGTTAGTGGCATTCAGGTGTCTAATGAACTCCTGTACTTGCACAGCCTGGTCTTCGTTAATATTGTCCAATACTGCAAGCAAAAGGCAGGCCTATAGGTATACTTGAATTATCATTTCCATGCTCTATGTTTCACAACAACTTACTTAGATAAAATGATTAAGAAAAGGGTCAAGCAATTTCCGCAAACCCATGCTAAATCTTAAAATTATTGGTCTGTAATGTTTCCTGAGGCTCTCGCATTCCGAGTAGAAATTTGAAAATGTAGATATTTCATCGGGCAGTCACAAAGCTGATGTTGAACAATGCAACTATGGCTTTTTTAGCCTGCAACATAGACCTCAGTATGGCTTTTTAAAATAAGAAATGTTTCTAAAGCGATTCAGTTTCGAATTTCATCTCTCATAATCGGAGGACCACAATGATCAATGCTCATCTTTATTCTGCAAAAATTGACACCTTTTCAATGCAGCTATGAAATGGTTTGTCAAAGAAACAGGCGGTTTCTTCTACAGCATTCTATCATTATCAAAATGTAAGACATGGTTTTGTCCTGTTGTCGTCTTTAGTATTCAGATGCTGCCGTTCGGTCTCTCTCACTAAATTTTGTCTTTATGAAATTAATAACTATGACGATCATGCTAAAGTTCATATCACGATCTTTGCAAAGGAAAATATTCTAGTTTGGTTTCATACATTCATTGCTTCAGAACTTTAATTTCATGCGAAGAAAATATACTTTTCAATAATTTTTGTGATTGGTCTGCTTTACTTTTTTTGTTTTGCAAACTCTGAAAAACGTCAGGTAATTTCTTGCATTTTATCTGTCGCAAATCACGTCGCAAATCTAGCTATAGATATATAAGGAACCAAAATAATGATAGACCAGCTCTAGATAACAACGCTCACTTTATATAGCCTTCTTGTTAAGGTTATGTGATTATTTTATTTGAGACTTCACTAGGTGTATTGGATGAAGCGGCACTGTTGCAGAAAAAGAAATGACAGGAACAAAAAGAAACATAACTTCTAAACGTACACATTTTTGATTGGTTGGACAGGTAGAAGGCATCTTCAATTTTGTTTGTTTGTTCTTGGTAATCAAAACATTTTATGGCGTCGAGGTCCTCCAGTGCTATGTTCCTTTTGGACATTGCATGCAGTGACATGTTAAATCCAATCCCTTTGTAAACCATCTAGAAAAAAATGAAGAATCATTTCTTTTACAAATCATCTAGAAGGCACACAGTGAAAAAAGCCAACTTCAATCAAGATTTTCTTTCGTAACTTTGCATCTATAACGTCCTGTAATCTGCAATTGGCTCATGAAAATTGCTCTAACCATAAAAATCAAGTAACAGAATGCTCATTTGATTCATTGAATGAAAATTTGTATGGTGCCTATTGGTAAGGAGAAGTGCTGCAAAGCTTGTGATTTTATATCATCGAGATGCTTGATGGTTTGCCTATGAAACATACTTCTAACCTTACTGTTTCGCTACTGCCTCATTTTACGGACGCTACGACAGAATTAGCGTCCGTGAGGTGAGACAGTGAGTAGCTGAACAAAGGCTCGTGGAGTAAGTCTAAACCTCACTTACAGTCTGAGTCTCGTTTCCATCCGGCACCAAAACATCAGCTTCAGAATCATCGCCAAAGCGAAGTCGTTGCAATACCCGTTGTTTGACATCGTCAGGAATCTGCATCAGGGGATAGTTTGTTTAAGTGTATAGGCCCAACGGCGACACACATGAATCAATTTTAATGGTTTCAAAGAAAAATTTGCACACAAATTTTAATGATTATCAAAAGGCAGCAAAAATATTATTCAAATATATTGGTCATTGTTGCTTTGTTGCTTATAAGAAGCTTTTCAGTTCCTTGCTCTCATATCTTTAAATGTTGTTGTTGCGACTACTTTATGAACGAAGCTAAGCTGAAAGGAATTAATGCTAAGCTATTTAATATGTCGATTTTTATTGTCAGGATTTAATGATTTATCTCTGGCTTTCCAGTGACTGCGAAGAACGGAGATGACGTAATTTAACTCAAAGGTATTATGTTTTAGCTTGTCAAAAGCCAAATTATTGACATACATCCTTACAAAGCAACTATTGAAAAACAAGCATCTAACAAAGCAATTTTTAAATTTGCACCCTAGGCACATGATTCAAGTACTCTCAGCAGAACTTTTTGACAGTGTGACAAGAACACCGCAATATTGGTGCACCTGTTCCTAAACGTCATCAAAAGATTAGACTTAGTCAGTACAGGGGGGAAATTGGACATAAAATATTAACGAAGCAATTTTAGGGCATTTGATCAACAAAGAACAGAGAATCAATCGTCTTTAATTAGTTAAATGTACGATTGCAGGATAAGGTAGGTAATAACATGATTATGCCTCAGGAAATCAACGTTAAAAGCACATCGGCATTGAGAAAACTGAGCGTACAGGGTGATTATATGCCTGCAGAGGAAACTCGATGTGTTCTGAGCTAACAAGCAGCGTTGTTGGAAAAACGCAATTCATATCAGGAGATCAGGGCTCCACTACCATTCCAGTTGCTTCCCGTTCAGTACTTGATATAAATAAAAGACATTTCAGTTTCCAAAGCCTCCAGTTTTAAAAGTATATGTACATAAAAAACTCTTTTACTTACAACAAGTCTCTCTGTACAGATACAGAAATTCATAAAAATTTAACTACATTTATAAAGGAATTCATAAAAATTGAGCTACCTTTTCATTGCGAGCATGCTTTAGAAGGTCCTTTGGAAGCATTTCTCCGGTCAATGTCGTCTTCAGACATTTTGTTGTTCCATTTTTACCAGGGATCAAGAGGTACTTTTTTTTCTTTAAGAATAAAACAAAGACATCGAGTATTCAGCAAGAAAAAATCTAAATAGCTCTTATTCATTAATCACATTTCATCGACAAGATTGACTGACTATTTTGGGGATGGCTCAACTCTAATTTCTCCATTCCTTACAAAATCATTTGATTGTGTCGTTATAAGAATATATTTAACGAACTCGGTAAAAGAACAAAATCATCATATCATCTTTATTGAGACTCACATTTCCAAAATCCTGAACTACAATCTTTTTTATTTGGGGGCCATTGTTTTCAACCGAATTGACGTCACGGCGGCCTCTATTTGTCCCATCATGCCTTTCTTTCAAAAAGCTAAGTTGAATGATCTTCTTGTCAAAGTCAACTTTTATACCATATATTTCTTTGCCACCGTCGTCAGTTACTAGATCGGCTTCACCTGGAAACATTAACTTTCAAATTCTTTGCACACAGAAAGTAATGATTGATGTGATTTAGAACGAATAGGAAACTTTCCAATTCAAAACCGAGCCTTAATGACAATAATTTACTTTGAAGGAAGCTCTATAAATCTACAGGCTTTAAAATATTTGCAATTTTACCCTCCTCTTTTGTCAAAAGAAGCATTTCTAAAAGTAACGGAGTTTCTAGAAATACTTTGTTTAAAGTGTCAATAATTGCTGCTAGGTCTTAACTATAATAAATCAAAGGAGCAAAGTTATTAATTTCAAAGACATGAATTCTTTGAAACCCCGCGAAGGCATTGACTAATTATTCGACTTGTACATTGGATTATGATAGCATACTGAAGATTTTCATCCTACGCTATTCGAAAGCTTTCGTAAACTGGGTTGTTATTTTGTTAACACACCTAGGTCAACAGTAAGTACCTTCTAATGCGTCAGCGAATTCAGGTGCTTCATTGAATACACCCGCGAAGTAGAGTGCGCCAATCAAGCATCCTGCGAGGGCCAAGCCAAAGATGACTGCAAACAACTTTGCCTTCTTAGTTAAGTGGCAACGGCTTTTCTCAAACACAATGCCTAAAAATAAAAAAATATTAAAGGTAATGATTGTTCATCGAATGCAATATAAGAAGATAGAAATAGAAGCTGAAGTAAAGATGAGAGTTTTTTAATTACTGAGTTTACTTGTGTTTATTTTTATTAGTAATGTTCAGTGCTGGAACAATGTCGTATTTTTCAATAGAAAAAGTTAGTTGAAACCAACTAGCAGTAAATATAATTGCTGTTTCTCTCTCCCTGAAATCTTATACAGCTTCAAAAGAGATTGTCTGGATATCAAATCCAGGCAATGCCTTTATTATCAAAAATCAGAAAGGTTTCAAAACTTTGCTCTCTATGTTACCAATTCAAATGTACAAGCCTTGCTGTTTATTAGTGGAGACAAACGACACAAAGAAATAAAAAAACCTAGCTACAGAGTGGGGTTCTTGGCTAAATTTTGGGCAGAGGACTGCTGCAATAAAGTTCTAAATCGTACCGTTGGCTAAACAAATTTTTTACGAAAATGGTATCCTTGGCTAGACCAGTTTTTACAAAGAATTGATTCATTTACCAATTTATTATCAACAAAAGCGGGTTTTTATGAGTGATTTCTATCTGAATGCCTTTGTTAGGAATCAAATATTGTCAAAGACCGCCAAGTATGATATGACCTTGGCTTGACCTTGGCTTGACCTTGGCTGGACAAAAATTGCTAACAAGTTTACCTTTGGCTAGACTAGAAGTCTGAAAAAGCATACCCTTGCTCGAGGCATATCCCTAGATACCTTTTTATGGACGAATCCCCCCCCCGTGCCTAGGTACTGCTGATTCCCAAAAGGTTTTCATTTGATGGCCCAGAAAACTGAAGCATTCAACTATAAGGTTCTTTTCTTGCAATAGTTTGTATAGCAAAAGTGCTGCATGGGGTTTAAGGAGATGGACGTGATTCCATTGAAGAGTTAGTTGGGTTGTTTTACATATTGGTTGATAAAAGTTAATATGGTAGGGTCGTCAAGTCGGGTCTCATACCAAGCTTAATTAGAGATAAGAAAATCAGGCCTATCATTTTGGGTAAGATTCTTTATTCATAAAATTTGAAATAAGTCTTGGAAAGATGGATGACATGATGTTGGCTGGATGCTGGAGGGATTGGCTCAACGTGCGATTCCCGGTGGATTGATACTGGTTACTTTACCAATATTAGTATAAATACAACCGACCACTCTGCTCCACTCCATTTTGATGAATTCTGAAAATTTCTTTTTTATCTCTCCTCATAAAACTCACCTTAAATTAGAAGCTCCCGTGTCCCCCTCTTTTTCCACGTTCATGTAATTTTTCTATTCTTTCTTGTAATTTTGTTCTGTTACTGTTGCTTATAGTTTTTTGAAATTCAGATTATATAATATTAATATATATCACAAGCGTATGTAATAGGGCACTGGGCCCGATAACCTCTCAGGTTATCTCAGTGTCCTAGGCAACGCTCACGGACACTCTTTTTATAATTCTTAATAAGTAAATATATTTTTTAATAAACACGCTGTAAGAATGTTGCTTAATGAAATTTGAATTTGAATTTGAATTTGAATTTGAATTTGAATTTGAATTTGAATTTGAATTTGAATTTGAATTTGAATTTGTGTTGGCTGGATGCTGGAGGGATTGGCGCAACGTGCGATTCCCGGTAGATTCACACGGTGTTGGCCTCATAACTTTCTGGGCGTGAGGTGGGGCTGAAAGCGTAGAATATAAAGCCAAAACATTGTTTACGCAAAATTGTGCAACTTAACGTTTCTTGTACCAGGTTGAATCGGAAGATCATTGTTTTTATAACTAAGTTCCATAGTTTTATCTATTCTAATGATGCCATGAAAAAGAAAAGATCTTCGAAAGGCAAAATTTTTGAGGTAAAAGCATTCGTCGGGTCGCATGAAATCTTATTGCGGGCTGCTTTAAAGCTCTCCTAAGAATGGCTGCTCTAATGCTTTCCACAAAACCAGACTAGATCGACTGTCGCTTTTTGCCAGAAGGTGAAAAGTACCATAAAGAGCCAGGGAGCTTATCGGGCTAAAGAGAAAACAGAAAAGCGAAATCAGTTCTGATTTTAGATCAATTTTTCAAATTTAATCCTTAAAGATCTTAAAGGTTCCGGTTAATGCAGGCTTGACTGTTTTGGTACACATCTTAGAAAACTTACATGTCCAAACAAATAGGTCAAATCTAAACATGTTTAGTGCTTGGTTCCTAAATCTTGTAACAGAAAGACGAACACGCCACGGCTTGACTGATGGACAAGATATTATAAACAATTATTTTTGTTTCCCGAGGATAGGACTGCAAAAGGTGCGCAAACTGATACCACAAGATCAAGTGTCATTAGATGTCGATGCAATGCCGTTAGATTTCAACTGATCAAGAATACATCATCCTAATCAGGTCCGTTGGTAGCTTTGTGCTTAAGAGGGGGGGATTGCTCAGGTCCCATTTTCCATCAACCATCCTTTATTTGCGGAAAATTTTGAAAATGGTCTGAATGGAGCACCCCTGCATGGAAAAAAATCCCTAGTTCTTGCAATAACGTCATACCACCAAGCCTTCATCTAGCCAGAAAGCCAATCCCTCAAGCCTTTCTAAAAACAGCGAGATAGGGCGTGGCCAGGTTGTGGTAAGAGCTTCGAAACTGCTGGTTTTTGTTTTTGTCGGTCTACCCTTCTATTGTCAACCATGCATCTGCAACTTTTCTTTACTTTGCTTATATCATCCAGAACCAGATGTTATTATGTATCTAAAAAAACCAATACTTAATTCCTCTGGAATATTCTCGTTTTCCAGGACTGCATGACAAGTTTTTTTGCAATGGAAGAAAGATCTGGTAAAAGGAACACATGAAGAAATATTCTCTGTTGCTTTCTCAAAAATAACAAATATGTTTCTTTGCTACATTTCGATTTTCGTTCATATCCCTTTAGAAATTTTCATCCCTTGAAATAAGAACAGTCCAGAACAAAAGTAGTTCGAAAATGTGGTCAAGACCTGTTTTGTTGCAAGTAAATTTGTCTGCTCATTCTGTAGCTATTGACAATTTTATCTCTGATAGTCTTAATCAGTATGATCACCATTGTAAAAACTCACAGTAAAACAAAAATTATAGCTCACGGGCGGCACCAGAGGGGCCTGGGGGCTTTAGCCCCCCCTCCACTTTTTTGCACAAATGTGTTTTTATAAAAACATAAAAATAAAAGAATAAGATAGAAGAAAAGAAAGGTGTGGTAAATTCTTTTATTGCTTGATTTCTCAAGGAATAATCGAGGTCTATAGTGCTTCATAAAGTAATGAATTCCATTTTAAGACTGGAATTAACACCATGGAATCAGTAAAACGTAAAAATGCGTGCCTTATAATTTGTAAAATGTTTTAAACGGTTCAAAAATGTGACTACAAGAAAGCGTTCTGAAATTTATTTAAGCTAATCTAAAGGGTGTGGTTGCAAAAGATAAGCCTCCGGTGTAACCTATGTCCTCCGACAACCTCTCGTCGGCCCTTCCAATGTACCGCATAATGAGTGCCCCATAACATCATAGGCATGAATTATCGTGAAGCATTTTAATGCGATTCTCAAAAAATTAGCTTTTTGGTCTAATAATGATGTCAACTCGAGCCCCCCACTTTGAATTTCTAGGCTTCGCTGCAATTGCACTCATAGTTAGGACAAAAAAAGATTGTAAAAGCCAAATTTCGCCAAAGGGCCTTTTTCGCCGCAAAAGCCACCATAAGAGCCTTCACATGGCCTTGGTTTGGTTGAAACAGTGAGTTTCTGAATTCATGATGTTTTGTTGTATATATGTCTAAATGTTACTTTTCTGGTAGTAATGAAATGTTATGGGTCGTTACATAAAATTATATCTTCTAAATTCGACTTTCCATTCATGCCAGTTTTCCTGATAAAGTATAGCCATAGAGAAAATTGACGATCTTAGAAGATATGAAAATTGACGATCTTAGAAGAAAACAGAGATATGGAAAGGAATGGTGAGGTAACGCTTATATGGTGGGATTCTGGGGTTTTGACACCAGTGACAAAAGAACTGCCAACAAAGAAGCGTATCTGAAAATATCAACATATGTCTACAAATCAACAAATTCACCAGCAACTGACGTGATGTAAGTAAATGAAGCAGAACTAGGAGAAGGAAAAATTGAATGTCACCTTCTTTAGTTGTTTTCCAATTTTTGCCGGAGCATTGACTCGAATTTTCTTTATCTGGCAACACAGTTAATCCACTTGTTTTGTCCACTGCAACATCCATATCGCCGAAATATATTCTGTGGCGTTAGCCAAAGCTGTAGACAGAATCTGAATTAAAACCGCAGTTCTTTCCTCCAGTTATTTGGGTGAACCTCTACCTGGCAACTCTTCACCTGCATCTGTTTAGTAAGCTTCAAGTGTTGGCATTTACGTAACTTACAATGATGACGCAAATTATAATGTATCATATTACAACACAAAGGGGAAGTCTTCGGCGGACCATTTGCTTATTATCGGCAAAGGCGCGAGGAGAAACCATACAATAGCTAAAGCATATCATGTTTCCTTAGGCCCAGAGGCACTGGACCATGGGGTGCAGAGGGTGATGCCCCCATCTAGCACCTAAGAAAAGGCCAAATCATCTATTAAACTATAGTTTTTGCCTGGAATTTCTGTTTTTCCCCTTAGCCTTATAGGCCTTCCGGCGAGGGGGTGTTTACAAGAATTATAGCAGCCACAAAAGGCATTATAAATCAGCTGATGCGATTGTAAATAACGTGAAATGCCTTAAAACAAATATTTGTGAGCGTAATGTGAACTCAAAGAAGTTGATAAATAAGATTTATGCCTACTTGAGACAAATGATCATACCCTGTCAGGATGGTCCTATCCTATCTGAGCTGAAAGCAATTCACTGCCTTGATGTCGAGAATTCAGACTGCCTGTTGAAATCATACGCAATTTGAAATGTTCCAGCCTCCTAATCAAAGATTGCCTTGATAAGAGCTTGTAAACTGGAAGTTTTATTTTAGGCCTCTTGAACAAGCACTTTATTTACTAGTTTTCAAATTCAAGGTAGAAAGGTCATAGAACCAGAGGCGAAGCCAAAACATTTTATGGAAGGGCAAAGAAGTAACTTTTGCCGGCAAAAAGGGCGTGAGGGTGTGGTCGAAAGATAAATATTCTAATATGCTGCTTTTATACGTTTCTGTTTCAAATTTCCTACGTTAGAACCATATCTTAAAAATTCAACTACTACAGAAATGTTAATACGTTACAATTGTTGCAAAAAGGTTACAGGCAGAGTACAAACATTGCTCCTTTTGCCAGGCGAAAATCCTTGATGTGCTGACAGACAAAATGTTGGGAGTACCGCACCCCTCTGCATCCCCCTTTTGGTGACGCCCCTGCATAGAATGAGGAGGGGTTTGGTTTTAAATCACTAACAATATCTATTACAAAAAGTTTGGAGCCATGGATGCGGTCTTTCAAAATGATTGAGAATAAGAATAATGGCATACCAGACAATTTTAAGGGCATTAAAAAGGCATACATTTAAAAAAAAGTAAGTCTTCAATAAGTCGGCAAATGGCACACTGAAACCCCCCCTCGAGCACAGTAGCTAGCTCCGGCCTTGCTTCAGGGACAAACGAAAATAAAATTGGACAAAATGAAAGAAAGTTTTTAGTTGCGGGTTTTTACCATTTATAAACGAGGCTAGGATGGGACACGCAATTTGAATGGCCGATGCTGAAAATGCAGCCTTCCACCATGGAAGCTTAGACAGGGAGATTTTTTAAGCAAATCTTCATATTTGTTATGTTAAAATGTGCCTCGCAGACGATTTCCATTCACAAACTTGCGACTACCATGGAAAGGCAAGACCTCATTTTGCTGAAAACTACTTGCTTGTGTTTCTCGAAGTCTTCGTTTGTGCATGCAGTTTCCCTTAAGACCAGTAGTGTAGCGCTATCAAATAAACAAGGGGGGGGGGCTCCTGTTCATAATGTTGCGATAAACAATAGCAACAGTAGAAATTTGCCAATTTTCGGCATCAACAAGAGAGGCTCAGCCCCATAAGCGCCTTTGTAATAGGGTTATTTTGCCAAATGAATGTATCCACCCTATCATTATCTTCGAAACTAAATGGTTCTTCCATCAATGATAAAAGAAACAAATATACACAATGATAATGTTGAAACGTCTTTCTTCAGATCAAACGATCTTTCCGCGATAAAAGGTTCTATAAATATAATGTTTCTCTACGGTTGTCCCGTAACGTCGACTCGTTCTCTTAATATCAGGCACAGTCTTTCTCAAGCACTGTCCTCTCAAATATGTCAAATAATCCACAATAATCGTCACGCGCGATGTCTTAAATAGCTATACGTGTCCTATAAATCCATAATTTATGCCGACAAGATCTTTCACAAGCATCTTGCCACATAAGTGAAACGTCGAGAACCTAAATATACATATATCAAAACTTAACCTAATCGCTCTTAACCGAATTCCATTTCCAACTTCCACTCCCAATCCAACTCAAAAACTAACTCTATATGTAACACGCCCAAAATATAACTAAACAAGAACTTATTGTAATGCTACATAGCTACGTAAATTTACATAATAATAGTGAATACAAAATATATTAGTCCCAAGATTAATTACATAAACTGAATAATGATACTAAAAATCCCAAAAGAAATAGTTAATAAATCTAAAGGTGCAATTAGAAAACAAAAGGAATTATAAACAATCGAATGTGCGAACGGTGATAAAATTACTAAGGTTACAGGATGCAAAACAAACGAAATCCAAACTAGCAGTATTACACCTTGACCCCCTGAGCCCCCTGAGCCCCCTGAGCCCCCTGGGCCCCATGAGCCCCCATGAGCCCCCAAGGCCCCCCGAACCCTATGGGCCCCCTAGCATTACACCTTTGCGCCCAGACTGGAAACTTTGTCGCACGCCCTCGATATTTTGCCCGCGCACTCAAATTTTCCATCCATGCACTTTTGCATTTTGGCCGCGCAAGTCCCTATATGAATACATTTCACATTAATAACAATACAAATTTCTTAAAAGGGCATGATTTCAGGCGCGCAGTCGTGCAGTCAGGCGCGGATGCTTGCCCGCGCAAGAAGCAAAGTTTCCAGTTCCTTTGCCTAAGATCTTATCGCTTGCTAGTCACTAGCTTGATATCACCAGGCACTGATTGAATACGCCATATAAGATACCATAATTCATCGATTCACGTATTTGCATACCATATTTCACTTGGATGACGGAAAGGGCTTTACGAGGGTGGAGCTAGAAGTATGATATTCACAACGTCAAAGGCGTTGTTACTAAAACCAATACAATTTCGAAAATAGTCCAACTAAAAAACAAGATCGAAACCTTCCATTACAGCGTCATTTGTAACCATACACAGGTGCGGAGGATGCTCCTTCGTTTCTCCACCCCCATATTATTTCCTGACTCGAATTTTGTGGATATGATACCCAGGGTGGTAGGTTTGTCAACAGGTTGTAATCGAGAAATTTCTTGTTAGTACATTAATTTCGTTGGTAAAATTCTGGGTGCACACCTGTATGATTGTAGTGCCTCTATCCATGAAACGAAATAACAGCGATTATAAGGGATGACAATTTTAATTTTTGCTGTGTATCAAGGTAGGGCTCAACACCTAATTATGTAAAATGCTATTTCACAAGACAAACCTTCAATGAATTTGTATGTTTACTAAAGAAAAAGCCACGAGCTTAACGAAATATCAAAGTTGTTCGTGTCATGTAATCTTCAATCAAAACACGACGAGGTTGATTTTATATTTTCCCAGCATTGACTGTGCTGGCCAAACGTTATAAAATCTTGTGGGGTAGGTCAAGATGTCAAAATTTTTCAGGGATTTAGTGAAGGCCGCAACCATGGTTTTTGCAAAAAAATTATGAAAACAGGACACTATAGATATGGCCTAGAATTGCATCTGATATCTAAAGGGAGGTTCTAGGCAACATCTGTAAGCTTTATTTTACATTTATAAACCATATTTTAATTGGTTTGGTTTAACATGACGATGAGCATAGGCGTACGGGGTCAGTTCGCAATCGGGGGAGCAAAAATGTTTCAACTTCATTGAAATGAGCTTAACTAACTAACTAAGATATGTTTTATGTGTCTCAAGGAGGTGAAAGACCGTTTCGCTTAACATGATGCTGCTGGGCTGCTGGAATAGTGGCAAGGATTCAGGCACTGCAGAGCATTGAGAAAAGTGAAGGGTCTAAAAAAGTGCAGGGGCTAAAACCGAATAAAAAGAAGCTTTACTGGTTGTTCACTTCTTAATGTTGTGCATTTTGTTTCAAAAAGGGGGGGGGGGGGGGGGGGGGGGGGGCTTTTGCCCCTGCTCCGCGGTGCCTGCCAGGATTTAAATCTCTTCAGCAAAATGTGGAACTAAATCCGAAAAATTATCATCATGCATCGTTTTCAGCAGTTCACAAACTTTTCTTCTTGATCTATTTGATTTGCAGAATCTATTTGGTAGAAGAAGCAAACCTTCCTGATGATTTCGGTCAAAGGGTTAGCATTCACGTTTGCATTCCCTAATGCCAGTAGCCTAGCGCAGTTTAGGCTCCCGACCAAAAGGTACTCAAGTTGCCTTTACGTACATAATTTTTAAACTTTGCTCAAGTTCAAACAACTTTCGAAAGCTTCTAAAGTTCTTCAACTGAACTTTATAATTCAGCTTCCCCTAGCTAATGAGAACAAGTTCTCATTTTTACATTTTGCTATTGTGTGTGACGTGCTCTACACCTTTAGATTGGATCTTCTTTCTGTCTGTAGGTAGAGGTCCGGTAGCAGTAGCATGGAACTGAGCATTGCATGCCTCAGTTTTGCAATGCTATAGCCTCTTCAAAAGAGCATATTGAATCCCAAAGAGGCGAAGAGAAAAAGGAAAGAAGACCATTTATGAAATGTCTTGATGTCTAAAGTGATTAAGCACCAGCTTGAAACATCAAGTGTGAGAAGGTAGCCATTTTGATTCCGTCCTCAAAATTTGCCTGATAGGTGGCTGTAGATTCAAAGAAGATTAAAATAACATTTGTTGATGCAGTCTAAGTGCATTTTCATTTTTAATTATCTGTGGTATTATAGCATAATGTTTTGCTTATAAAATCAGGGTAAATAACATGCGTTCATTTTCTTTATTTGCTCTTCTTTTTTTAGAAAAACAAGGTATTTATGGACCCAATTAGTTTTTACCCAACAGTTGACAAACCTTTAAATGTGCCCTAGAAAACACAAATAGTTTATTCACTTAAGATTGAGTTAGCTAAGCAGAGAAGTTTTAAAACTGATTTTCTTCCTAAATTAACTACATCGATAGCTGAGTAAATATTTTTACAGAAAAGGCAATTTTTTTTAGGCTCGACTGTTTACTAGATTGATCTCGAAACAGTGAGCGAAAAGCTGATCGAATTATTACAGCGCCCTTGATTGCGAAATTAATTAACAGGAGCATCCGCGGATGCTTTTTTGCGTTGTTAACTGTTGAGCCTAGTAATGCTCGCTCGCTGCCTAACAAAACACATCAGCAGCTGTTAAAAATAATTCATCAAACACAAGACATTGCTTTTTTGGATGGCCTCCACTGGTGATTAGATGCATCAGTCCTCTCTTAGCAATTAATCGCCAAAACGATTCCGTGAAATTATTGAAAAGTCCCTGAGTTTCTTATGAAAGATGGTTTTGATGTATGCTCCTTTAGTTTGATACTTAAATACATTTTTAGCACATTCTATTTGGCTTTACATTTCCGCATTTCTTTGTTATTAATCTGATATAGAGCAGTTTTTTCTATCACGCTCTTAAATGTTATCTAACTTAAACTGAATTCTTTACATATTCGTCTTGTCAGATGTCTCTGTATTCGTTGTTGTCCGTTGCCATTTTGCAAACTTTAAAAAACTCTGTTTTGATTTTATTCTGCTTTTGCATTCGATAAGAGATTTCCATCTCATAATTCAAGGCCAACAGAACAAGGGGTAAGAACAGTTCAGCAAGGTAAAGCCAAAAACTTGACAAATAATGCCTTTTCATTACTCTTTCAAAAAGCCAATATTGAGCAGCGCTGAAAAGTTAAGTCTATTAAAAATACTACAATGTACGGTCTTCAAACAATTCAGTATTTTGGTTCAAAACTTTGGAACACTCTTCCACTATTTATACGTGTTGCTAGCTCTATTGTGGTTTTTCGCTCAAAATTAATAAGTTACCTTCTTGATTCATATTCACGAAACTAATCTTTAATTAAACACATATGATCTATCCCATAGAGGTTCATCTGGTTCTTGGTTGATATGTACTGCCTTTGTTTTTAAAATAATTTTTGGTTCTTTGTTTTTTTTTGTTTTTATGGGGGGGGGCTCTCTCTCGATTAGTTTACCTACTTAGAGAGCTCCTCCTCAATCAGTCAATCTTAAATTCAATCATGTAAAGTAATTTTTTTTTCATTTGTTCTTAAAATTGTTAGTTTTTAGTTCATAGTGTTGTAATTTATCTTAGTTGTAGGTTTTTGTGTATGAATTGTATTTGGGATTGATTGATAATGAATGAAATGAAATGAAATGAAATGAAATGAAATGAAATGTTAAATAGTCAAGATAAAATTCTCACATTTCTTGAAAGGAGCACAGTCGGTCACAACATACTCGAGTCAAAGTCAGTTGCAAATGGTATTTTAGGAACTACACAGTAATGGTTTACGTCATGTCTGTCCAACCGATAACAATTTTGCAACATGATTGCTAAGAAACCGAGATGTGCCTATATTTGTGGGATGCCGCAAGGATAATGCCTTGGTCCTCCTTTCTTTATGTTAATGACTTCAAATTTTCTGAATAAATCTGTAACGTAAAAAATATCGGGGTAACCGTTGACGAGGGCCTTTTCTTGAACAAGCATTTCAAAATCTCAAAGGGAATTGAGAAAATAGACTCTCGTCCATCCGAAAGCTTCAAACTATTTCATCTCAGTCTAAACTAAATTAGGTTTACAACGTACTTGTCGAGAGTCATCAGAGAACCCTTTCTTAAACTAAACTTATGGCTTTACCAGTCAGGGCCCGCATTTTACAGAAAACGCTAAAATTATAGGTGGGGATTCGTTACCTGTCTCTAACCTGATCAAGTTTGATTGAGGTTTAAAAGCTTGTGAGAAGATGGTCAAAAGATTGCAGCAACTACTTGTAGCCTCAAATATCTTTCTAAGAGCATTACAATATTAAATCGCGACCATAACAGTCACACTGACAATACTCTTTCAAATCTCTCTAACATTTGTTCAGTACCTACTAACAGTTGCTCACAAATATTTTTGTCCTTCATCGTCTCCTTTAAGTTGTTTATTCTCGAAAACACGTTTAAACATACTCCACTACTTCTTTAGTAAGATTTTTTGTAATAGTTTGGGCGAGAAGTGGTGTAATTCGAAAATTTCATACAGGACACTTACGCCGTACGCTACAGTTAGTTTGATGGCTATGGTCATGAAAATTTTCCAAACGCAACAGCAAAATTTCTAAAATATTTTTAACATGTGCAGTGATCAAAACAAATAAACCCTGTTCTAATTTTTTTTGTAGCGCGTATGTCCGTAAACTGATAAAATTTCCAATATAAAACTGATAGGAAATTGCGGGTTAAAAACATAATAAGACGATATGACCCGACAACTACTTTAAAAAGTTCGTTTTGTATTTCGGAATTCAAAGAAAGCATTGAAACTTCAATCTTTATCTACGAAAACATTCATTTCTTGGGCTACCTTTTTAAGCTTTGAAAAGCTTCATTTCTTGGAATATTTTTTAAGCCATCACAAAAGCTGGCATCGAAATCATTTCAGTTATCTTCAATTCAATGCTTGAAGTTAACAGAAATACCGCAAAAAATATAAACACGAAATATTGAATAGCCGTGCCTATTCATACCTTTGGCTATCAACTAATCCTTCTTAGAAATCTCACTTTGTAAAAGCTTATTGCAAACTTTTAGCTGGGCAACATGACGTAGGTATTGTTGAGATGATGACGACGATACTGATGAATATTCTTAACATATCAAATCACAGCAAGGCAGCCAAATGAGTTCAAATCGAATCGAAGTATGCGATTAGCGTGTAGATGCAGGATAGTCACTCAATGCCCACTCCTGAGAGGCTTCCACTCTGAAGAAAATTTCCTTCCAAAAGGAAATGAAATTGGAAGAAAAAAAGAATAAAAATGCAAGGATAGCAAAGACATTTTTTAAAAATCTTAAAAAATTTTCATTATGTTCTAGATTATCTTTGCCTTTTATTCTGGCTTGAAAACATTGCTTATATATTCTTCAGTATAAACAGAATCACCGACGTCGATGCTGTTTTCTGACGATGACACAAGCTTTTTAAGATCTTTTTAAGATGTAAACTTAATGCGAAAACATATGGCTAAGGAAGCAACTGTGAGAGATCAAGCATCTTAATTTAAAAAGAGAGTTTATAAAGAAAGTATAAAAAGCACTTGATGACTGTTATAATGATCGCCTTGTTTAGTTTTTTTCGAATTGCAAAATCTTTTTCGAATAGATTTTCCCGATGTATGCACTAGGAGCCAGGCGCACGGGGGACATAGGGGGCACATCTTCTCAATTTGTCAAAATCAGAAGCTATGTTTTCGTATTTATTGCCTATGCTGTGCCCCTTTTTGCATTAATATGCCTTTGACCACAATTACCTCCTATGTCTATGCTCCAATGCGATAACTATTTTGCTGTGTGAATGAGTTCTGGGTGCCATTTAATTGTAACAATTTGGTCAAGCGGGTTAGTTGGGCACTTTGTCACTGTGGCATGCTGTAGCTAGGCAGCCATTTTGCAACCAATTTTGCCATGTTTGAAGCCTTTTCGCAAATATACATGGAAGGAAATTAGTAGAAAATTTGAACACAAAGAAGGGAAAAAATAAGGAAAACTCGTTATTGGAAAGTGGAAGCACTGCACTCTTGATACGGAAATATCACAAGTTGAAGGTGAAAATTCCCACTTAACGTGTCACAAACCTGTTTGATTATAGGCTATAGAGAACAAACTTTAGCAGCTTGAATTAGTTACAATCGACCAGTTGTGCACAAAGGACTTCCCTGGACAAAATAAAAAGGATAGTTTGCGATATTTTGTCATACTATTTTGCGGCATTATGTGAACGAACCAATCAAAAATAAAAAAATCAAATTAATTATATATAAAGACTAATGAAACATAAGAAGCAAACAAGTTTACAATATCTAAAACGAACATTTTCAAGAGGATAAGTAATTAATTAAATAAATCACAACGGTTTGGAAAACTAAATCTAAACTGAATGAAATTAAAATCTTCGCATCAATATTGGTTTGTGTTGCCAAAGTCTCATTTCCACGTGGACTTCTCGATCAATACCGCAAGCTGGGGCTATTCACTCATTACAAATTTTCCCAGTATGCAGAGCATGGCAATGGCATACCAAAGATGCAATGTGTAGAGCTGAGGGCACATCTGAAAACTTCGTTTATGGAATTGAAATTTGATAGTGCTGGTACACCTGAGTGGGGTGTTTTTGGTTTTTGTGCATATACACCTCAGGTGCAGGCCTGTTGGGGCACGTGTCAAAATCGACAATACTATCCAACTGGAAATTCTTTGTAGTTATAAGAACTCCATTACAACAACCAGATGCTAACTTGAATTGGTTACTTAAATCGTATACAGTGTAAACATCCAGGGATGACTGCAATCAAGGTGGGCAAAGGGGCATAGCAGCCAAAGATTTCAAAAAAAGGAAAATTGTTTAAGTTCAAAAGGGGAGGGGGATTTTATCAACTGCCCCTTTGGCCCTCATTGAGCAGGCACCCATGCAAGCTCCAGGAGATGATAAACTTGATTTTAATGAAAACTATTTTTGAAAAGATGTGGGAAGTTTTGGCAATAAATGTAAATATAATAGTGTTTAATATTCATACAGAATTCTCAGATGGAAAATTTGGATTACCAACAGCTATAAAAAGGAGGTAACAATTTTGATAAGAGAATTTGCCCCTGATCAACAAAAATATTTGCTAAACCTTCTAAATACTTTGCTAAAAGCTGTAACATTGTGCACATTGCAAGTAACAGACAGAAGCATTACTTTATTACAGCCAGTTTGATTAACAGCTTCTCACTCTACCTAATTTTGCAATCCTGCTTTCTGTGAAATGCTGTAAAACTTAAGCAAGCGAAAAGCAAAACTGAGTGGAAACATGCCAATAACACTTGACCTAATACATTATATTTGACCATCACCCTTGAGCTAATAAGCATCTTTAGTGGTTCCTTTGTAGGTTCCATTATAGTGCAGATGAATTCTGAGGGTACTCCTCGATAGTTCTTCGACACAACCTCAAGTATTGCTGCTGCTTGAAATACATACGTATGACACCCTTTACAGCCACAAACACCAAACCACCCTGCAAAACAATATGGATGCTTTCTTAAATGAATGTAAGTGTATCTAAACTAAGGTACTTTGCAAGAAAGAAACAAAATAACAAACAGTCAAATTTTTTAAATTGCCACTTGCACTTAATTGCTTTTCTCACCATAGCATGACCAAAGGGCCAATAAAAAAATAATATTTCAGAAACCAAAATCATTTATTATCATTTTACAGAAGCAGTCTTTTAATTAACTAGATAAAAATCTATAGGTAATTTTGAAATGATTTCAGCGATTTTATAATTTCATTATGCAGACAGTCTTTTGGTGGTACAAAACTTGAAAATGGCTTTGAAAAAAGGAAACATTTGAGTAAACTAAAGCTTTAAGTCTGACACTCTTCAGAGTTTAAAACCTCAGAACATAGATCGAAAACTCTATGCTAGGAAATATATATACCCAGTTGTGGAGCGAAATAGGCCAATCAGAAACGCAAGCACATGACTGTTGAGGTTGACCAGTCAGTGCTGCTTGCCTATTGAGATGTTACCAATGGAGTCCTAGGGTGAAACCAACTCATTCTGTCTACACAATAGCGGTTTTTTCATGCTTATGTAGATAGATTCCAAAACTGCTAGATGGAACAACAATCAATTTCATTATGACTCAACTGATTTTAATTGTAAACTATTCCTTTTTATATATTGCACTATTCTACATTGATTCGCATTTTTCTTTATTAGAGTTCCTAAAAAACTATTCAGTATTTATATTTCAAACATTATATATCAATCTTTAGACAAGTTTGAACTGATGTGGTTGCATTATTATATAGAAGTACCTGTAATGTTTTTCATAACCTTGAATTTTCACCAAAAAAATAAAGTCAGCATTTAGTGAATACTTTTAACTATGTATTATATCAAGATATTAATTCAATTATATTGTAATTTTGTTTTTTTTCAGCTCATGTCTCTGTTCCTCAAATATTTTTATTCCTACATTGTTGTAATATAATAAAGTATCATAAAATGTCGTACCAATAATGTTCTTTTGAATGCACTGTGTACACTCTTGAAGCAATAATTTCCAAATGCTGATGCAAATGTGGGAAGCAGAAGTGCACCACACAACACTCTTGTAGAATAAACAAAATCCATGCCATTTCCACCTTCAACTGGCACTCTTGCAGAATCCTCAACACTCCCTTCTGGCTCCTTTATTCCAATCCACGATGAAAGCTTTGGTGAGTGTTTTCTCCAAAGCTGTAGTAAATAATCATCCCATTTCACCATGCGACCAAGGATAAGGCCAAAAGGTATAACTGGTAAAAAAGCTAAAAGAAACAAGGGATCTTCTTTCTCCATCATTTCAAAAGCAGTCTTATGGCCCACAGTCTGCATAACTGTTATTGCTCCATATGTAACTGCTGACCAATATAGAGAGCCAAGGACAATGCCACCAGCCAAAGCAGGGCAAACCTTATTGAGAAGTTTGTCCCCGTAGTCAATAATTATAAGGACAGGACCAAATGAAGGGTATTTAATACGATATTCAGTGTTGCACTGGGGACAGAAAACACGCACTGTGGGATTATTTGCTTGCTTCTCATCAATCCACCTTTGCAAGCAAACAACATGAACCCATCTGGCTGATCCCCGACACAAACATGGATTTATCCACTTGGCATCTGGTTCGTCTTCTTCTGTTGCAAAACATACCCAACAGCATTTTCCTCTAAAACATAAACAGAGCAAGCTAGAAAAAACAACTAATACAAACAACAACATTATACAACTAATGAAATATTTAGGTATGGAATTTCCTGAACATTGTCCGGAATCTTACGGGGAATTTTGCACCCAAACAAAGATGAAGAAAAATATTTTTAGATGAAAAACCATTTTTCAGGTGATATTTAGCTTAACATCTATCCTAATTTTTAGGCATCCTTTTGTGATTTTGAGAGGGTACAGATCAACTTTTCACACCTCTATGATCAAGTAAATATTTTTGGTCCTTATCAAAATACTTCACCAGGGAATTCTCAAAATGTTAGTTCCATGACATAAAGTTACCCTACTACAAAGCTTCATATAGGTTATATGCTGAAATCGGTTCTTTTCATCTGTTGCTGCTAACAATAAAGGCCCTTCAAGTGCAGATGTACCCATATCAAGACCAATTTGTTTTGGAATCTAATTTTCATGCAGACCATCAAAGGGATGGGTAGTTTGTTCAGGCATACCCTACATGGAGACATCTTGCCTTTGCCATTTTAATTTCTTCTTTAAGTATACATTCAAAGTTACAATTTATAATTTTTTCAATTATTCACTGTTAATCCTAGCTCTTATTGTTAAGTTTGACAGGTAACTTTTTTAAAAAAATGTGCAAAGTGCAAAATAAGGCTATGTTTCCATTTCATTATTTTTGACCACTTTTGCTTCATTCCACTTTTCTCCAACATAATTCAATCAAAACTTATGACACGTTATGACAAAATATCATCCTGACAAAGTTTTTAAAGATAATTAAGAAGTGCTTATGAGAATAATGACAAAATTGGCATTGACTAGATTAAAAGGATACACTAAGTACACAAATTATAAGCAAGAAAGATTTCCAGAGTAAGCAAAAAGTTTGTCAAACCAGGCCTTTTAATTGACGTGATTGATCACTTGCGATCGCGTCAGCACCTGCGCAAACCCAACCATGCGAGCGTTTGATTGATCCCACAAAACGGTTAATTGTGAGGAACAAATGTCTCATCAATTAAAACATTTCTAGACATCTTTTTGGATCCAAGCAAGTGACATAGACAATACAAAGCTGGTATATCAAAACACAGGAAACATAAGTAAGCTGACTAAACCACATCTCAATGAAAAAATACAGTTGCAAATCAATTCCACAGCGAATGTTTAGGAATACTTTAGGTACTAGTATTTGAATTACAATAGCACTTATGACATTTTCTGGGCAGCCAGACTGTAAAGTATTTTTTCTGTATGGGAAAGCCAGAATAATAATTTTGAAATTTGCGGATAACAAGCGTTTCCTGCAAAATCATGCACGGAATTTGAAGCAAAGGCTTTCAAAGAGACCTTGTATTCTTTGTTTTTTTCTTCTTATCAGAAGTCAAAAGTTTAAATGATGGAATATTTGCAGGAAACATGACCAGATAAACAAATATTGTGCACAGAATCTACGGCAGATTCTTAACAACATTTTGCAATCATCCAGCAATAACGTCTATATGACATTCATGATAAATATAAAGTTTATAAACGAAACACATTTGCATTGGGTATTTGTTCTTTCTTGGAGTGCATCAAACAAAAGGGTACCTTATAAGATCATTGCCATCGCTACTAGGGTGATTGCTCGCACAAGAGAAATCATGCGAGTGCTTGGCCACTTGCATGGGTTATTACTCCAAAGCTATTTTAAGGGGCCATACATTCAAGAAAAAGTCCAATGGTGTTGCTGACAATAGCCATGCCATTGGGGGGGGGGGAGAGACACATCTCCCAAGTTCTTGGCAGCATCAGTTTTGCAATACATCTAAATTTAACGAGAAAATGTTGGGGAAGGGGTAATATTTTTGCGACTTATTTTTTTGATTTAATCCGTTGATTTTGAAACTTCCTTTGTGGAACCAAACGTCGTTAGTAATGCACATTTGCTAGGTGTAAAATTGGTGTTTCGTGTTGGTAAAGGGGAGCTTGTAACAGTAAAAAGAGGGTGGTCAAAAAGGTTTCATCTTGCATCCCCTCCCCCATTCTTGTGGCTGGCATCGCCAGTAATTGCAGGGTGATGTTTTGACCATTCTATGATTGAAATCAAAAAATTAAAAATTTCATAGTTTCTATGAAAAATTGATAGTTCAGCTCTACATTTTGAGCTATTATTCACAACAGAATGAATGCAAAATTTATCCAATATTGAATGTCACTTTTATAAATATGTTTCAACATGTTAAGTTGAATCTTCAAGGGGTGGAAAATAATGATCTGACATAGTGAAAGTCTGAAGTATCCCAGGTCTGCCTTTATGGATTCAACTGTGTGTATAAAGTCTAAAAATCAATAAACACATAAAATTGTGAAAGAAAAATTGTATTTCTAATTGCTGCTATAACCTATAATGTTAGAATTAGAACGAGTTAACTTCAGTGTTACAATTGATTATCAATGTCAAGCCATGGGTAAATACATCACCTCCAGTAGTATGTTAGAAAGTTATAGACTATCAAAGGAAACATTCATTTGAGGTTTCACTCACCAAAGCTTTGACAGGGGCATTTGGATATTTTGAATCATTATCTCCTAGTAAACTTAAAATAACACTTTCTGAGTATTGCATAACTGTACAGAAATTACATATTTACATAAAATATGAAACTGTTCTGTAAATTGTATTTTAACCAAACTGCTAGCCTATATTTTTTATCATATAGTTAAACTGTTATCTCTTATAATTTACAGCAAGAAAACCTTTGCCGTTTTCTTGGCAAATGTTAACAAAAATCAAAAGGGAACGATTCCGTTTTAAAATGACGATGATATGAAATCAGATCGGGCATTTTAAATTAAAAGCAAATACATTGCTTCGGCTGCACGATTGTCTCTTTAATGAGCTTACACAAAGGGTGCTGCCTCCAACAGAGAAAGGAATACGAATTTTCAGGCGACAAAGGAAACAATTCAAAGACATACGTAGATAAGAAAAGCGTAGATAATTAAAGAACAATGCAGATCCATAAATTGTGAGATTCACCACAGTTTCAAGTTCATCTTCCAGGCTTACACCTGACTTACACCTGACTTAAATTCAGTTTCTAAGGGCTAATCTTTACATGGCCTACCAAACATACAGCTCTGCAATGCCTGTAGTGGTAACTTCCTTAAAAGGAATGTTGTTCAGTTATAATATCAGTATATACCTTTCACTCTGGGTCCTATCTCGCTGAACAACACCCGTGTATTCTCCATCCTTTCCGGGATTTCTTCCACTATCGAAACACTCCCCATCATTTTCCATCATCCTCTTTCTTCGCGTCCTGTGGGCGGCCGTTCAAGAAATCACCTTCGCAGAGGTTTATTCTTCGAAAATTCCATTCATTTTGTGGGTCATCCGTGCTGTTCTTCTTGAAAACTAATCATTTTATTTCGAAAGAGGAAAAATATCATGGAAGGGTGGGGAGATAAATTCCAGAAACGTAATTTCGTTTTCCGGGAAACCAAATTTGCATTCTCAAATTCAGCCACATGATTTTGAAGGAATCTATAAAGCGCTGAAATACTGTGTTTCATTGATTTCAGTAGTTTTGAATGTACCGTAAATATTCTTTTAAGCCCCCCTCTCAATTAAGCCCCCTCTCCTATCAGCCCCTTTTTTAGAAGTAAAAACTTAATTTGCCCCCTGTCTATTTAGCCCCCACCCAAAAAAATTCACTGATGCCAAAATAAGTAAACTTGACAAAAAACAGATTTTCATATTATTCATTGGTCGTTCAAATTAAAATGTCTCTTCCAGTCATGACAGATCCGAAGACAAAGATTTGATGTGCCTTTTACCAAAATCTGACGCTGGTAACGGTTGCTAAAAGTAGGCAGTGCGATTGGTAATTTTTCATTCTAGGGAGGTGTTTGGCTTCATTTGTGAACAAAGTGAGGCTCCGTTCACATTGCTCCGGATTCAAATGAAAACGGATAAAAAAGTATCTATTTGTGCCTTGCGTTCACACTGCTCCACCTTGAAAACGGAGACTTTTGAAAACGCACTTTGAAAACGGAGACTTTTGAAAACGGAGTCTTTTGAAAACGCGAAAACGCAGTGTGAACACCGAAAACGGATACTTTCGAAAACGCTAACAACAACAACAATACAGCAAGATGCTTAGACCGCGCCAATTTAAACAATTTTTCTTAACATGGCTGATTAACTCGAAGTTAGTACACTACTCGGTACCCTGGGTACCAGACTCACTATATATGAAATAAAATAGAGTCTATTTTATTTCATATATAGTGAGTCTGGTACCCAGGATAACTTCTCGGAGGAATATAAGTGGCAGTGAGTTGTCTAAAAAGTTTTTAGCAGTCGCGAGTGCTGTAGACCAGTTAGTGGCGTTTTCATTTTTATCAAGAGCGGAGCAATGTGAACGCGTCTTCTTTTTTTTTACCGTTATCAAATGAATCCGGAGCAGTGGGAACAGGCAAAACGGATCGATATGAAAACGGATAAAAACGAATACGGAGCAATGTGACCATAGCCTGAGTGAGACAACCTTCATTTGCCGCCAAGTTTGAATATTCAACGAAAAAGCACCCACATGGCTAAAAATCCTCGTTTTCGAGAAAAAACATTGTTCAAACTGCATTTTACAATACCTCAGCCTCAGCTTGCTCTTAATTTGTTTTTAATTTTTGACCAATTTTTAGGCTCGTGTTATTGTAAAATGATTCTTGTGAAAAATGCTACTATTATGAAAATGCCATATGTACAGAGAACGATGGGGAAATTTATGTTATAATGAAAGCGATAGCCTGCGTGCAAACTTTACTTTCCGTTGCGTTTACTTTCCTTCGCAACGGAAAGTGAAGTCTGCACGCAGGCTATGAAAGCGATATAAAAAGTAAATATAGGAGCCCAAATGTTGAACTCAGAGCCAAATTAAAACGCAAGACAGTCAACATCACTGACGTCCTCAAGCGCTTTAGGCATGAAATTAATTGATTTAAGAGCACATGAAATATAAAAGCAGAAGTGAGGTAGGAAATTAAACAAAATTGTAAAGGCCTCATTACGCGGTCAGATTTTGTCATTAGACATAATGATTCATGTGAATGTACTCTACCCAAGAAACATAAGTAGTAATTTTCTGTTTCTATAATAATAACCAGTAACATTTTTGTAAAGTATGTCGTTGAATGAGAATGAAACTTGAAATTTAAAATTTGATATTGGCAATTTGGTTTTGCGGCGTAGCTAGGAATTTTTGGTGGTAAGGTGAATTTTAGCTAATTCGCAAAAGCTGTTTTCGTTTATGACATTGTAATGGCTCGGTATCTTAAATTTGTTATCTATAACATAAAAACACAAATGAAATATCAAAATTATTTCTCTAAGGACCTTTAAACAGTAAAAGCACTGCCATTAACACGTTGCTAACATGACATCAAGGCATATTTTAACATATGTACTGGTGGGCCGACGGGCCCACCAGGCCCCACCAATGGCCCACTACTGAACCGAAATTTGTCATATTTGGCCCACCACTAAATGGGCCCTTTTTATCAAATCAAGTGACCAGAACAAAAATAACACAACAACACGATTTACTTTCTCACATTTTGACTTGCTGACAAGGCAACATTCTACACATATCTTCAAATGGCAGTGGAACCTCGTTATTCGACCCCAGAGAGGCAGTGGCTGAATTTCTTAAGCGAAAAACCCGAAGAAACTCTTCTCCCGATCCAGAGCTTTTTAGAGACAGAGAATACATGAAAAAAAATTTCAGAAGCTCAGCTGGATGTTTGTAAACACAATATGTGAACTTATATTTAAACATAACTATATGATTAAACTCGTGAATGTATAAGTTAAGAATATTAACTTGGTATTAGTCTCTCATTCTGCGCTTATCCTACCATCTTATGTAATGTTTTAGTGGGTAGGCCTGAGTACACACCTGAGTGTGGCTTTGGGGTTCAAGTAGAAATTATGGGGCAAATATTGTTTGGCCACGCCCTTAATGTGCCCCTATGTGACTCTGGCCCACTATTGAAAAATTCTTAAAATATGCATTGCATGACATGCCTGCCTACAATATATTTATCAAACATAACTTCTTTGGAAATTTATCAACAGAAAGCATTCCATTTTATTTTTGAATTTCGGGTAATTGTATTCAGCCTTTGATTTCTTACTGCAACGATCAGCAAAAGACTGGATCAAATTGGCGGACGAGGCCCATGCCTCACAATTTAATTGCGATGATCTGCTGATACAATTGTATTTTGAATGTTAACATAAAATCAAAATCTTGTAATAAGTTTAATCATAATCATATTTTGATTTCATTTTTTGCATGCTACTGCTCCTGTTATATATAGGATAAAGTGTCATCCTAGATAGAAAGAGGTTAAAGGCAATCGACACAGGTAAAAGTGGCTTACAGCCACTTGACACAGAGAAAAATATGTGAACATTTTCCACCTTTATGAAAAGCGGCGAAACCCTAGAGTAGATTCACGTGAGTAGTTTCAAATTCCTTTCAAACGCGCGTGTTCTGATCGAGTTATTTTTGGATTTGCTGTACTTATGCATGTCAAATGCCTTAAAATGTTGCGCAATAGATCATGCCTCGATGCTCTTTGGTCTCACAAAATATTCCGATAAATGTTTGGTGGATCTTCATGAAATACTCCCAACCCCCACCCCTGGCCCGGTTTAACGCCACTGTTTAAAGCTCTATTGTTTGATATAACATATTCTTCGTCTTTGCACATAGCGGAAGCACAGTTGACAATCTTTTACCTCTGTTTCTAAAAAGGGGGTATGTTTCCCCTATCTTCGAAGAAAACTCTTTGATGAAGAACTCCGATGAGCTGTCTCTCTTTCAATGTCCCTTCAGCCTCGTTTACCTGCCGCAACTAAAGATGGTTCCAGGAAAGGGAGCTCCGCCTGATGTTCTTGGTATTTTAGGTAAGCAATTATTACAGCATTGTTTGTAAATAATGGTAACTATGATTTTCACTTATTTTCGTTTCCCTACTGTTCATTAATAAACCAATATAAGCGCAATTTGATCTAGCCACAGTCATCTTTTCTGTTTATTGTCGGGGTGTAAATGAAATGGCAACATCAACAAACAACGTTTATTCATTTATTGATTTAAATGAATAAACGTTGTTTCTTTTGATTTGCTTTGATCCAGACTAGAGACAATGTTCTCTCCAGCAGATAATCTTGTAAAATATTGTATTGTTAAATATCAGCACTGCAGTTTTAAGATTTTTTGGTTAAGGAGAATGCCTCAAAATCTTTTGTTATTCTACATTTCTATAGAAGCCTTATCTTGATAAGATCTGCAGAATGCATTTATGTCCAACCTATGGTATTCACAGGACCCTAAAACTTACAAAGGTTCACTGGTTTATTTTTATAGCTGATTTCTCTAGTAATTGCATTTTTTGCCATTTTTTTTGCCTGAAGAGAACAGCCTACTCTGTCTTGCAGATCAAAAATAACGACCAAAACATGCAATTCCATAATCGAGGGGCATTTACTGGTAAACCCAGTTTGCATGAAAAACTATAATGGTGACATGTTTCAGATTATGAAAAAAGGCAACATGTTTCAAATCAATCCATCTCTATCAAAATCAAAAGAACACCACTATTGTCTAGACAGAAGGAGTTTTTTTGCATCTAAGGATCCATTTGTAACATTTTCTTAAGCAAGCTGCACTGATTGGACAACCTCAAAAGTAATGTGGTCATGTTTCTGATTGGCCTATTTCGATTCATAACTGTGTATATATATCTCCTAGCAAATAGTTTTTGATCTATTTTCTGATGTTTAATACTCTGAAGAGTGTCAGATGAAAAGCTTAAGTTTGTTACAAAATGTGTTTTCATAGCCATTTGCAAACTCTATACAACAAAAAGATTGTTTGTTAAGAGAATTGCTATTTTTGTGTTGTCAGTGGCGGATCCAGCCAAAAATCTGACTACCGCCGAAATGAGATAGAGGGTTGACCACACCCTTTAGACCACACCCATTTCTTGGTCACACCCGGTTTTCTAAAATGATTATTGCTTTCTATAATTTCTTATGTAGACCATTTTCAAGAGACAAACGGTGCTTTACTGAAATTTCATATATCCTTACAACAAGCTTGAGAAGAAATAAATAATCTTATTCAATATTCTGAGGATGGATATTCTAAAAAAATTTTACGGCATTTAGCCGAGGAACACCATAGAATTAGAAAAAAAGATACATTTGGCAGAATTTCGAAGTGTCGCCTAAAACTCGCATTTAGTCGGACAATTACTTATGAAAATCAGACCTGTTGAAAATTACTAAGTTTAAAAAGCTAGATAAAATTTGCAATTATTGAAAGCAACTTTTGTTAAACAGAGAATCATACTTTTGGCGAATATTGTGGGCCTGACTTTTAATTTAATATTATTTTAAAATATATTCCTACGAATAGTTGTTTATTGTACAGAATAATGGGTCACATCGGCTTTGAAGTTACAGTTTGCCCACTTGCAGAATATGTAGGCATCCCCCCATCTTTCTGTAACGTTTGAGCCGCGTTGAGCGGCAGTACTACTTCAACCCCCCATCTGAGCGGTAGTCAACTCGGTTGTTCATTGGTTGTCAACAAAATTTGTATGCATCCCCCCAGGTTGGCAGTGATTTCTGACGATTTGATTGGTTTAGGCAAGCTGACTACCGCTCAGTGCAGCTCGAATCCGCTCTACACCGACTCAACCCCCCTAGCTAGCAAGCCATGATTTCATCATCCCCCATGCTAGCCTTCTATTTGCAAACATGTGGCTCGGCAATTGGCACGCAATTTCCATAGGGATAAGGATTAAACAATATTTTTGTCTCTGTGGAAATTTCAGGCATGTTCCTAGGAAAAAGCCTTGGTTTGCAGCGCGATCAAATATTTTCAATAATTAATTATGGTTTAATTAAAGTAGTAGGATAAACATGAAAATGATCCTTGTTTCTATTATTTTTTTGAATAATCTGACTACCGCTCGAGCGGTAATGGCGGTAGTCTGGATCCCCCACTGGTTGTGCCAAGCTTTATATGAAACTAAAAGAGTCTGTTCTTTTAAATCCTTTAAGCAAAGGGGTGTCTGAGCCACGGTTAAAACACATATAAATTGAAAGAAGTAAAACAGCATACTCCTTGACTTCAAGGCTATTTAAAGGCAATTGACAGATGCTAAAGTAGCTTTAGTACATTCTATGTGTTACTGACTTAGCTCACATACAAAAATACAAACAGCCAGGCCTGAACATAACTTTAAAAAAAGGCTCAATATTTGATAACGTTCAAGGTTTCTATACTTAAAGAAAAACTTAGGAAAAAGGGTAGGGCAAAGCCATTTTTCTTATAAACTTATTCTTTCATCTTCCAGGCCTTTTTGTTTGACACGAGCGATCACTCCCGATCGCATCAGCACTTGCGCAAACCAAACTACGCAAGCGTTTGATCACTCGGGCAAAACGGCTAATTGTGCGGAATAAATGTCTTATCAGTTAACACAATTCTAGTCGTCTTTTGTGAATCAAGCAAGTGACATAGACAATACAAAGCCGGTACATCAAAACACAGGATACAAAGCCAGTACATCAAAACACAGAAAATATAAGTAAGCTGACTTAACCACATCTCAGTAAAAATGCTTTTGAAAAATCAATTCCACAGACAATGTTTGGGAATACTTTAGATACTGGTATTTGAACTACAATATCATTGAGGACATTTTCTGGGCAGTAAAAGCGTTTTTAAAAAGAAATAGAACAACATTTTGCGATCATGTGGCATTTACGATCATCCAGCAATGACCTTCGTTGTGTCCATAAAGTTTATGAACGAAACATATTTATACTGGGTATTTAATCTTTCCTAGAGTACATTAAAGGTCATCGTAACAGGTCTTTTTCATTTGATGTTACCTTTAACAAAAGAGTGCCTTATAACAGGAACAATTTTTTCATTATCAGAGTGATTGCTTAAGCGCAAAGAAATCACATGAGCAATGAGCCACTCATGTGGGCTTTTTCTTACAAAAAGGCCTGATGGTCCCAGCAGAAAATTTGATTTTTCCCATTTTCTTGTTCTATCTTTTGTCAGGTGACCTCCTGTGAGATGTCAGGCTTAATTTTTGTTGATGATATAATCAACCTGTCTTCATTAATATTTTGACCTAAAACAAGGTGAAATTAAATGAATTTGTTTAGTTGTGATGTTGTGCGACTTTTGATAGTCTCTTGTAACAGATATCATATGAAATATCTTTTAGAAAAAGATAATAATGGAGATCTACTTTGGACTTGGACATATCCATCGATTGAGAAAGAACTTAAAGAACTCTTGATGAAGAAGTGTCCTTTGGCATGTGGCATTGATGGCACACCATTTGTCTATGGCCAGTTCAATAAAAGTTGGTACCATTTTATAACAGTGAAAATATCAGAAAATTCTAAATTGCCAATGGTTTGTATACCTTGTTCTTCCTTGTTTTTTCCCTGTATCTCTTTTTCCTAACGAATCCGTGACTCAGCAAAATTTTTTGTAAATCACACACAGACAGTTTAAGTTTTTACCTGCCACCTTTCCTTGGCCTCTTTTGGCCTTTCATATTTGACAATGCTATTACTTGGCCTTTTTATTGAATTTCTGTCCAGAAAGATAACAAGGAATTCATTGGCAGATCATAATGTACCTGTAATAATCAGCTTTCACCTGCAAGTTAAGTCTTTTTTATCTTTTTGGAGTTGAACTGAAGAGCATCAGACAATGAGAACTTTCAGTGTCAAGGACATGGCACATAGCAACATCCAACTTTGTCTATCTTCTTTATCTTTGTAAAAATGAACACCAATTTAATAATTAAGTTTGGAATTTATGTTACACAAAGCAAAGATTCATTCAAGATAATTTGAAATGTAGAAGTGGATGTTTCCTTCATTTCCAGGGCAATGGAAGGACATCACACCAAAATCCAATCATTATCCAACACCCCCAATCCTTGCCTTTCAAATCAGCCTTTGTTCAGGATGCTTTTGTTCAGCTTTTTCAAGCATTTTATGAATAGCTTTTTCTTTCTATTGGTAATTCTTTATGAACCTTCTTCTAGGTGACTGCTATAAGTTTGGTCATCATTTCAAAGGTTTGTTTCTAACCTTGTTTTAATTTTTAACTTTTATAGATACCATTCATTTTTTTTCTGCAAAATACAGATGTAACTCGTTGCCTTTTATGTTGATTGAATGAAAAATGATGTCTATAAAAAATCGAAATCAAATTTTGAACAAGTTTTACTCAATGTTTAGTAATTTTTTTATTAATAAATCTACATTTTAGTAAGTAGATTTCTGAGGTTTGTTAGTTTTAGCATTGAAAAGAAATTGAAATTTCAAAACTTTTCTTACAGAATTTCAACCCAGAACTGTGCAATGCTGTTGGAACTGTCTTTCTGAAATCGTATTTAAAATCAGGAACCCCAACCAGCACATTGACAGGGTTCTTGACATTGTATACCAAGGGTTTTGTTGAGGATGATTCTACTGGAGCTATTGTTACATCAAAAGACTTTGACCCAAGGAATGCGTTGCTAAAGATCTGCTTAAAAGGTGGTGAAAATACACTTCTTCTTATAACCAAATAGAATTCGACTGCCTAACCATATCATAAAAGCTTTTAAACTTGTAAATCTTTGCTTCGCTAAGGTACAAAAAAATAAATCTCTTTTTAATTTTGTTCAAGCGTCCACTTGAAAGAAAGTGGAAACCAATTTTTATAAATATTCAGAGCAGTGAAATTTTTGCTCCGTTCTATTTAAAAAATAATTCACTGGCATGTAATGTTTCACTGGTACTCTGTCTGCAAAAGGAGACTCGTGCCATTTCCGTACTTGTGACTTAATGCAATGTCTGACTTGAATAGTTGTTGAATATTTCCTTTTGTCTAATTAAAATGATTAATGTGGGTAGTGCAATACCAAACAATTTTTTCTGGGTAGTGCAATACTTTTTGAACATAGTGAACATGAAGTGAAATTGTTTAATGAAAAATACACAACCAAGACAAGCATTATAATATTAAATGATTTTGTGTGACATGATGCTGTAATAATTGATATTTCAAGTTTGGTTAGAAAAAGGGCCTCTTTCACCGTACTGTTCTTTTAGTCATATGCAGGAAAGCTGTGTGGTTGTGGGTCTCAGGGACCGCGCACCAGTCTAAATGCGAGAGGGCTGAAAAGGGCGTGACCGAAATTTTTTGAGGCCACGCCCTCTAGAACGCCGGAAAACGCCCCTTTTAGAAAATACTGGCTTATTTCTACTGGGATTTTATAAACAATCTGATTCAGAGAAGATATCAATAGCTATAAAAATAGATAAAATTAGTTCGGGGATAACAAAACATCAAGAAAAATACCTAGAAAAGAAACAAAAAGGGTTCCTAGTTGAGAAAAACTACTACTTCTTAGGATTATACTATTCAATGTTGCGTTAGAACATAGCTAGAGTAAGCTTTCCAAAAAGTTTTCTAACGTATTATCGCAAAAAAGTGGAGGGGCTATAGCCCCTGCTAGCCCAATGGCTGCGCTGTGACTGGTGGGTCGTGGTTTTTGCTCTTGAATTATTCTCAGATGCAATAAAACTGTGATCTTAAATCACTTGGACCCTCTCCAAATGAGGTTTCTTGCTCTGCCCTTGCTCAATGCCCATTAGTCAATGCAACTGTGTGCTCAATGATCGAATATGGTGGCTAGACAAGTTGTATTATACCAAATTTTGGCAAGGTTGGATTAGAGACAAGAACCATTATAACAATGACAACTCCTACATCAGATCAGAGTTGGCATTAAAGTTCGAACGAAGTTCATTTCTTTTTAATTTTCTTATCATTTTACTTCCCATTTTGCAGAAGTAATTCAGTTGTTTGGAGTGGAAGCCATCCTCATATACGCTGCACTACTTTTGAAAAAGAGGGTTGTTGTCTTCAGCAACAAGATTGACACCCTTCTTCATGTCTGCAGGTACTGCTTTGATTACATTTGTATCGCATTTGTATCGAATTCAGTTGGACACAGATTGTTTGATTATTGGTAAAGATTATTTATGGAACAAATTTTTAAATGCTGACTTTCCTTCAGTTTAATAAAGCCTAAAAAAACTTGGGGATAAATTATAAGTTATATGGATTTGATACTTAGCATTGTATTGTACTATAGGTGCAGATAAATTTTGAAGCATTTCCCAAATGAAAACAGGCATTCACGATCTTTGAAGGTTTTCAAGGAGGAAACTAAGGACAATGACATTTTAAATATGTTGCAAATTAGGAACAAATGCGCCAGAGACCTGTTTAAGCAGTTTGCTAGTAATACTGTGTGCTTGGACTGTTAATCATAACAATATATGTAAATTTAATAACCTTGCTGTTTATTAGTTAGTTAATCAGTTTGATTAAGCTTTCTTGTACGTAAACATAAAAGAAGTAGTGAAAAAATTGCTATAACATTGGGACATTCTCACTGACTGCCTATGGTTATATTAATGTCTCTGTAAGGACACCTCCTGCCTCACGTTTCTCTGATTTGGTTACATTAAGTACTATCGCTTTCAAGTTTCGGAAGTATATTTCTAAGACTCTAATAAATTTAGTATGTCCGTAGTTAAATCTGTTGTTGGGGTACATTTGAAAATGCGTGTTTTTATAATAGTTACTTTGCTATACTTTGGCCTGTCATTCAAGGGGATCATTGTTTCCTTTAGTCTTTGCTGGAATACTTTCCAACTCGAAAAGCGAATATTTTATGAATTTAGCATGGCCATATGCAACTTCTATGATTTCATTTTAGTCTGTGCCTATGACAGAAGATTCTTATAGCACTTAGCTATGCAATTTCCAAATGTCCGTATTTTTCAAAAAGAATTCGTTGTGTCTGTCCTTTTCTGTCCAACCAGCGTTCAACTCCAACTCAAGGTAGAAGTCATGGGAACAGCTATCATTAAATCATAAAAGTGACACCTAAGAAAGTCTTTATCTAAATGGCAGCCATCATGTGATATTTTTCCTGACAATTTTTTGTCCATTCTACAGGACCCTTCCTGCGTTGGTTTGGCATAGGCAGGATTGGAGTATTGTATCTCCATTTACAAGTTTCGATGATGCTGAAATAAACGAGCTGAAAAGAAGGCCTACATTTGTTGCTGGATTTATAGATCCGACGGTTGAAGAAAGGACTGACCTCTATGACATTTTTGTCAATTGTAAGAAAAAGAGGCTTTTATACCTTAAGAATTTATGGAACTGTATTCGAATGTATTTTTCCCACTTCAAGAAACGTAAATTTTTATACTTCGGTTTTTAGTTACCAGTGGTGGCAAAGAAGACATTTAATCTTTCAAGCTTTTTGGCGAGAAACCTTTTTCTGCTAAATGAATGGGAGAGTTCCTGCTACATTCTTTCAAAAGGAAATAATATTCCTCGTTTCTTTTTCATGTTACATTGTCGAAAGCAAAACACAGTTTTATGTAACTTTTTGGGCCTTTTATGTTAGAATGAACTAGTTTTCCATTGCTCCCTCGGTTCATTGAAGTGTTCCTTAAATCCTTTTAATCTAAACATCATCACATGAATTCATTTGGGTTCAGTCGAGCAGTACTGATGCCTTCGTCCTTTATATTCTATAGGAAAGTCAGTACCTTCGTTTTGTTTTAAGAAGGAAGAACTTGATATTATATTTTTATTTTAGTGCAAGATGGGGAAATAACTATCAATCCTGATGCAAAAGGTATGTATGATGTTATTATCTCCTTTCCTTTCTACCTTTTATTTATAATTCAGCTCTCTTTGTTTTATTTGAAGACGTCAATATTATAAAATTTTATAATTTCAGAGTACTTTCAAATGGGTAAACTTCACAAGGAGATTGCAGTGTCCCTAGTAGAGGCTGCAAACGATGAAGATGTCACCGACCAACAAGTAGTGAAGGTATGCCTAGGCCTAGTGTTTTAGCATAAGTCCTCACCATGCTGTTTACAAATGAAATTGATAAGAAATCATGCATTTTTTTATTTTCATTTGTGATGAAAGGTTTTGCTATTTAATGTACAATAGAAATGATTTTTGAATTAATTCGATTTGAAAATGAAACGATTCCTTGTGGTGTTATCGTTTGAAAACCGAAAGAATCTATCGGGAATTGCCAATAAGGCTTGTTAGTTTTAAAAGGCCTAAAGTAATTCAAAAGGCAAAATGACATCAATCTTAATTTTTCTGTCCATAAACGGCAAGGCCCTGTCCACAAACTGGGTCTAAAAAAAATCTAAAAACTTATATTTTTGTAATTTTTTTAATTTTATGTGAATGGCGAAATGTAGGAAACATAATACCTAAAAAAGAAAAGCATTGCAGTTAGAGCGGTTAATGATGTTTGAAATACTAAGTGAAGTATTGTGGCCAACAGACAAGAGTCATAGGCAAGATAATCTATATTCGAAGCTTAATCACCCTGATTTTTCTTTTAAAAGACACTGACTGCTCATGCGCCAACCAAACATTTCCGTCTTCCCCTATTTTCATTTTTATTTGAAGATGATTAGGAATTGAGAAGTGTTGTTTTTTTTCGTTATAATACCAAAAAGGTTTATGAGTGAACCGCAAAGTGCTTTGCTTGAGTCATTCGGTATCTTTAGCTTTCCTGCCAGCCATCAACAGATGTCCTTAATCTGCAATTATCTTTTCCAATGATTCGCTATCTTTTTGTCATGAAATTCATTATCTTTTGTTATGAAATTTATGCTTGCCTTCTGTCATTATCCGATGTTTCCTCTATTTTCTGCCATCTTCAGATCTCTTGTATTATCTAGAGAACCAACTCAATTTGATTTGATGATTTCTTCCATTCTAAGCCATTGATAATATCCAAACATAAAGATGTTTGATATAATCTTATCTTTTTAAATCCTTTTTTGCAGCTTTTGGCCGGCAAGACTAAAGATATAATTTCAAATCTGAAGTCACTTGGCATTAATGAAGACGGTGTTGAAGCTGGTATCACTCTGGAAACAATAAAATCAAGAAACTTCTCTGCTGTTATGCAAAATTTTCTGCTTCATCTTGCATTTGCAGAGAATTTAGTGAAAAACTAATAAAATTTGCTCAGTCTGAAAGAAGAGAATTTCTTTTAAATAGAGTTACCAGAAAACTATTTTTTAATTGAGGATTTAAATGAATAAACGCAGAATAGAAGGAACAACAGATATTGATAATTCTTACTATGTCAGAGAGGAATAAGGTAATTCTTTTTTCGTAGTCTATGTTTGTTAATTGCATTATTTTTATTGAAGTAAACTTCAAAGCAAATGACGTCGATACATGTTTCACTGTTGTTTCGCAGGAGTAAATGTTATCTGAATGCATCTTTTTTTAAAGCTACATTTCATGAAGCATTCTAAAAACCAGTTAAGCTTTTGCAGTAATTTGTAATTTGAAAATTTGTAAATTAAAGGCTTTGTCATTTCTTTTCATATATAAACAGTTCTTGTGCTGTGCAGCAAATGAAGAAGTCGACAAATAGTTGAGTTTTTGCTGTGGTAGAAGGGCATATGCCAAAAGTTTAAATTTACAACAATTCAACGAATCATTCGAATTGACAACCCGACGAATTGACAACCCAACGAATCAACTTGATTCGAATCAACGAATCAAGCTAATCAAACTTCTAGAAAGGAAAGAACTTCATAGCTTTTTTTCTAGTATTCCAACCAAATGATCATAATTGCTGATAACTACTGTATTTTCTAAAAATATTTGAATTAGAAACTTGAATTAAAATTCAAAATAAAAGTGATAAAAAGCGACGAGCAATTCACTCCATGGAAATATCGTACACCTTTGGTGGAAATTTTGTTTTTATATCTGAAATATCCCTAGAAAAATTTTTGTTTTGGGGAAAATCTTCGCCCCTCGGTAAAAGGGGTTACTTTGAGATCAATTTGTGTTTCCTTTCGCTTGGCAAATTGCTGTCCTTTAAATGCATATTTTTACTTCAAATAGCTTAGACCAATAGCTTCATTTCTATAGGTTTCATTTCCGTCCAGATTAACGTGTAAAATATTTAGTTAAACATAAATTTGTGTTTGCGAATTTTAACTGTTAATCAAAATTTGAGCTGAATATCATAGAACTCAAAGTTGAATATTTGATGATTTGAAAATCAATAAAAAGAATAACAAACAGAACAAAGTTGAGAATTTTGCCCTGTTCTTTGTACTATTTTTAATGGTAAAATTACCTTTTTACCATTAAATTAGATTTCAATATCTTTATTATTGTGTCGTATCCATGAGCGTTCAAACGAATACCTAGCGAGAATGCAGACAAGTGCGTTTTGCAAATCAGGTGACTGTATCATTTTATGTAGGTCTAGAAGCCATAAAAGATGCTAAAAATTTAAATACGGAAGCTGAGAATTATGTGGAATTAAAAACAAATGTGTCCATATCTTCCAATTCGACGCAACTAATGACAATAAGCAGTGGCAGAAATTCATTTTTCGGGTTGTAGAGGGGGGGCAATGCCGTCAAAAACAAACAAAGTTGCCGACAAATGGCATAATTTACCCGATAAAAGCGTATAAAAACTTGGGGAAATCTGGCCCCCCACACCTCCGCGTTTTGCACCACTGACAATAAGTTCATAGATATTATAGCTTCATGTGTGACTTCATAAATATTTTTTCGGCATATGATTAAATAATTGCTTTGTTGCATGTCTGTTATGCAGTCTATCAACTCTCTGTATTTTGAAAAATAGGCAACAAGCATTCTTCAGCTCTGGAATTGCAGCTTCAGTGGGAACAATATTCTATCAATGACAAACTTCTTGAGTATTCTCTAAAAATATGGGTGGATTTCTAAAATCGGTTAGAGGGCTGGGCCTATTGAATGGAGACATACCCTTTGCCCCCTTTGCTTCGGCCCCTGGAATTCGAACTTCGCGGTTGCGGGGTTACCATTGAACGTGATGACGTAGTCTTCCCGAGGCCACCATCACCGAGAAGGATGAAATGATAAAATGGAAGTGAAGTTAACATATCACGCCGCTTACGGCGGAATAGCGTTGTTTATTTCGTTATTGAATAACATATTCTTGTTGTATTATGTAGATACATTTGTTAATGTATACAAGATTGATAGCAGGTCTTTCTGGATCGGAGAGGTATGTATATTTCATTGTGCAAAGAAAAGGCCTACCAACTTAAAGGCAATATTATTCGATTATTACCTAATTGTTTCGTGTGTCTAAGTAGACCTTAAACGAAATAATGTATGTGAACATGGTATACGTAAAAGTGCGATATCCAAAAAGTCGCATACGTTTATTAGAGATTGAATATAAGGACTGATTATAAGTGAGTGGCCTACCAAAATATTATGTTTGCCAAAGTTTTGAAGAAAAATCCTACATTTTAGAGTGAATTTCGTAACAAATTCAATATTTTGCCTTAATCTTGAAGTTGTCTCAAAAGTTTCAGACATTTTATTGATATGATTTTTGGAAGGGGTAACAATTGTTAAGAGTTATTTTCAAATTTGGATTGTAAAATTTTATATTTTCTTTGGCACTACCCCATGACCTGCCCTTACTCCTTTCCTGGGCAGGTTCAATTCTTCTCATAGGGAGGGTTAATTTTATCTTTTTTCTTTTTAACATATTTCCATATTTAAAAGTTGATATGATATGCTGGTATATAGCTAAAATGATCATAATTTATGTTGAACAATGGTTTTGGTAGTTGCAGTCTAAAAAAGTAAATATTTTTTATATTCAGGTATATTGTCATATTCATATTAAGTTATTAACATACAAAAACCCTTCAGTATATCAAAGAGCTATCTAATTAAATTTACAACCTATATACGATAAACTGTTAGGGCCTATTGCTGCTCTTCAAGGGAATCGTGTTTTGATTTATCTGACTTTTATGCCTTAATTCTATGCCTCTTGGTGGAATCAGTTATTCATCTACTCAGCAAATAAAGTTCTTGCATCTAATTCATACCCAAAAAAATTAGAAATCAAATTTGGTCTCTCTATAAAGATTTAAAATTAATCTCTAGTAATCATTATATAGTTCTTTTAAATCTACTTAAAATAAATACTTTATCAATAATATCAATAATAAATTACTTTTTTAGGTCAACTTAGACAATACTTAATACTTCAGACCAGTCAACTCACCCAGTTATGTTTGGAGACCCAGTTTTAGCGTTTACAAATTAATAAGAACTCAGATAAACCATTATGAAGAAGTTTCCTATTATATTTCTTTGTCATAAACTGTTTGCCCAGCATGACTTTTTACAGGTATGTTGTTTATAAGTTTAACCGAATAATAGTTCTATTATTTCATCGTGATTTGACAAATTCCTGGGATCTCCCTGTTTTGGGCCAAATCTCCCTGTTCAAAGTTTTAACAATTTTAGGTTAAAAGGCCTGTACTTAAACCTACTTCATACTAAACCCTATCTTCTAGGTGATATTTCTCATTTGGAACTCTGTTAATGATCCATTATTTGGGTGGATGAGTGACCACAAATCTCTGTCATCAACAAGGTAAGATTTTAGTTGATTTATGTCTTACTTTCAGGCTCTAATGGTTTTGCTAAGATTTGCTGTCAAAGATGTTAGAATTAAGTTGTTTTCGTTGGAGTTGCACTCTAACTGGTAAAGATTGGCTATGCATTAGCACATGGTCTTGCAGATCCAGATCCCTTATCTGTTTTCAGACACTGCTAGAAGTGGTCTTGTTTGGATCCGACCATAGCAAGGTCAGGAATGTCCATAATGACAAACTTTTGTGTGAATTATTCATAATCATAATTGATAGCAAATGAATTTGTTTAATTTCTGAAATTTTCAATTAAAATCTTGTTCTTTTCATCATCATCAGGTACCATCTTCTATCAGAAGGTTGGCTACCATGACCCTCCAACGATCCCAAAATCTGAGTTTTGGTTTGTTGTCATGGTCATAGATAAAACATGTTTTGTTCTTTTAGTGATCCAAGAAACAGAAAATTCCTTAGCAATGAGATTGTGCTAAAAAGAATCAGGTATTATTTCTAATAAATTCCTTTCAAATAATCAGATTTGACCTTCAGCCATTTTCCCTACTTCAAGGCCAGCAAATCCAAGAGGCTAGGGGGCACTGCCCCTCCATACTTCTTAAAGCAAATAACACCCTGGTATGAAAGTGGGAGCTGAAGTTTAGCATTATGTTTTAGCATTATGTATGTAATCATACCTAACTTGTACCATACTGTTTAGACTTTATTTTGTAATTTACTCAGTGCAGGCTCTTGCTAATGGGCAACTGGGGATAATGCCCCCCTCAAAAAGATTCAAAGGAAATCTAGGATATTCATATTTGATTTTGAAGCTAGTTTTACTTTGGTTGAGTTTATATCTCTGCTAGAAAAAGTTTCTTGCTACCAGTTTAGTTCTTAGCCTCACTTTTGCAATGAACAATAGCCTCACTCGCTTTAGCTTAGACAACGCTTTCGCTTATGTCATAGATGCTTTTGCAAGCCTTAAAATTAGAAGGGCTAAGTTCTTGTACAAGAATTAATAATGACTGGATATAAATTTTTTCCTCATTATTTTTTAATTCTTATTGAAAAATATTTCTGTTAGTACCAAGAAAAGCTGTTTTTTCCTTAAGCTTTAATGGCCCCTCCTTGGTGTTAGAAATTAATTCTACAGGAGGATTCCTGTCTCAATCAATAATAGGATGTTGACTTGGTTGGTACTTAAGACATAACAATTGGCTTTAGCCACATTCACATCTCATTATGTTCCTAATTTTATGATTGACTTTCTGTGGCAACAAAGATTTACTTTTCGTGTTTAGATAATGACTAAAAGATCTAGAAATATGCCTTAGATTATCTACAACCAAATGGCTAGGAAGCATATCACAGACTGAGGGGGCTAAACGTTTTTAGGGGACTAAGTATGTTTAAGAACAAAGATCAAGGCAATTTTTTGATGGATTTAAGCACACTGTGGAAATATTTGGGAGGGTGGGGTGGCTAAAACCTATAATAAAGATTAAGAGTGAATTCATTCAGTGTACTGTTTGGTGCTTTCTTATGTGTATTTTTATCCAGATTCCAAGAGCAGAAAATTTCTCTGTTCTGTTTTGTTTTAGAAAATATGATTTTGCATAGTCTATAAATTTCCAATTCTGAAGAGCTATTTTTCAACTTTTACTTAAGGCCTAGGCTTTTTGCAAAAACTTGGCATGATTACATTACTTTTCATTACATTCTAATATTTAGGGTAACAAATCACATTGCGCATGGGCTGTAGAAGTATTGATGGTCTGCCCTCCCAACTGTGAAAGTCATGAGCCGCCACTGAATTTACTTCAAAACATACAAAACTTTGCTACTGTTTTAATATTTTAATATTCAATTGAGAATTTTGAAGCTGCTACCACATGATCAGAATGTAATAGAAACATTTATATAAAGAGTTGAGACAAACTTTATACCCGTGGTCATGTGCAAAATTTCATGCTGGATATCTCACAATAGTCTTAGACTTATCCTGGGGAAAGGCTATGCAAGGTGTAATATTTTGAGTTGTTTATGTTTGTTTGTAAGATTCTGTTTTAGTAAAATATGAAGTTTTCTAGATTTCAACTTTTGCATCCAAATCTTTAGATCCAAAAGGTTTTTCAAATTTCTCCTTTGAGTTTTAACTTTCTTCATTATCCAATGTCAACAACATCTATGTTGTTTTTTGTCTATTTTGCCTGTAAGTTTATTTTTTGTTATTTCCTTTTTGTATGTTTTTCTTCACATCTAGCATGCTTACAAAACTAATCCTTTGAACCATCACATACAACAACTAATTATTTTTGTAAAGGAGAGCAGAGAAATGTCTTATTTAAAGATGTTATGTTTGTTTAATTTTGGATATATATTTTCTTGAGATGTTATTTGCAAAACTGCCTTTTTATAATTTTTTGTAATTTTTTGCAGGGCACTAAAGAAGTTTGGTCCTCTCTTTGCTTTATCATTTCTTCTGTTTTGGTTTCCTGTCTTTCCAGCTGCTGTTCAGTTTGTTTTCTGTCTTTGTCTATACGATGGGTTCTTAACAATGGTTGACCTTCACCACCAAGCTCTTCTAGCAGACATGGCAATCAGTTCTGCTGATAGAGCAAAGTTAAATTCATACTGCTCATTTTTCAGTGCTCTTGGTTCAGCCTCTGTGTTTATTTCCTATGCAGTCTGGAATAAGAATAAACTCCTACCTTTCCAAACTTTGTGCCTTAGTATTGCCACTGCTGTCGTATTCGGATTTCTTATTTGCTGTACAATCCTTCAATGGGAATATGAAGGTAGACAAGACAAAGAACAAGCTATGCATGAGTTTTCAGTCATAACACATGAGAGGTATTCATACCTTAGAAATATGATTCTTACTAGAAAGGTCATTATTATTATTGCAAAAGCACTTGTTAACAGCTAAACTTTTTTTATTAATATTTTATGAAGATTGAATCCTAAATGGCCAGCAGGGAGAAAATTCCATAAGATTTTTAGATGGTAGAGGGGTTTCAGTTACTTAATGTTATTTTGGGGCAAACATTTAGGAGGAGTTGAGTCAGCACTGTACAAATTCCTGATGTGTGCCCTCACTTGCAAGTCTAATTTTAATATTCAAACAGCATCCTCAAAGTTTAGAGAAATACCAGACAATGAAAGTAAACTTTTTTTGTAATTTTGGTAAAACTATATTGTGCCTTTTCATATATTTTGTTCTATTCATTTGTATAATGGTTTCTTGTTTTATATGCAGCACTCAAAAAGTGGAAAGGCCTATATCAGCAACTGAATATGCAAAGCAACTGTTCAGGCAGAAGAATTTCTTGTGGTTTGCATTGATGAATCTCATTCAGGTAAAGCCTTGAAATAACTCTGTATTCATCTCAAATGTGAGCTGACTCAATAAAATTCACAAGCACTAAGAGCATATATAAGGAGTTTATTAAGTTACAAAAGCATTCTAATTTTCTCAAATAAGTACTGCCATCTTTTGAAAGCCTTCCTCCAATAAGCTTTCGACAGGATTTTGCAAACTTTGAGTTACGCTCCCTCCTGAACTACTGGAATGCATAAATTTAAACTTAGCTATTTTTACAAATCAGCAAGGTTTAATATGTTTATCAATAAAATTGTCTTAATCTTTATTAAAACAAGAACAAAAAAAATAGAAATGTTTACAAAATTATGCTTGAAAAGCTGGAGACAAGGCAATAGATTAGAAGCTACATGCTTGGTAATTTTGTGCTTATGATGATACTAATCTTGGGAAAGCTTTGTTCAATATGAATATGAAAGAGGCTGCTAAGTGGCAGGGGATCATTGTTTTATTTTTATTTAAAAATATTTGTACAGCATTGTATAATGTAATGTATTATGTCAGTGGTGGACATTTGGTCAAACATTGGGGGCAAGCCTATTGTTTTGATAAGATTGCGTCTTATTTTCCCATTGTGTAATGATCAGGGTTCTTGTTATGACAGTGAATAGCACATTAATAACCAGCTCGTTGATGGAGTGAAGAGCTAGGCCAAAGAGCTCAGGCCCCGAATAAGTAACGCACAAAAAATACTACTTCTTTGGTGTTATCTCTAATGCTGCAATAGAAAGACTAACTTATAACGTGTTCAACACATTCTAATAACCTAACTAGAAATAGCTCTTGCTAGTACTGCCCGCAAACAATTAGTTCCTTGATAATGATTGTTTTGAAAATGTAGGTCAGGATATTCGAAGAAGACACCATCTTGGGTTTTCACAATTCTATAAAAACAGCTGCTCTAGTTGAAGCTAAACTATTCTTTTTATCAAGCTCAGGTTTTCAGTTTGCCTTTGATTTAAGTCCAACGCCCTTTTGAAAATCATGAAGTTTTTCGAGGGTTTGACATTTATTTTTCGATAATCACGACAATCATAACTTTTGCTCGTACGGTCTCGAGTTTTTGGGAGAAAAGTGTGGCATTCGACTGGTTTTGATTCCCAAAACTTCGAATCAAAACTTCCATCCATTGCGGAGAACCGAGCTGTGATGCAGCACCGTTTTCGTGCCAAAAAACCGAAGGCCTTTAACAGAGTCTTGGCAGAGCAACGCTCCGAAGATAATTCCCTTCCGCACAAAGAGGTGGCGGTTAACGACCTCCTCGACAAAGCCGATTGATTGACAATGAAATTGATTGACAGTTGTCATGGCAGCAGAAAAGTGACAAAATCTGCTGAAAAAGTGCTGACAACATGAACTGAAGCTTCCATATGCTACTTATACGCGGGGCAGACTATAAGCCCTTCACTCGCGCGCTATCGCGCGCGAGTTGCGGGCAATAACATAAACAAAAGCTAATTAACAGGACAATACGAGCATCACAGTACATGTTGAGAGACAAACACATTGCCATAAAAAGGCGTTCACAACAGGATTTAACAGAACATGTGATCTAAACACACAACAAGGAACATTTATTAAATTGATTAAATACAAAATCATTACAATTGTTTTAAAACAAAAGCTTTAGTATGTTGCAAAATTTTTGCTTTTTTTAAACAGTTTTTGTATTCGGCTCCAGTATTCTTTTTTTTAACTTTAACAAATGCAGTTAATATATATGTTGTCACCGCACCTTGCAAACATGTGTTTTTTGTTACAGGTATTTCACTGTCATTTCAACAGCAACTTCTTTCCACTATTTATTGAGCACCTTCTTGGTCATACTATCACGCCAGGCACAGGTGCACTGATTCTTGGATTTTCCTTCTTGATTCCACACATCAACAATCTTTACTTTCTCTCAATGTGCCAGAAGTTTGGCTCCTACTTCATCATCAAGTGGTTGTTTTGCATCAAAGTTGTGTTAGCTGTGGCAATGTGGCTTCTGGGTCCTGGCTGGTGGATAATACTGTGTATTTTTATTGCAAGGTATTTTAACATTAGAAATAACTTCTAGTCAAGAACTTGACAACTAGAATCCCAAAGAATGCAAAGTATATATAAATAATATAAATAACTTTCAGTGTGTTATCAATTTCATAAGACTAGTAATTGCTCAAGTTACATTTTATTGCATTCTTTTGAAAGAAAGATTCATATTATACATTCATTTTATTTATTGTCCTTTAGACATGACTTGTGGCTAGTCTATCAGTGAAAATTTTATAAGCCCCAAAATCCAGAGTAGATTTGACACTGCTCTTTTTCTGTGGCATTCCCTTTTATTATTTGATGCAAACACTCAATTATGACTTTGTTCATACCCACAGTTCTCTTTGTTCCAAGTTTGAAAAGTTGATTTTCCTTTTCTAGTAATCGTGTGTTCACAGAAGGAACATGTAAGCTGCTCAGCCTGGTCATAAGTGATCTGGTTGATGAAGACTTTGTATTACAAAGAAGAAAAAATGCAGTTTCTGCTTTGATATTTGGCATGGCAGCCTTATTATCCAAACCTGGGCAAACTTTGGCTCCATTACTTGGTACATGGTTTTTGTTCCTGCAGACTGGCACTTCAGTTTTCTTTGATGAAAATTCAAAGCAGGTGTTACCATCACTCAAAAATACAAACAATGTTGATAAACTGAGACAAGGAAGTTTCAATGTATTGGTGTGTGTGCCAATCGTTTGTGGACTATTACAACTTGTTGCATGGTCTAATTTCAAACTTCATGGGGCAAGATTGAATAAAGTAAAGTCACTCAGAGCAGGCCTCGAGAGTAAGAGCAAAGAGGAGCTTAATGGGGCTTTTGATTATTAGCAATTATAGTTGGTTGTTTATGTAGATATTTTTGGGATGGGGATGTAATTAGCATATCAGCAAATTGTAATATTGCTCAGATGTTTTGGTTTTAGAATGTTATTTTAGTTAAGAAGACTAATTACCATAGTATGAAGCTAATAAACAACCCAAATTTAAAATGTTCACAACATTTATGTAGCTTGATATATTTGTCTCAACAAATGAAATTGATCTTCTCCTTACTGATATTGCTGCTCCATTATCAGTGGTAATCGAGAGTATTTATCCTCTAAGAAGGTCATAAAATTATGGGATACAAATTATATATGCTTTGCTTCTTTGCTTGAGCACATCAATTGTATGTAAAATTATAGTGTAGCCTTTCATGATTTAGGTAAATTCTTTATATTGGGGCCTTGAAATATAATTTTGTTTACATAATAAAATTTAATATAATTTGAAAAACAAATTTTGGAAGATGTCTCCTTTAATTAAAGGAAATTCAGACTGACTTAGGTATTTATTGTTGTACTCAGGGATACAAATAGTTAAACTGATGTCAAATCAAAGTTTTATTATATTGAAAAACAGCATGTGTTATCAATGTAAAATTATTTAAAAGCATAGAGGCCCTAGAAAATACTATCTTTGTAACCTTAGCAGTTTTAATAATTGACAGAGAATCATAGCATTAATTGACAGAGAATCATATTTTTGTATCATATTTGATAATGAATGATAAATTTGTGACTTGTATAAAGTTGTAAATTGTCTTCACTGCAAACAATCATTTTTCAAATGTATATGATATTTGCACCAGCAGTGCAGAAACACATAATTCAAGGAGGTAAGATACAACACGAATAGTTCATACCTAACACAGGGCAAAAATATAACAATGAAATTGGTATTTTACTCAGTCGTACAGGGATTCACCAGAGAGGTTTCCTGTGGTCTATGGTATCAAGGTTTGTAGGTAAAAGCTAACCATTTGGAATTGGTTTAATGACATAACAACATTTTATGACATAACAACATTATGTGTGCTGCTGTTACTGATATTTGTTCGACCCTATACCATATGTTATAGCCAGTTATTAATTACCAGCAATGGTACATTACCATTTATATCATTAATTCCAGTTTCACTGGGATTATTCTGAGAATGTCAATGTTTCTAAAGAACGCAAGAACATTCTATGGTATTTATTTTGATTGTAAAGCCCTCGCTTTTGTTTCCTTTTTTTCAGTCAAAGCCCTGGGTGCATGTAGAAATACACTGAAAGCAACCCCCTGGTTCTGGGCTGCCCTCACAACTGACCTATTAGCGGTTGTTGTTATTGCCTGTAATGAGTCTCCAGTCCCAAATATTACCTTAGACCTTGAGTTAATACTGGCACTCTTACAAAGTTGCAAAGATCTTTCTGATGGAGAATCCTTAACAATAGTCAACTGTTTAACAAGTTTTTCTGCTCTTTTATGTTCCATTTTGCCACCAATTGTCTTTAAAATAGAGTTGAAGGCATTTATGGCTGTTTCTGAAGCAAAGAGGTCTTTGCCATGAAGAAACTTATTTAGGGATGGGAGAACAGGGTTGTCTCTTTCTTCTGCTGCCTGTGCATTTAAAACTTCATCCTCAAATTCAAAATGGCAATTTCCATTGCTCAGTGATGAAACTATGGCAATTAGTGTAGTGACATCAAGATTGACTTTACTAATACTTGATTCAGCATTTATGCTTAGTTCCCATGAAGTCACAAGTGAACTAACCGAAGACTGCATCAATTCATAGTCTGCTACATCTGTAATTTTCACAAAGCATTCTGAATCTGGGTCATCAATTTGGTTCCCCACAACATGAACTCTCATTTCTTCCAAATCTTTAGCAACAGATTTTGTCACTCCGCAAGCAAACAAAAACACAATTTTTGGTTGGCAAAAGTGAATCAGGTGCTGGCTTGCTGCTTTCTTGTAATCTAAGGCAACCTTACAGACATCTTTATCGCCATACTGACCAAGCCCCTCCCATATTCTATGCAAAGAATTTGGATTACGTGCAAACACTTTGAACCAGCATTTCCCATGTTGGCTTTCCACATCAACGACTAATTCTCCGATAATTTTATCATTTATCTGGTATGGAATTTTCTTTAAAATACTGTCTAAATTACTAGCTGCCTCTGCTGTTGTCAGCAAAGCTTCAAGATGGGCTAGATTGCTGCTTCTAAGATTATTTTCCAATGCTTGGTTGTCGTCATCTTTCAATCGTTTTTCTAACGAATTTAAAAATTCTTGTTCAGCAACTATCTTCTTTTGCAGCTTTGCTTTCCCTTCAACATTTTTTAATTTTTCTGCTCGAAAAACCAAGTTCTTTGCTTTCAGTTTTCTTTGTTCAAGTAAATCTTCCATTGCAATCAACAGTGCATGACAAAAACAAAAACTTCCTCTGTTGCTGTTATCAACAATCATCTTGAGAATGCCTCGATCCCAAGAATTGTTCAAGCGGGAAGGGCGAAACTGTTGTTGATGCTGTATTCTTCCACATTCCCAAACTTCACTCTTCAAGATGACAACAGATTTCTGGGGAGATACAAAGGGGTTTCTGGACGACCTTGACGAATTTGAACAAGGCAAAGAAGACCTAGATGATGGGGTAAGGGATGAATTATTTTTAATTTGGTATTTGTGGCGCTAAGTTAGAACTCTGTGTTTGTATTTATTTCTACCTAGCATCCGAAGGTAGTTTTTAGGAAACTGAGAGGCTTATGCTTATTGAGCAGTGTCTTTGTTCTTCCTCTCGATGTGGCCACATCTCGTGATTCCTATGCCTGGAATTACAGAGAGCTGGCGAATCTGGGTGGAAGCTCTTAACTAACCCAGCCCAGTATGCACTCAAAGATTTCTGCTTGCCATAGATTCTAGCCAAAATTTACCCAGAAAAAAGTGGCAGTATACATGGCTCACAAATTTTTTAAACCTGTTCACTAAAACGAACACACAGCACAAAACAAGAAAGTTCCAATACACAATGCAGGTCTCTCATTTTTACCCCTTTGCTAGCAGCCTACTAATGTTGCTTCAATTAATGTTAACTTACTGTTCTAATAACTTGAAATTTTCAAATTACTGCTTAGTTTCATATTTATCAGTTCATCAACCTAGGGTAACAGCAGCCAGTTTTTAAAAAAAACTTATGCCGGCTACAATTCTGGCACATACAAATCAGGTCTTGATGCAGACTGTTTGTTCTATTAGATACAACTATGTCAGTCCGAAAACTTTGATATTGTTATCTGTATCAGCAAGTAATTTAAAGACTTATTTTTGCATTGTCTGAAATAAAACATACAGAACTTTGTGCAACCAAATGTATTTATTGCCAAGATGCAATGTCCAAGGATATAAAAAATAGATAAATAGAGTCATTTTTGTCAAAATGGATACATTTGGATGCAAATAAATTTTTGCACAGCTAATTAAATTTTCGCACAGCTAATCTTATTAATTAATTTGTAATATCTGGTGGACACCAGGCAAAGTTTGCAGCCTGGCAACTATGATCCAGTTCTCTCAGTGGAAGATGAAGACTACTACCATTACTGCTTGAGCAGTAGTTGTATTATTTATAAAACTTATTAAGAACAAGGATCCTTTTCAATGCTGATTCCATCTCTTTTAACCTTAGAAATAGACAGACTTCATTTTAGCCTCCCATCATGTGAGGAGTTGATTGCACTGCATGTCAAACTTTTTCCAATGAGTCAAGCATAAACTTACTACAGAGAGTGTTGATTGAAATGTTTTTGAATTCTTACTTCTATGGAAATTGCATGACAGGAATGTGGCAATTTGCCAGTAATGAGCAGATTAAAGTTGCACTAAGCAGAAACAGACAGTTATGCAAACATTGCTTGCTAACATGGGGGGCCAAGTCAATGTAGAGCAGATTCCAGCTTCACTGAGCAGTAGTCAGCCTGTCCAGACCTATTAAATCATAAGAAATCACATGCTAACATGGAGGGTACATAAAATATTTGTAGACAAACAATGAGCAATGGTGTTGAACAATGGAGTTGTCTACGACTCAAATAGAGGCATTTTCTTATCTCCATACTGCTCAAATTATAAGAAAGATGAGGAGATGCCAACATATTCTGCAATAGGGTCAAACATGCATGTAATTTCTAAAGAAATTATGTAAGAAAATGCTTTATGATAATATTGAGGCTCAAAATTGCTTATGTCATAGAATAAGTTTAAAAAATAATGGCAATGCACAAAGTTTGCAAAAGGTATTATTTTTTGCTTACCAAAAGTTGTTCTCACAGGCTTTTCAATTTTTTGCTTTATAAACTGCTAATTGAAAACAGGTCTGATTTTCATAAATAACTGCACAGCTTGATATGAGCTCAAGGCAAAGTTTCAAAATTATGGAAAGAAAAGCCTTTTGTTCTTTTATACAAGGTGCTGATCAAAAATGATTTAAGAATATGCTAAATACAGAAAATATTTAAGAGTATACAGGCTCAGAAAAATAATAACTGATGATTTGTCACAACTCTGAAAGGGCACTTATTCTTGGTCATCAGTCATCCAAAAATATTCAACTGAAAAGGGGCACTTACTCCTCCTGAAAAGGACATTTGCAATATAAGTTATGGGTCCTTTGTTTCTGTCCTTTATCCATATCAATACCGTTAATTGGCATGCAATATATCACCAGACTGAGTCCATACTTAATCTATTAGATGTAAGAGTTTTGTTTAGGAAGGGTTCAAAATAGGCTCAGTGTTTCTTGTTTTTTTACCTTGCACTAAAAGGTAGTTTTGGTACCTTGAGAAGCTACACTTGTCAATGATGTCCTGGTCTGCCTTCTAGATGTGACAGTTCAGATCAGTTCAGTTTATTAGAAATATATTTTTCAAGCTATTGGAATTGTCACTTATCCTATCGTTTTGTCCTCTCACATTGCTGCACACATCTTATTGGAAAGGCACCTTTCTTTTCATAGATTTTAGTTCTCATTTTTTTGCCTAGAATTTTGTGATTCAACCCTAGTTATACATAAGTCAATTTTGTTTTGTTCAATATTCTAAAAATCAATTTTGTTTCAAGGCTAATTGGAGCTCTGGTCGTGATGGTGTTATTATGCTTATTGATGCCACAAGGCCAATGTTCGTGAAAAACAAAGATGGGGAAAGTCCATTCTATATGTGCCTGAAGGTAAATATGTCATTAGCATTTTGATTTTGCAGGCATGGTCTCTTAAAGGAGAATCAAGGCTTTCTTCCTCTGAAAGGTTTTTGAAGGAAATAGGTCTTGTCATGAGTTTCTAAGTATATTACTGAGGAATATGGTTTGATAAGACGAATGATAGGACATTGGTTAAGAAAATTTTAAAAATAAAACCTCATTTGAAAAATAAAGCTTAATATCATATAAAGCAAAAAATTCAGAACAATTACATTATAAGAAAATAAGTCTTTTTTTAGCAGTAAAATGTTGTAACTTATACAAAAAAGGAGCAAGTTCCAACCTTAAAAAATTTCAAAGACATCAAAGATTCTTGTGCTTTTTCAACCACATTTCCATTCCATGCTTCAAAGAACTGTAGGAAGAATTAACTGAGTGGCTGGTGATAAATCACGCTACTGGGAGCAATAGCTGATTAAAGATGTGGTCATGCACTGATGGGTACTACCACTGGCTACACATAATTTCTACCCATGAGAATCTCTGTCATCACTCTGAAGCTCAAAACATTGCAAAAGAAAGTCAATGAATTTTGAGAAAAAAGTTTAAGCAGGGCAGCTTTTTTCATATGAAAGTGGAAATCTTTTGGAGAAGAACATACTTAAAATGGGTAACAATTACCATATTTTAAAACCAATTTGAGAAGCAACATGAACGTTTTGTAGAAAGCAAAGTTATAGAAGAGTCTTGTATGACCTATGATAGGCCTGAAATCTTTGCTAAGAATAAGGAGGTTGTATTTGATGTGTTTTGAATAACTTTATTTAATGCCTGAAAATATTTTTTTTTAGTGTGCAAGGAACACACTCATGGGAAAGGCGATCAGCAGTGATAGAGATCTTGTGGCAGTTGTATTTTTTGGGACTGTGAGTTAAAATGTTGATTTTAGTAATTCTATTAACTCTATATGAATTTTAATCTTTATACCAAGAACTGGCCCTTTATGTATAGATGTGTCTTCTATTTGACTGTCCCTTAGCGGCCTTATTATCAAGAATTTCAAATTGTCAGTGCAGTTGCATTTGTAGAAACCAGTATGATAGATTTTTGGGAATCAATGAAATACGGTTTGGTACTCCTCAATAGTACTAGCAGTTCTAGTTTTCTAGCCCCTATGTTTCTTGTCAGCAATAAATTCATGCATATATTGTTCAAATACAAAAGGAACCTGACTACCCACTGTAGTTAAATAGGGTCAATACCTCTTGTCGTCCATGTTTCTCAATTCATTTCCCTTTATTGGCAGAATGTTGGTAATAGTTTTAGTTTTATGGTCACTTTATGCGATCAAATTGTTTTCAACAGGAGAAAACAATGAACGACAATGATTTCAAACACATATACCTTGTCCAGGTGGGTGCATTGCTTGTCCAGTAAAACAGTGTACAACTGAAATTCTTCTCTGCTTTTGACATAAACGTGTAAAGCAATCCTTGTTTTTGTTTTTTTTAATTCCTAATTTTGGTGGTTTGAATTTCAGCGACTGGATACACCTGATGCTGAAAGAATCAAGGAGCTTGAAGCACTGATGGAAGGTAAAATGAAAACTAAGTTATAATCGTTGAATTACATGACACAACGATTTCATTAGTGAGGCAATATTTTATCTTGGTGTTTATATGTTTGAAAGGGTATCAGGTTAAACTGTGGCAATGCTGTTTGGTATGTAACACAGGAACTGTACTAGAGCCTTCCTACACCTGATGGCCACTATGTTATGCCAGTATAAATACACCTTACGAAAGCCCAGTTCGATTTTGAAAGCCCATTTAAAGAACTGTTTGGTGTAGTATTTGGCAATCGTTTTCTCTTTCAAGTTCAATGCTGGACAGTATTAGTGACTTGCTCTTGTTTTTATGGCAGTTAGCCTATCACAAGCAGTATTGTGGTATGGTAAAATGATCAAACTCGACTATAAGCAGTTATCCAGTACTTCGTAAACAGGGCTGAATACAGGCCTCTCCGTGAGCAATTTAGCGGCCGCGTGCTCAAACTTGCTAAGGCGCGCGTTCTACCAAAAAATATATTTACGTTAAAGTAGGCGAAAACGGCATGTTTTCGCATGTAAATACTTTGTATCTAGAAATATAATAAAGGATTAAAAGAAAAAAAAACACATTATAGTTGCAGTTCGTCAATGTCTAGCTCAAATTCCGATGAAGAATCGGAGTCAGAAGAAGTGGAAGAATCAGAATTCGTTCCATTGACGTACGATTCAATTGCTTTCCTGGCACTTCCTTTACTAAGAGGATTTGATAAAATAACGCTTTTGTGTTTTGAGCAAACTTTACACCAAATCGAAACCACAATTGTCTTCCCATTCCTATCTTCGGTCTTTGATCCGCTAACTTCGTCCTTGCGATACTTGCGAAAGCAGATAGCTCTATGGCTTGACCCTTTGAATTACTGGCCATTTAAAAAACTTATAACAATCAGGACTCACAATGACAGTTTATTGGTTATTGACCGGAAATATCACTGGACTTTAATTGGAGAGGCCTGTGAATACCATGCTCATTCTCAAAAAACAAAAAGTGTAACACTCAGTATAAGTTCTGGTAAACTGGAAAGTAAAAATTCAAAAATTTGGAAATGAAAAACAATGTCTTTTGATGATGAGGGATGGATAATTAGTGAAAATTGAAAAATTTTATTGCATGAATCTCAAAACGTTTGGTTTAAACTGGGGGCCGTATGACGAAAGATCGGTACAAATCAGTTAAGCCTTAGTTGATTTTTGGGGTGCAGCTCGGGATAATTGCCCACCGCTTGATTTTGTAAAATTGGATCCTTTTTTTTAATCTTGCACCCCTCTTTTCAAGTGCATACTTCTGTTTCCCTATAATTGACTTATCGCCCTGTGGCTGCTACTGATAGCTTACTTCAGGATACTGTCAATACCTGTCTAAACTATTTGGCTTTCTGTAATTTTCATGGATTTTTGTCAAAAACCGGAATGTCAATAAATTGATTTACGTCAATAGAAGTTGGAATACTACTACCGCGATGTCTTTTTTGTCGCCGCATTGGCGATTTTTTCAGGATACTGTCAGTTATATTTTTCTCGCTCAAAGTACCTTTTTCATTTGCAGATACTGAGCAAGGTGAATTTGAGAATTCTCTAGGACACAGCCAGCAATTTTCGATGTCTGACGTCCTCTGGGCGTGTTCCAATATTTTTGCCAGCTGGTAAGTGTTGCTTCGTCTTAATGGAAAGTTACATTTGTGTTTACCTCTGGAGATTTTGGATTTTTCAGAGAAAAATTTAGAAGAATCATGATACAATATAAGAAAAAATAAAACGTGTTATGTTTTTTTTATTAGAAACGAACTATTTAAAACCACAACAAGGCTTATTAACTACGTGCCATCAATAGCCTGAACGGACATATCGTCAGCGATTCCCCTTTGTATTACACTCACAATTTAAATAAAACCTTTTCCAATAATAGACACAAACAGGTACACACATATGCCTCACACACCAAAAAACTACGGACAAGGCCAGATACAGTGCCTGTAGTTAATGATCTTCATCGTCTAATGAAACAAAGGGTCTGGATGATTTGATGCACTCTGCAGTAGCTTCAAGTATGATTTGGTCTTACACAGGACACACTGATACCCCAGCGTTTAAAGACATTTATAAACCTCAATGTGGAAATCTAAAGATTTTGCAAGTTTTATGAATGTTATTATACCAACAGATCCCTGACAACGGTTTGCTCAGCTTCAAATTTTGTCCTTTGGCTAATCTTGTTGAAAGCGGTCTTTTTATTGATGAATTTTTATTCAAAAATAAATTCAAACTTTTTGCAAAATCACAAAGATTATACTTCTTCTTTACGGAATTTGTCTTTTCCTTCAAAAACTGGCACCACTTTAAAAAATACAAAAGGTTGTGCTAATATTGTTTTATTTGAAAAACTTGATTTGTCTTAGTACGATGAAGATGGCTAACCGACGAGTATTGCTATTCACCAATACAGACGATCCTCATGAACTAAACTTGGATCTAAAGGTATGTGCCACACGGGTATGCAAATGCACCAAACTCCAAATGAACATAACGTCTTGTTTGTGCTTTATGATTTATTGGTTGATTTGCTCTCTTTTTTCTTTAGAGTTTCAGTTTCGAAAAGTTTTGTGTTGTTTGAGCAATCTCTTTTAGGTGGAGTCTAATATCTTATACAATTATCCATGTAATTCATGCAAAAGCAAAGTTAGAAATGAGTATTTTATAAGAAGAGAGGATCATAAAAATGGACCTTGCTCGTTAACACCAATCAAACTATTTTCCATTGGTTCTTTCTCATACTTCCTCTTTAGTGTTTCAGATAGAGTTTTCAAGATCCAGCAGCTTTTAGAATCTTCTTCATATGAGTTTTTGCATGATCCTAATTATCCGACCTGAGTTGTTAATTCGATACTTTAGGACAGTGCATGAAAACCCACCCGACCATGTGACGGGACGATCGCAAGAAATTTTTCATAAATAAAGCTCTGCAGGTTTTTTTTAAAATAAGCTCTTTTCCAACAAGCAGCTTTGTTTCTTTAATGTTCATAAAAAACATGAAGATCAAACAAATGTATCTTATGTATGTGCCTTGTACAGGTTAAAATGGTTTTTCTACCTAAGAACCCTTGAGAATGTTTTTAAAAATTCTTGCTTGATAAAAGTTTACAGTCTTTCATCTGTCTTGAGGATCTTTGTTATAATTTGCAAAATTCTTGAAAATTTTGCACATTTTTGCTATGCTGATGATGCATGCAAGGCCCCTACCGTACATTGCCCACCACAGTGATTCTTGCTGATTAAAGCAAAGTTTCTCTTATGCTTTTTGCAATTGATTTTTTCTCAGGATTCTGGCCTATATCTAATCAAATAGTTTGTTAAAAACTTCCATGGATACAGGGACATCCTGTGATTAATCTTTTTAAGCTCATTCTGTTAATGTTGTTTATTCTAATGCTTGCCTCCATTTCCCAAAGATAGCATCTGCCTCAATTTGATCTCCACTTGAACTTTTCCAACTGCATTCCAGTAAACTTCAACATTCTCAGTGGATATTCACCAGTTAGAGAGTAAATTATTATAGCTAAGCCCCTATTCCAGAACAATTTAGGCGTTCGTGAAGAAAAAGACTTTGAAGTGATTGTTAAATTGCTTAAAATTTTATAAATGTAGCTTATGCTTTCATCAGACTGGTGACCCTTTCTTCTTTTATCTTTAAATTCTCGCAGGAAATTTATGCATGATTTTTGTCCGGTCGCAGGAAGGAAAACAAATTTTCATGCCCTGCTTTAGGACCCTGATGCCTAGACATATTGGAAATCATTCTTTCAGAATAACCTCGCGAAAAAATGACAATTTTATTCAAGGTTGCAGAAGCTTGCCACTGACTCTTCATCATTTTTAAATTTTTCATGTTTTCTTCTCTAGAGAAGAGCTTTGAAGAAAGCAAAGGTTTGTGCTCATCAAATTAAATTAATATTTTAAGTATTTTTTATTTTTGACATCTTTAGCTGATTATTTAGATTCATTTTATTCCTTACTTTCAATACGCTTTTTCTTTACTTTTTAAAATTCTCTGAAACCAAATCTTTCTCCCATTTAAGGATCTATGCGATCTTGGAATTTTTATCGATTTGATGCACATTCAAAAGCCTGATTCCAAGTTTGATGTTCAGAAGTTTTATAAGGTAATTCTAGGTAACGATTAGTATGCTTCTTGTGTTTCGTTGATAAAAAAATTCTTCTATGTCAATCGGACAGGAGTATCCAATAATTGGCATCTTATTTACTTTTGGTTATTTTCCATTGAAGATCTGGTATTTCGTATTTTAACATTCACAGTCTTAACCACCGGGCTGCATATCACTGGTGCTAATTCTACAAGAGTTTTAATTCTTTAATCCTGTTATGATCTACTGTTAAATATATTGCATTGACCTACTCCTTCTTAATGTCTATTCTGTTTCTGGTTTTGACATCAATTTGTCGTGAATTTTACCTGAAAGAATCTTGTTACAGGATGTCGTTTTTTGTGACGAAGATGAGGATTTGGAAATTCTTGCTGATCCATCTGAAAAATTCGACGAACTTTTAACAAGGTTGCTGATCTTTTTTTTACATGCGTAACAACAATTCGCTAAAAATCAATGCAATGCTTTCCTCTGTATGCATAAATAATTTTCGATTTTTTGCTACTTTGATGGGTAAGCCTTTTATGTTGTAGAGTGCAAGGAAAAGAGTACAAGAAGAGAGCCATATCAAGACTGCCATTTAAGATATCGAAAGATCTCGAGTTTGGTGTTGGAGTGTACGCTCTCGCTAGGAAAGCGCGAAAGCCAAATTACGTGAAGGTGGACAGCAGAAGCAACGAAGAACTGTCCACGGTTACGAAAAGAATATGCGCGGTGCGTTTCGATGAGGTTCTTTTATCTCTCTTGTAAATTATAATGTACAACGCTCATTCCATTGATGATGTATGGTGTCGTAGCATTCGCTCACATTTTCACTTAATTGATTCTCTGCTGTATTTGCCAATGTTTTTGTTGCTAAAAGTTTCCTGGGGGGCTGGGACTGTGGCTAAACATAGTTATTTGTTAAGGGTTACTTTCTTATTACAGCGAAAGCTGACCTTATTTTCGTAAAGTGAATGTCAATCTAACTCCAGCTAAATTTTAAACATGCATACTTAACCTATAAACCCCTTAAGTTGATGGAAAAGCCAGACTGGTACCAAGTGCTGATGAAAAATGACAGTATGCGTGAAAATAAATTATGTGTACTCAGGGTGTTAATGTAATGTCACTATCACAAGAAACGAGCTGAAATGCACATAGATAAGGAAGAAACCAAGAAAAATACAAAGTTTTCTTTGTGTGGTGAAAAAGAGTGTGTCAAGTGCAATTGAATTGATATGTTCCATGTTGAAACGATTATATGATATGATGTAATAGATAGCGTGTTTACATTTCAGGACACTGGGCAGGAGCTTATGCCCACCGACATCAAGTATGCCAGAAAATTTGGAGGTGAAAAAGTATGGAATTAAAACCTTCTTTAAGTTTTTGTTTTTGTTTTAGCACTCTAAATGGTTACATAATCTAGCATTTCAATTTGAATCTAGTATTTCAACTATATTTGCACTATTTGTTGTATGGAACAGGACGTAGAAGCAACTCAGAACTGTCCTGTTCTATACACCAAAAAGCATGTACAGTTCTGTTTTTATGGCATCGAGCACTTTATGACAAACGGGTAAACGTAATTTTCATGAAACTTGATTTATGTAATTGTGAAATATGCGAGAATGCCTCTCACTTAGTATTTGAGGTCTAATTATCTATGACTGTGTTTGTAATATACAGTTGCCTTTTGACCGCATTTAATGTAAAACACATTTTCATTCAATCTCCATTCTAACTAGCAATTTTTGCCAGGTACTTTTTGAGAAAAATGAAGTTGAGGAAATGAAAACATTTGGAGAGCCAGGTAGGAATTAGCTTTGCTGTAAAAGGCGAAAGGGTAGACTTATTAAACTTTTTTCTCGTTGCCATAAACTCGGTTGGCTTAAAATTGAAGTACTTTAGCTACCAGGTATAAGTGAATGTCAAATTAAAACTTTGTATCATACATCTGACTTTATTCATTATCTATTCAATCATTATATCGCTTATGCATTTATTTTTTATAACTGTTATTTAAAGGAATTATTGAGTAGAAAAGAATATCAAAATACTTCGAGAAAACAGAGCCTTGCCTACTTGAAGTTCCAAGAGTAAGAACTTTGACTTTTGCAAGAGAGCATTTGAATATGCTGCACCTTTGCCCTGGTGCTCTTTGTCTCTCCATATCGCAAAATCGAAAACAGTCACAATTTCAAATAAGACAGTTAGAAAATATCTTTTTCAAGAAGCATTTGATTTTTAATTTATCATTTATATTGACAAATACAGAATCTAACTTTCAAAGGTCTTAATTGTAATTTTAAGAGTTGTTTTAGCTTAATATATTTGTACGTAAACATTGTATGCGCCGCAGAATATTGTATAATATAGGGTCGCTTTAAAAAATCAACTACTTAATATCATTATCATATTATTATTTGACTAGGTTTCCAAGCAGTTGCTGTAAGCATCTCCAATGCCCTCCATGCAGAGGCCCTCTTGCAGAAGCCTCCTTGCAGAAGCCCCTCTTAGGCAAGCAAAAACCCCTGTCCTCCTCTCCCCACCCCTTCCCACATGTCCCCTGTTCATTTTACCTTCGCCTTTCGCTCACACGTGCGAATTTACTGAAGGGAACCGCCTCTCTAAGCATATTTATGCTTCCCAAAAGAAAAAATATTTGGCTACTTTCCAACAGGCTTGAATCTGTTCGAAAATCCTTCTTTTACAGTGGCTTATGTTAAGTATTGCTTGTAGTACGTAGACATAAGCCTTGTAAGATCGAAAATCAAAGACGTGGCTCACGTCTCGCATTATCTAGCCTTTAGAATTGCCTTACTAACTTCATAACAGACTGCCCTTTTTTCAGGTCTTCATTTGTTGGGATTCAAATCAAAAGATCTGATGAAACCCTATTACTATGTCAAACCTGGTCAGTTTATTTTCCCTGATGAGAAGGTGAGATTTTTTCCTGTGGCACGTGAATTGCTCACACTGAAGACTATATTTTTGCATTTATTTGTATTCAATTGGTATACTGGGTTTATTTGGGTAATTACAATCTCGTTAACTCCAGAGTTAAGGTGGTCTTATACCCTTTGCACGAAAATGCATATGGTAGAGTTCAAATGGTTCTATTTCAGTAAAATTTCATTCTATGCACATGAAATTTTACATTACGTTAGACAATGATCAAATTTTGTTTTACAATATATTTTGGATTGGTCCTGTGACCAGGGTGTATTTTATGGACTGGAAATGCTGGACCAGGCTTAAACTTTAAAAAAGGTTTTAAATCCACTCGGCAGTCTTAAGGAGATAAGCAACCATCCAAATGAAAGAGTAAGTAAAGTAGACTTGGATGAGTAGAGGAATTTGTTGACATGGCAACTGTTGCTATTGAAACTTAAATAAACTGTACGAGCTGCAGTACAGTAAATCCCCGCATATAAGAACCTACGAAAATTAGAACCTAGAGGCTGTTTTTCCTAAATTATGCACCTTGTAATTAAGAACCTGTTTCAGTGTGATTTTCAGCATTTTATACTCTTTAACGAAAGAGAACTTTAAAATCAATTTGACTTTTTAACATAATTATATAAACAATTTTTTTGCGGTACAGAATTTGAAAATGGCTTTGAAAAAAGCAAACATCTTACGACATACTAAAAGCTTTTTCGTCTGACACTCCTCAGAGCATAAAACGTCAGAATAAGATTCCAAAAGAACACGATGGAAAATATATACCCAGTTGTGGATCGAAATAGGCCAATCAGAAAAACGCAAGCACAAGACCGGTATAGTTGACCAATCAGTACCGCGAGCCTAAAGAAAAATTACCAATGGAGTCCAAGAGAGAAAACGAACTCCTTTGTCTACACAATGGCGGCTTTTTCGTTTTTTTGTAGATTGACTCCAAAACTGCTAGATGGAAGGACGACCGGGCTCTGCCAATTATCCGAAACATGTCGTCATTTCGGTCAACATCTTTTAGACAACCCAGATTTTGCCAAACTCTATAATGACGACATGTTTCGGATAATTGGCAGAGTCCGGTCGTCCTTCCATCTAGCAGTTTTGGAGTCAATCTACATAAAAACGAAAAAGCCGCCATTGTGTAGACAAAAGGAATTCGTTTTCTTTCTTGGACTCCATTGGTAATTTTTCTTCAGGCTCGCAGCACTGATTGGTCAACTATACCGGTCTTGTGCTTGCGTTTTTCTGATTGGCCTATTTCGATCCACAACTGGGTATATATTTGCCATCGTGTTTTTTCGGAACCTTATTCTGACGTTTTATGCTCTGAAGAGTGTCAGACGAAAAAGCTTTTAGTATGTCGTAAAATGTTTGCTTTTTTCAAAGCCATTTTCATAATTATGTAAAGCAAAATCCGAAATGTTGAAATATGAAAAAAGCATTAGAATTCATAATTTTCAATTCCTGAGGACGTATGAGATCATCTCCAGATCCACCCACTGTCATAGGCAGCCAGTGCGCTCAAATGTCTTCCTGTAAATATCTTTGTAATGTAACATTAATAACATTGCCAAAAGGAAAAAAACAGGGTTGAGTGCATCTCTTGATAATGGATCCTAAAATTTTAAATAAGGGATCCTTTGAATAAGAACCTTCATACCCTGAAATTAATCTAAGTACCTTTCCAATAAGAACCTACTTCAGCCTGAACCTCAAAAAGTAGGTTCTTATGTGCGGGGATTTACTGTATACATCATTTCAGTGTACAATTTTTTTAGCCATTTAGGGTCCTCAAAGAATCCAATCAAAGACATTTTAAGATTCACCCTAGGTACTTATATAGTAAAGAAAGAAAAGGAAATGAAGGAAACAAAAAAGTGTCTCTTTTTGCTTAAAGAAAATATAGAACTTTGTTATAGCCTCATCGATTCGGTTATATTCGCTGGATTCAAATGTCAGTTTATTTTTATCAGGTTATATCTGGTAGCAAATTGATTTTCACCGCGCTGCTGAAAAGATGCCTGGCAAAGAATGTTGTTGCAATTTGTTCTTACATCGGTCAAAACCACAGGGTGCCGAGGCTTGTTGCATTATCTCCACAGGTTTGTCCAAGCTTCTTGTTAATAATTCTTTTCCTTTTCGTCTTTCTCTCAAATTTTTTCAAATATTGCCATTTCTCTCAGAAAGGAATAAAGATTTCCTATGTATATTCTACGGGAATTTGATCCTTCGGTTTTGTATGTATGCCTTCAACCATTATCGGCTTTTTTGATTCGCAAAAGCTCTTTAAGAACAACTTCAGACGAGGATGTAGTTTCAATTCCGTTTTTTCCTTTCTTAGTAAATTAAGCATTTTAGTCGTTTTTTTCATTTGTGTTTATTTTTCGTTCTTGCGTGTCGGTTTGAACAATATATTATATTTGTGAAACGTAACCTTTTTGAATATTGTAAAATGAAGTGAATTAAAATGAAATCAGTCATGTCATATTCGCTGCGCTTTTTGTAGCCTTATTTGGTAGTTTTTAGAGCAATTCTCAAAACTGTTGCTGGGAGATCGTTGAACAGAGCGAGAAACAGACTAGGCCTTCGACCTGCGAATTGTCGTGCAGCTGCATCTTCAATTTGTTATTTACCAACTCCACTACTTACTGCTCCTGCTCTTTTTGCTCTTGGGGCTAACTTTTGAATCGACAATGAATCAATCTGCAAAATAATGCATGTTTTTTATAGTCTCGGAAATAACATTTTTGTTCAAGCTTTGTTCAAGCTGCTTTGTTCAAACGCGCCTTATTTTTGCATGCCAAACGTCAATTTTCAAATATATTTTATATCTGTAAACGTTGTGATGAAAACGCTGATTCTTGCTGAATTTTCTCAACAGAAAGAAGAGTACGATGAACATGGTTATCAGTCAAAGCCCTCGGGATTCAACTTGATATTCCTTCCATATGTTGACGACATTCGCAAGCTCAGTGTCGAAGAGGCCCCCAAAGGTTTTCATTTTCTACTATTCGTGTGAAGTTACATCAAGTTAAAGAGGACCCTCGGGGCAAATATTGTCTCAAGCCGAGGGGCAGTTCACTTTTGCAAATAGCACACGAGATTTCTAGAAAAGAAAAATGATTTTCATGGATTTTGTGATAAAACAATAGGAAATTTTTATAGAGTGATTTGCCCCTCGTGTCAAGAGGTCTGCCAGTTATGTGAGGGTTCCGCTATTTCTATTTAGACTCTGTTACTGATATAGATCAATTATTTACGAATGAGAGCGTAGTGTAGGTGTACTTCGAAAAAATATGCAAATTAAATATAAAAAATAAAATTCTTCAAGAGCCCCAAGAGAAAGCTAGTTATCAAAAGCACTTCCGTAATATGGTATCATCTATTGACTGGCCTTCTGTTAAATTTTATGCTAACTTCCAATTTTTAGCCTTATCCCGGCGTTTTATCAGACAGAAAGCTGAGGATTCCTCCCGTTGAGGATTCAGCCCTTTGAGGATTCCTCCAATTGAGGATTCCTCCCCTTGAGGATTCCTCTCTTTGGGGATTCCTGATAAGGGGATCTCACTAACAGCCTATCAGAATTCCTCTGTTGTGCCCCCAAGTCCCAACTAATCAACTTTTCCTCCTTTGCTGCCAGTTGCAATCCTCCAAGCCAGTTCAGTTGCACTCCAGTGCCCTCAAGGAAAGGGCAGCCAATATACTGTTTCATATCGCAACCGTTAATCTGTACCTGTATTTTTGCAGCCTTTGCAAGCAAGTGGCAGGTGCTTTATCTATGGACTTAATGGAGGCACTGTCACCATTTTCATCATCACAGAGGATTCTTAAACAATCAGCATTAAAAGATTAAAAATTAGCCAACATTTGCCTGCAGTCAGATTACACCTGATTTATTATATCGTGAAAAATGGAAAAAATTATATCTGCAATAGCAGTGAAACAGGCTGTCCCAAAAATGCCTATGTCCACCCTTGTTAGCGTTAGCTAGTCAGTAAACTGCTCCAATTTTTAATGATTTCCTCGCAGCACAGACAAATTTCGTTCATAATAATGAAGATTGCTCTGTTTTCCTCTCACATGAAACCGAAATCAAGGTTACAAGTTTGCTTTTCCCTAGAAAACAAATCTTCAGGTGGATACTGTGAGATTATGAACTGTCTTTATTTTGCAGCGACACACGAACAGATTGACAAAGCGAAGGAAATGATCAACAACTTGAAGTTCAAATTTAGCAGTGAAAATTTTGAAAACCCACGTAAGTTAGGAGTCTCCTTTCACACCCTTGAAGCTCAGTTACAGAAAAATTTATAGTTTTTATCATGTCTCTACTTGAAAACGATTTGCCCTTTAGGTAGAAAGTTGGTTTCATTCATTAAAATACCCAAACCTTACATATACTCGATTGTTTGAACCACAAAGTTTACATTCAGCTAAACTTCAGGAGCACTTGCAGCCCCTTCCTTGGAAAAAAAGTGTCTGTCATATGGTGTCATTTTTATTAACCTTACAACAGATTTTAGCCACAGCTGATTTTTATTGACCTAGCTGTATCAACACTTCATCTTTTACTATATTTTGTTAAGTGTTAGATCTGGGCCGTTTCGTTCCCTCCAGTTTAAATAGCAGTGGCGGACACTTTGGGGGGATGGGCAAGCCTATTGTTTTGATAAAATGGTGCCGCATTATCTCATTGTTTTAGAATAAAAGAGCATTGTATTTGGAAAGCGACCCCCTTCGCCCCCTTCGCCCCCTACCGCGCCCAATAGCAATGGAATTCGTTGCTCTACCAACTCAGCTACCCGGTCATGTTTTCAAATCGAAGCCCAAAGCCGTGCGACTTGTACACCCCTCTCCGCGATTAACTAAGTGCGCAAGGGAGCCATCGGAGCTTCCATCACGTTGCACACCGGAAATGCCATGAGGGAGGACTTTCCACACAAGGTGAACAATCGAAGTCACCACAATAGGGTAGGGTTGAGTGCAGAACAGGGCTTGAGAAAATAAACTTAATTTTGAGAATATGTTCTGTAATTTTCAGATTCTTTTTATAATAATGTAAGCTTCCTTTTCTTGCTTAGAATTTTGTATTCTTTTTCCTTTAGATCTTCAACATTTTTTAAGAACATTAGAAGCAATTGCTTTAGATCGAGATGATGTTGAGCCTGTCCATGATACCACAAGTATGTTCCAGCACTTTTTTAATTTGCACTTGTTTCTTCTTGATTTTCTCTTACTGATATTACTCGCATGAAAATTTTTTCAAGATTATAAAAACGTTCAAAAGAAAGCAGTTCTCTGGTTAATTCGCCATTGAAGTGCTACCCCCGGGGGTATGCTTTTCACATTTTTATGGGACAAAGTCAGGGTTTTAAAACGTTTTTCGCATTCCTCCGTCACTTTATAGGTCAAGTGTCCACCCGCTGGGTGCTACCCTTACTCTCGTTTATAGTACTGTAATGTCATGAGCTCTATCTGTTACCTTCAGCTATTTTTCATTTTATCGATATTTATACACGAACTTCTTTCAGCTTGACAAGTTAACAACCTATTAACAATATGTGTTAAGAATAAAGAAATATGCCTGCTTAACCAAAAGTTCGTGTTTGGGTCCTGTACATTTAAAGGTTCAAAAGATGTTCCCTAGATAATCAATAGTCTTCTGTAGGCGTTTGCTACCAGAAAGTTAATCTTCAGGTTAGCAAAGGACCGTTAAAGTGCAGCTAAAGTAGCAAAATCGTAACAAGATTTCACCAGTATTTATTGTTCTAAACTTTTGCTAACATTGTCCACAATTTCTGATCATCTAAATACAGCTATCAGCAATGCTTTGATTTTATCGTCATTATAACTTTATAAAATTGCTTCAACGCCGTGCATTCATGTATGATTTTTTATGGGACGTTTTGGAAACGGACGTTAGCAGTGTATTTGATCCTACAGATATCTGGGTTTATTCTTACAAATTATTTTCCAGTGCCTGACGTAGAGGTTATGGAGAAGAGGGCTGGAAAGATCATCAATGAGTTCAAGAATATGGTGTTTCCGGAAGGTTATGATCCAACGGTATCTTGCAAGCATTTTATTTTAACCGAACGAACAGGGCCTTAAAATCCCCGTTTGTAGATAATTATTGGGGAGAAAGGTTTTAGGGGAGAACAGCAATTATTGTTTAGATCACAGTTAATTTGCTGTGGGTTATTGCCTGAGGACAGTATAACCCTACTGGTGGTTATGATGAAAACCGAAATGAATGGATAACTTTTGTTGAAGTGATTTGTAAGAGACTCTTTTGAAAAATTATTTCGTCTATTTCAAGTACTTGAGCGAAAGCCAATACACATGCCATAAAGGTGTACATGAAATAAGCTTCTGCGTGTATATGCAATTGAAACATTGACACGACCGTTTGTTATCTTGATGTGAATATCACTGCTGTATGCAATTTTAATGGGAATAATGTTGAAAGTTCTGCGTTAGATCATCAAAATAGCAATCAGACGGTGTAAACAAGTTGTTTTGCAGCACTGGTATTGGACAGTTGTATATAAGCAAGAGACTTCAAGTTTGAATCAGTGCTGGTTGTTTTGACTCGTTTTACTCTAGACTGCAATCCCATAGTTTTCACTACCTTCCTTTTATTTTTCAGGCGGGAGCGAAACCGGCTAAGGTAGCAAAGGTCGAAGTGAGTGATGCTGAAATCGAGGAGAAAGCCAAGAAAAATCAAGTAAGTATGATTATGTCAACAGCGGTTTCATATGGAAGAGGTTGTTGACCCCAGATTCTTTCTCATTTAACACTGGCATATTCGTCTCTCCTTTCAAAGTTAGCATTTAAACTAACTTCCTACATCGAATGATCAAATGGATTGAGTGAATAAACAAATAGACTAAGCCGACATAGCATCATCTCTGGATTTTTATGACACTTCGAACTGCTTTCGCAATGTTTGAATTAAATTTCAATTTCCTCGGAGTTCCTCGTTTACCCGCTAAGAATAAGGATATTTATTCTCTTTTTCACAATTTTAACCCTCCTCCTTTTCTCTACTTTTCACCATTTCGAATTTTCTTTTCCTCTTGGCACATAACATACACCAAACAACCCTTAAAACATACACTCGGTGCAAGTCAGGTTTAAATTAAATCTGGTTGCATTTATCCTCCAAGAACAAATTTCGTTTGCTAAACAAAGCGTTAAACATTTGCCTGCAGTAGTACAAATTAAAAATATAAGTCCTCTCACCTGTTCTTCAACCAGCTTGTGTTTACTCGAATAACGTTTGAATATGACTTTTCCAAATCAATATGTTATTTTGCTAGACGCCAAGACTGTTTGTTTACAATAGGATCATCAAATTAATTGTTAAATTCTATTTTCCTTCTGCAATATGTCTTGGTCATTGCCAGTTGGTCATTGCCAAAGACACAAGATTTTGATAGGAGAAACCTGTTTGAAAGAAATTATGGGCGACTTTTTTTGAGACTTTTTGTCTACACTCGAAACCGGTAAAAAAAACCTCTTTTACCAAACACGCACGATAAAATTCCAATTTTAAGTTTGTCCTTTTTAACATATTTTATTGCATTAGCAGTTTCAAACTTGATCAGGTTGGTATCCTTGGAACTCGTATGAATCGATGACAAATTTGTCTCCTTATGTTTATGTCTTCAAATTTGTCTCCGTAATCCTTATGTTTTCTATTTAACAAGTGTTTTCAAGATGGGTTTCTTTGAGAAATAATCTGACCATTTGATGAAAGGTAGTTTTGACACACCTAAGAAATCGTGTTTCAATAAATTGGGAATAATTGCCTAACAAACGTTGATAGATTTTGCTTCTGAAGTGGTGACGTAAGGTGTTGCCGTCTGGGGAAGGACTGGGACTAGTAAGGCTGGTAAAACTGAAAGAATAAAAGAATAGCGGACTAGTAAAACTGAAGGAATAGCAGAATGCTTAGAAACTTCGTTGTTTTGCTGCTTTAAACGGTCTTTATTAATTGAATTCTGGCGAATTTCTTAAATCTCTTGTTTCTGTGTAATTTTCACCTTCGTCTATCAATTTTTAAGATATCATGTATTATTAATTGACTTGATTCGTGTTTACGAGGGATGATGACGTCATCCTGTATGAGTTTTCCACACTTATCGACTATTAATTCTTCAGGTTTTCGATCTTTCATCTGTTTTGAAGAACAAGAAGATAAAAAGCAACTATGCAGGATGTCCGCTAACCTGCAAATCATTTGATTTCAATTCGATTAAGAGACATTTGCTAATGTTTCCAGCAAGCAAATGTGTTTACGGATGGCTGTGCTTCGAATAGTTAAATTCATCGCAGTAGTATTTTCTTCACAGCAGTGCATCATTCATGAGCTAAGTGCCAATTTCTGTAAGTTTTTGGTAATTTCAACGCCCCAAAACATAAATAATTAAATTTCATTGCAGTTAAACAAATTGACTGTTCCAGTTTTGAAAGAATTCTGCCAGTCGAAAGAAATAAAACCTGCGTCGTCAAAGAAAGCTGACCTTATTGAAGCCATTACGAAGCACCTGCAATAGTCATGATGATGATGATACCCCCATCCAATGGCTTCGTGTCAGCAACTTTAAAAGCTCTCTTGTTCAAAGCCAGACTTCTGAAAGCCAGCTACAGCAATAAAAAAGTGCCGCAGACAGTCAAGATTATATCCAGATCAATAAATAGGGATGCCTTTCTATAGACGATTTCAAACCCTTTGTATATTTGATGTATGGCTTGCAACGTATTTGCTATATGTGGTAACAGTTTTTATAGAAATCTCTTTCAGACTTTTAGACTTTCAACTGAACAAAACCTGCTTGTGATTTGTGGATGCCTTTTTTCACTTATAGTTTTTGGATGACATCACTTTAATACATTCGCTAAAATTATATGAAACTGTTCCATGTAACCCCTTGTGGAATCCTGCCCTTTTATAAAATCGGTCACTCGAGCTCCTTGAATTAATGTGTGGGTTTGTTTTCTACCCACTCACGTCAATACACTAAGATATTTGCATGCTGTAAATTTCACATTTTCTTTTCCGGGTTTCAGATTTCTTGTCTTATGTACGAATGGCGACTGCATACCAAAATGGTCTAAGTCAGCGAGAGTCTGTTTAAGGTGTGTGTTATTGGTGCCGCAGCATTAGGCCCATTCCTGAAATAATAAACGAGAATTTTCCTGAAGCTGAATAGGCCAAGTAACAAGCCCTTATAGTGTAGCATGAGGAAAAATTTGGACTTAATCCGGCATTGCATTCAATGGACTAAATGCCTGAGATATTCGCTCTTTGGTGCGATATGTGAATTTTGGCTATTTGCTTTATCTAGCTGAAAATAAAATTTTAACGATTTGATATTTTTGGCAAGTGGTTAATTTGCCAGTAGCCTGGGGACGAAATATGCCAGGAGGAGATGGGTGAAAAAGTTTTATGGAAAAAGCCCATCTTGAAAATATCTAATCCATGTAAAGAAGTGGCTTTTTAAGGATTTTTTTCATTATATATGCGTGTTTCTCGCTAAGGGGGTAACTTTAACTTTTTATATACAGGAGGGGGGTCTGTCCAATAACTATGGGTAATAATTTTCCTTATGATCTGATACTTTTGGGTACTTGATTTAAAAATATACCTTGCTGATACTTATTGGTCCAACTACCACATAACAATACCAAAAACACAAACAAAGAACCGATGTGTTTTAACTGATTATTATAGGAAACAGTCTATATTACTATAACTAGATGCCTCTTATGTGCTCTACAACAAAATGTTGTATTTTGGAATATTTCGATCTTAACAATACATTTTAGCTGATAATTTAAGGTCTGTTAAATTTGTTTTTGATACTCTTAGGTAAATTTTTCAGATGGACCTCCCGTATATAAAAATTTTGAGTGGCTACCCTGGGGATTCTCGATTCGTGGCCTGCCTTTGAATATTGTTTCTAGCCCGAATTTTCTTGTATGGATGGAAAAGGGTTGGATATGGAATTGGATTCATACGTAAGTCACCCCCTAACAGACTCCATGTTTTGTTTGCAACTGTCTCGCTTTCTTTTCTTCTCCTTGCAGCGACCACGCCATAGAAGGTCACTTCAGGCTTAATTTCATACATCAGCGAACAAGTTGATTTGCTATAGCCCTTGTAGTGTATTGTATAGGGAAAGTCTCAAGAACGCGAAGAACTTTTCTATATAAACACTCGTTTTTATAAAAACGAGTGGAAATTGGAAAAAACATTAGAGACAGGAGACAAAGGAAATTTTTATGTCCATGCCTTTAGATTGGCTTTAAATACGCTTCAGAAGATTTCTTGCAGTCATTTACTTCCAATCGTTTAAAACGTGTTACTTTTGTCAAAGATATCACTCCCCTCCTGAGGTTCTAATTTTATTGTAGATTTGCACCTTTCTCAGAAACCAACTTTCTGAGCATTTGGGAGGGGCGGCCGCCCCAACAAAAGGTTATTTTTTCTCAGTTTATTCAACGTTACAATAGGTACTAAACAGCTCTTTAGCATTTGCTATTTGAAACAAAGCCCACAAAATGGAATGCTTTCAATTTAAAGTGTAAATTCTTGATTGAGCAAAGGTTAAAATCTGGCTGGCGAAGATGCGAAAAGCAAAACATGGCTAGCAAAGTACCCAGCTTGATAAATCTTTCAAAAAGTATGCCAAATTATCACTCATTAATATTTTATCTCTCAATTTTTCTAAATAAGGCAACTGGAAATTTGGACAATTTGCTAGAAGGCTCCAAGATGGTCAGCAAGAAGTTTTTACAAATCGTTTCTGCGACTCGTTTATTGAGATAAAAAATAAATTGCAGTGCCGTCGGAACAAAATTCATATTGGGGGAGGGGGGGCTGCCCATTGTATTCCTTCTCATTCCGTACACTGTTGCAAAGGAAACATAATCCAGCCACCCCAGACTCCCGGTTTCGACGGGCCCGAATAGGGTACCGAAGTGATGACGTCATAAAAATCTAATTTTTAGAATTTCTGAATTTTGATCCCAGAACCTAAAAGAGCATCATGAAATACCTCTAAAGATGCACAATCAGTTAAAGGCATCACGAATTGGCTTAGATATGGCCACATGAGCACAGGCTCTTCCCCATCAAACCTCTGTAAATTTAGTCTTGGTTCATAACTTCATGAACCAGGCCAGAATAACAGTAATCCGTTAGCAAACCTGAAATCTTTCATTGGCATTTGCGAAATATCTAGTTGATTTTGCATATTGAGAGGGATTTAATGCCGTTCTTTCAGATTATGTGGCCAAATTCAAGAAATTCAAAATATATTTTTGATGACGTCACACTTCGGTACTCCATTCAAAATAAATTGTTTTTATCAAAATTCTAAACAATATTTTAAATGACTAAGCTCAAAATTATTTGGTTCAGAAAACTTCCTTACATTGGATCAATGTATTGGCACAGAGTTGGACAGGACAAATGTGCTCCAACGCAGAAGCAAGTTAAGCACGGGATGTAATTGGTGGATAAACACTCGATGTCAAGAAGGAAGGTGGGCTGAAACACGTTGAGTATAATTTTTAACTCTAATCGAGTTTGAAATGACGAAGAATGACGCAAATCGAGGATGCTTAAAGGATGACAGTTCCCGACCATAATACCCTGTTTTCATCAAAGTTCCGGCAAGCATTACCTTGATTTGGAGCTGGCTGAAAGGCGAAATCATCTTCGGTTCCTGCGGATTTAATTTTTTTAAATAGGAGATACATGATATCCTCCTAAATCTCTACTTGTACACATAGCGAAACCTGAAAGCCGATTCAGTGGAGAAGAAGATAAGGTCATCTGCTGTACTTGATTTAACTTATATTGCCCTGGAGTGAACCTTTAATAGTGCAAGTGAATCAGAGAGTTATGGCCTAAGATTTTCTCAGAAACTGACAAGTTTCCTGTCGAGTTGCCGCCTAATTTTACCGTCATCTTTTCGCTGTCATTATGTCAGTGTTTTTCAAGAATGTTTTCCCATTTTTCTCGAAAAAAGAGAGGAAAAAGGAATGTTCAAATGTTATTAAAGGGGTTGACCCGAATGAAATTTGGGAGCTCGTCAACGAGATTGGAGATGGAACATTTGGCAAAGTGTACAAGGTTTGTATCACCTTTGACTGTCAGGTTATAATTTAATGCATAACTGCGGGAATTCACTTGTTTTATTTACCTAGTCATTGTAATTTTCTAGAAAGCCTGGGATTTTTAAATCTTTCTTCCCCAACTTGAAAGCTTATGGTGTATCTTATCTGCTTAGGGACCCAACGAATTACATTACTTTTCATGGAATTTGTCCCTGAGATTGTTCTATCGGCCACATTTTATCAGTACTTTTAATCATAGCCTCCTCGAATGTGAAAATTTGTTTCATCAGTTTTCTTTAGGTAATTTTAAGGAAAAAACGGGGAAAAAATATGAAGGAAATGAAATCTTCATCCTGGTTTGCTCCTTCCGATTTGTCTTTAAAATCTTAAAATGTTATGTCAATCAAAATTCCAATTATCGTTGGTCACAAAACAAAAGAGGCTAAATTTAGCATAAAAACCAGGGTTTGTAAGCTTGATTGCGTAATCATCAGGTATTGCTCAATAAAAGAGCCTTCGCTTTCAACAGAGAACACAAAGAAACCTGATTCAAACTGCACAACCATAGAAACAAATTACTGTTTATTTGTCTAATGGTCTCTAGCTAAGTCCTCATCCTTTTGTGATATTGTATTAATTCAGTTTGTTCTTTTCTCCCTTTATGTTTTTAACATAGCAAACAATCTTTTATAATCACTTTAGGTATTTCCATTTTGTGTGGTGTTTGATCATCAATTAGAAAAAGCATTTGCAACAAAGAGATAAATGTGTAACTCATTTTGTTTTGAATGGAAATAACAGTTTTTAACAAAGTTTAATGTCAACATGGTTTAATGTCAAAGTCTGTGCACAAATTTAACAGCTTTCAATTCAGTTTATAACCAGTGATTAGCCACATAAAAATCTTCAAATGGTTCAGTTATACAATTAACAAACAAATTAAACTTGAAGTTTGTTTTAAAGAATGGCCTTTTAGGCAGAAACTGCATTCAACTAAAATAAACACCAAAAGAAAATCATCTTAATGGAAGGTTTCTTGCATTTCTGCTTCCCAATGACAGCTTTTTGATAAAAACCCTTCAAATTTAGGCCGTATAGAACAATCATATTGTGTGAGTAAAATGATAAGATAAAAATTTGCTGTGAACTTTTAAGAATGGATCTTGAATAAGCAATACAGCTATCATTTTCAAAGTATGAACTAGTTTTCAAAGCCAAAGGCCTACACTTATTTTCAAACCGGAATTAAGGTTGGCAATAATCTTTCTCTAGCCTTGGTACTTAAAGGCCTGCCTGACCACAACAAAATATGTCTTGCCTTCAAGAGAAACAGCAATTGAAGATTACTAGAAATAACTTTTCATGACTTAGGTTTTGGCCAGCCAGCTAAATTGCTAGTTAAATTGTGAATAAAATGTAGGTCATTAACAAACAAATTATTATTACCCTTTTAAAACCTGATGATTTTAAGGACCGTATAATGTTCAGGTCCATACCCTGAATGGTCTTTTTCATAAAGTTTAATATTTGGTCTTGTTTATACAATTGAACAAATGACCAACCACACAAGCTCTATAACCCCCCCCCCCCCCCCTGACAACTTTTCAGTATATCTTTTTGAAAGTCAATTCTTCAAACCACGCCAAACTTCTTTAGCTTCCTTATTAGGGACCTGAAGTTAGCATGGCAAAGTGGAAGCATATTTATGGATCAATTTTAAACCATTAAAGGTCACTTAATTGATTTTCAGGCTATTCCAATACTATTTTCCAGGCACAGCGCAAAGGTGATGGTCTTTTAGCAGCTGCAAAAATAGTTCCCATTAATGATGAAGCAGAATTGGAAGATTTCATGGTTGAGATTGACATTTTGTCAGAATGCAAGAATAAACATGTTGTTGACATGTTCCAGGCTTATGTTCATGACAGTAAGCTTTGGGTATGTTATTATGGTTTGCCTGGGTCATTCTTTTTTTTGTAGAACGTCTTTAAGACAGTGTCAAGGGTTTTTAATCATAGTTGTTATATGCTAGTCTTTTCCACACTGTAAAGCAAGCATCTACGAAGTTTTCCAAACTGAAAACTATCTTTGCCCATTTGAGTCTTATGCCAATTGCAATCTCCCCAGTGTGGTGTAGAATACATAATCATGTTTAATGCGGTGAAATGTATACATAATGATATGAACTGTATTTCATAGTTTTTAAGTAAATTTTAGATCTTTAACATGTGTATCTATGTTACCTTGATATAATTTAATCATTTACCATTTACTCATATTTTGACAAGTCTCAAACTGAGTAAAAAGAAGCTATCAAATATTGAATGCTGCAAAAGATGGGATAGTAATAAAGCCAGGATAAGGAAACCAACAATTATCTCTTGTGGTTGTAGAGAGGAAATCCAATTAATAAAATAATGTTGAACTTTGAGTTGAGGTGGTATTGCATATTTGAACACAGCCCTCAACATTTTAATTGTTGTTCCTCTTAAAGAAGATATAAACAGGGGCAACATGACCTTTTTGCTTCATTTTTAAGTTAATGATATTGGCTGGAAATTTTTGTAAAATAATATATTTCAGGAATATCACAAATATGCAAAAATATGCATAAATATTCTGACTGCTTCTCATTTTCTGTTTGCATACATTCACTGTAACCTTTATTCTTTGCAAATTTTGGAAACTTCAATCTTTGCATTCTTTGTAACCTTTGCAAAGCATTTTATGTGACATTAGATGTTGCAAGATTAAGATGTATACAATAAGGGTATGAATTTTGCAGGCTAAATTTCAACAGATACATTTTCAGTTTTTTACTGTTCAGCTGGGTATAAATCTGAAAAATCTAATTGCTAGTAAATAATACTTTGCCATACTTTTGATTTTTTATTTAAATTAAACTTTAACTAGATGATGCTTGAATTTTGCCCTGGTGGTGCAATGGATGACATTGTTCTTGGTTAGTTAAGTTTTACTTTTTCAGCTATACTGCTTTAATCATAGCTATTACTGATGTCTGATGTTTACCAAGTATGTGAAGCTTTAAGTTAAACTGTTTTCTAACCCTTTAAGCCATTATTGACAACATTGTTTTGATAGTGCTGAAAAATTTAGGCCTGTAATTCTGAAGTTGGAGCTTCCATAGGACAGAAAATATTGTTTCAAAGCCTATTGTTTCATTGACAAAATTGGTTAGCTTGTATGCCACAATATAATTCCTATATTATACCGAGTATCCGCAACATTTAAACACACAATACTTTTATTACTTATTGATGGCATGGCATTGGGATAAAAAATTTTCTTTTTTAAAAATGATGAGTATCCTAAAATGAGTATAATAAGTGCATTTAAAGACAACATCATATTCTTCTTCCTGATATACCAAGTTATGTATTGAAACATGTATCAATGTTTCTACAACTTATCTTTGTTTTTTGGGGGGACAATGACACATATTGTGGTGTTATTTAAATTTGTTTCTTTTTTTTTGCACAATAGATTTGGAGCGAGGCCTTGATGAGGATGTCATAAGAGTCATCTGTAGACAAATGGTTGAGGTATGTTTCCTTTGAAATGATTTTTCATTTCTGAAAGTGTTGAGAATTTTTGTGTTGAAAATGAGAGGGGAAAACAAGTTTGTGGTGTTAGTGGTCAAACATCTAATCTATTACATCTGATATGATTTTGTTTCAAACCAAGAGTTGTCAACAGCCATTGTTATTGCATTCAGTCACTAACACCCTCTGATTGTGGTAAAGCATTCTGTCTTTCTCAGGTTACCAAGGTATTCATGGTATTATAGCATCATGGTATCATTTGTCTGTTTGAGAAATATTATGTGTTCTGGTATAAATTGCAGAACTGTAATCCATAGCATTTACCAATGACAGTAACACAGGCTGAATCACAGTCTCTTATCAGACATTATCCTCCATCTCTGATTGCTTAGCACCAACAATAGGTTCTGTTGCATGTTTTAAAATCGAGAAGCAGTTAGTAGATACTGTCATTTTGCTCTATGAGTCATCAAAGGAGTGGCTAGATGACAGTGTATTGTGCCTTTTGTGTCCCCTTGCAATGCTTCTTTTAACATTGAAGAATCAGGTGGCCATCTTCCTCGTTAATTGCTGTTATCATGGTTGTCGCAGATGCAAAACATTTGAGGGTGCTATGCATAGATCTTGCCGAATATTATTGCTTTATTGAGATGGAACTGCCTGATTGGAGCCTGGCTGCAGCCCTCCCACCCCCTTTATCTCCTGTGCCTATGGCTGTTCTGCTCAGTTCTGTCTTCTTTGAATCCCAAATAAAACAATCATCAATTCGAGCAATTAACAATAGCCTATTGTAGAATTCATCCAATAGAAGTTTAGTCCCTAGGAGATAACTGAATTTCTTGGGACATCATGTATTTAATGGTAGTCTTCAACAGCAATAAATATCCTTCCTTTTGTAAGTTGTTCATTTGTTTCCAGTCTTTCTGCGCTAAATAGAATTTATTGACTTAAAAACGAATGCATAAAGTGCTTTTCACATGTCGACAATTTATAAACATTTTTAGGCCCTTGCATTTCTCCATGAAAAAGGTGTTATCCACCGAGATTTAAAAGCTGGGAATGTTCTTCTTAAAGAAGATGGAAATATCAAATTGGGTATGAGACTTAACTTTTTAGATCGTATTTACTTTTTAATCGCATCTTGTCAATCGCAAAATTTTCCTGATCAAGACTCGATCAAAATTTAATCGCATCTTGATCTGCAGGTCGCATTCCTGTTCCCTTTTTATTGACAATATATTTTTGGTGTTATGTACCCAGTTCATTTTGTGTGAAGATCATTGACTTGTGCCGATTGTATTTTTGTTCTCATGATCTAAACACTAGCTCTTCTAACCTTTTAACTGATCAACTGATGAGAGCATCTTGTACCTCAATAAAAAAGCAAATGAACGTATCTTCTTTAAGAACTTTGTCCAAAATCTCAAAAACTTGGTAAGAAATGTTTGGCTACCAAAGAGATGAGTCGAGACTGAAACGAGATTTTTCGCCAAAACGCTTTCACTTAAAAGTTTTACTGTAAGGATCCAAGCTACTATGTGTCCTTTAAAGGAAAATGTCGTTGGTTAAACCTTTATCAAATCCTTCATTTGCATTTTAATGCTTAATACTAAAACGTTCTTGCTTGAATTTCTTGTAGCTGATTTTGGTGTATCAGCAAAGAACAAGCGCAACTCTCAGAGAAGGGACACGTTCATTGGAACTCCTTATTGGTTCGTCTCTATAATTGAGTTTTAAGGCTAAATGCGTCAGACATATAATTGAAATGTTTATAAATGCTGGATAGCAATTGATCGAGCTCATTTGTACTGTAAGTCATGGATTCATAGTTTAAAAATCCATCTCATTCTCATTAAACAAGGCCCTCTAGAGCAAGGTAAATCGATCTTGTTCTGACTAAGAAGAATAATTTGTACGTGCGTTCATTTTATCTCACGTTAAGAGTATAATTTTGAAATAATTCTCAGAAGTTTTTTTGTCTTTGCTGAACTTTATTATTTATAATGTTTTGTGGAAGGATTATTGAATGTTTCACTTGTTCTTTAGGATGGCGCCGGAGGTCGTCGTAACAGAAACATGCAAGGACAATCCTTACGATTACTCGGTATGATAGTCAAGTTCCGATTTTTGCCAGTAATTCAAATGTATGTTTTTGTGGTATTTTTTTGTGATGGGAACAGAGTGAAAATTTGGGCACACTGGAGAAACTGGGCGCAGAATCAAAAAGTGTTCATCCTTCCTCTCACCAATATGGCTAAACTTTTAGAACTTTGCAACTAAAACTTGAGTTTTTCGAAGTTTGCAAGCAGAGAAACGGGCTAAACTTTTCTTAACCAATGCATTGTTTCTTCAGGCCGATATCTGGAGTCTTGGAATCACTTTGATAGAACTTGCTGAGATGCAGCCTCCTTACCATGAGATGCACCCAATGCGAGTCTTATTCAAAATAACGAAATCCGATCCTCCTTCGCTGAGTAATAAAGGAAACTGGTAAGAAGCGAATTGGCGGTTTTTCCTTTCATTCATAATAACCCTAATAGAATGTTATTTGTAATTTTTAAAAATGTTTTTAAGAGCAACTAATTTCTTTATTTTTCAAACAGAAGTATTGCATTAGCCTGTAGCTTGTTTTTTATCAAATTCCTTCGTTCAGGTCTGCCGAATTCCATGATTTTATCAAAGACTGCCTTCTAAAGGATCCCACCGTCAGGTCTTCGGCCAAAACATTGTTAGAGGTTTGTTTTATCTCTTGCTTTTATTCCTTTTTAACCAACAAGTATCCAATATTATTAAAAATATTCTTAGCAGTACTGCGTGCCCATAGAAAAATAACCACTGGAGTCAAAGAGAGAAAACGAACTCCTTCTGTCTACACAATGGTGGTTTTTTTGTTTGTATGCAGATCGATTCCAAAATTGCTAGATAAAAACGACCTGGTTCTGCCAATTTTATGGGACATGTCGTCATTATAGACTTTGACACATTCTGGGTTGTCTAAAAGATGTTGACCGATGGCAGAATGACTCGTGTTAACGATGTTTTTAGACCTACGATATCGAGGAGGCTATTATCTAGGAGCATGTGAACCAATATTAAATTTTACTTGTTCAAATTGCACACAAGAATAACATTTACTTTGAAGCCTATGTTGTCTTTGACTCCCAGAGCCATTTCTCCCAGGATAATGTATTCAAATATCAATTCTATGTCATCATTTTAACCACTCGTTTTAATTCATTGTTTGCTTGTTCTCTGCCTTTTACATCATATATAGTCTTGACGCAACTAGAATGTTGTAAAGTATAACATTTTCTTCACAAAGGTGATTTCCACAAGGAACAATATGGTCTAGTGACCTGACTCTCACATAAAACAACTAACTTACAACCTGATTGTTTCACGAATCAGCATTAATGATACTGTTTTTATTTTCCAGCACCCTTTTATTCGAGAAATTTCAGACAATCAGCCGTTAGTGGACTTGTATCGTTTAGTGAAAAGTGAAGTTGTCGAGGTGCTTGAAGATTTACCGGAAGACAAAGATGTGAGTATTATATGCAGCAATCTTTCACATTAATGTTTTTAACAACTGTGTACAGAGCAGTATGCTGCTTCATAGCTAAGACATACAGTGGCCTTTTTTGCGCTGCAGTCTCTAAAAGGCCGTTTTTCTCCCAATAAATCATCGAAAAAACTAGCGGTACCACGATATTTTGCAAATATTATAGATGCTTTCTGACATAATCTTTGACGCCACAAAATCAACACACTATGCCGGTATATGTAACAAGTGTGCTGAAAAAGTAGTTTGGCTGAGAAACGAGAAATATCATTTGACAGACACGTGACCAGTATTTGCTTCCAATAAATGGATATCACTATCCTTTGTTCTTTCTCTTTATTTGACTTTCTTCTTGTAATTTGATTAGCAAAACCATATCGCTGAATGGCTGAGGATGCTCTTCCAAAGTTTGCAAGTAAATAACCAAAAAAACTCAGTTTGTTCTTTACTATTTTATATTTTAGCTCTTCAGTCTAAGTTTGTCGTAATGATTTACATAGTTTATGTTGGTGTGTTATTCTTGTGAAAGGGCAAAGAAGCGAATGAAAAGAATATCACCAAATCGCTGTCATCGGACACTCTGAACAGCATAGCTACAGAAGACGACAGTAGCTCCAGTCAGAAGGACGACTCTTCCGTTAGAGACAGTGATAGTGGGATTCCCCCCATGCCTCTGCGAAGGATCAAGGAGATGAGTGAGTACGATGATTTGGATGAAAACACGGACATCACCAAAGCAAAGTCGAAGGAACCGGTGGCTGGGGCTAAATCGACCGCTGAACTTGTGGGATTTAAGGCTAGTGCGGAGGCGCAAATGCAGATGATTGAAAAAGAGGATGCTGTCAGAAACGACTTGCCTTCGCTGCAGAAACGAGGCGAGGTCCCAGTGCAAAATGTTGAAGCTGAAGGAGCAGAGGACGAAGAGACAAAACCAAGCCTGCCATTTGATGCAGAAGAAAGAGACAAATACTCTTCACGTTTAGATGATGCTCTGGCCAGGCTGGAAGAGCTGGGAGAAGCAAGCCCAGGGGCAGCACGGGATGAACAGAAAAAGAGAGGAAGAAAGAGGTCAGGAAAGGCAGAGGAGGAAATGAAGCCGAAAAATGAAGAAATGGAGAAGACCGGCACGGTTGCTAGTGAAAGCAAAGGGGAGACAGGGAAGGAAAACACAGGCAAGGATGTTCTAGGATTAAAAGCAGAACTTGACAAGTTAGGGTTGAATGAAAAAGGAAAGGATAGTCGAAAGAAGGACGAAAATGAAGACGATAAATCTCTCTCAGAGTCTGAGCCGGGTAGCACTGTTACGAGCCCTAAAAAGGTATTATATTGTTTCCTTGCGTTTTGTCTTGTACAATTTCATTCTTCAACGTGATTCATCCTCTAAAATACCGGACACATGTCGAAAAGCTCTTTTACTGGTTTTCTGGTACATGGTTCATGTTGAAACTCTTGTTCATGTTGAAAACTCTGGTATATGTTGTAAACTACTTTTTACCGGAAACACGTTGTTGAGTTCAGCTTTTTATAAATTGAAGTCGTTGAACCAGTTTAGATTGTCGTAATTATAGTTGTTATTCTTTTAAATTTGTTATTTAAAGTGCTATTGAGGAAATCCAATCTGAAACCAATTATGTATTTTCAGGACCAGAGTTCTATTCTGGGTTTCACTGCTTTTTTGTGATTTCGACTTTCATAGATTGTAATACTTTGTAAAACGTTTCTTAATGAACAGCAACGTTTGATATAAAAATCTCAGAGTTTTCTGTTTATGATTAGCGGGGCAGCTCTCTTGTCTTTGCACTTAAAGCTTGTGTAATGTGTTTTTCAGGGTGAATCACAGCAGTACAAAACTTTGACAAGAGTTCGCAAATATGAAGTGAATGGAAAGGTTGTCACGGAAACGACATCAAGAATCGTTGACGTCAGCTCAGAGGACTTCAGAGCCGCGGTCAGAAGAGAGCAGCTTTTGAGGTATTCAAATCTCTAATTGCAATTCTGTTTTTGTATGCTCTCACAAATTGGTAACTCTTTATGTACCCCTACAAGTTGGCGACTAAGAGTTACCTAGTCTTAGAGTCTTTCTGCCTAGCCGTAATATGAATTAGAATTTCAGCAAAGCAGAAGAAATTGGAATCATTTTGCTTGCCAACTCAAAAGCGTTATCCAACGTCCAGACCGTTTTAATGCAGTAGAGAAAGGTGCAGGCTAGACGGGGATGGTGCTAGAGACAAACTTTCAAGGTGTTGATATTTGTTGCTGCCATAACTCCTGACGATAATTTAACCAACAACTTGCAGAAAATATAAAACTGTGTTGTTGGGGAAGCCGATCGAGCTTGGCTGCATGGGGCGGGTGGGGTTCTGAAGCCAAGCTCCATTTAAACGCAAGTATCCTCTCTAGCCAGTGGCAAATGGGTACTTGGTTGCAATGCTAAGGAAGCTAAAGGCAGCGAGTAGAGGAAAGGGCCGTACGACCTTTTCATGCTGTCTGTAAAGGAAATGTTCTTGATTTTATTAATTTTAATTCTATTTCTATAAATAACCTTAGCTTATATCAACATATCTGTTTCCTAAAGAACACATTTACTGGTGCAACGTTAGTGTAAATTCATCCTGGTACACCTGTATTTGATACTTTGGTGTATGATACTTCCATGTGAGACTTGCGTTAATGTTCTTCTCAGTAAAAGTTTTCCCTTCGCATAGCACAACTGAAATCAATAAACTCATGTCTTTCCCATTATTAAAAGACCTTTCTCCGGTGCAAGGCAACTTTTCCATACTAGTGAATTGATTTTAATTGCAGAAAGCAAGGTCTTAATGAAATGAAAATTTTACGGAGAGATGAGCAAAAGCAAGGTCACGATTTGATGGCGAAGATAAAGTCGGAGTGGGATTTAATGGAGGAAAAGTTCAGGCAAGGAGAAGAGGTAAGCATCCCTTTGTGTCACACGTTTTTACCGTTCCTTAGATAGCCTCGAAAAACAAACTCAGGTTTGGCGAATTGAAAACAATTTGTTTCGTTATCACAGAAAAGAGAAAAGGTTTTTCCAAAATTTTCTGTTCTATGTCATCATCATTTGTTCATCACGTGACTTTTTATATATTTAGTCTTATTCTACACCATGTACACAGAACTTTCTGTGTCTGAAACAAAATAACTAGCAAAAGAAGAAATAATGAGAAATGTTGCCTTGAAGTAATACAATGAGATTTAGTGGTTTTATTTTTGCAAAGAATGGAACAGAAATAAATATATTGGTTTAACCCCTCTAAAGAACATCTGATTTTTTTAAAAAGAAAACATTTGGGCGATTTGTCTGCCTCTAGTGCAGGTGTAATTCTATAAAATGAAGTATTAAAGTTTATGTTAGACGATGAAAATATATAACAACAATGAAATAACAATGATTTAGGAACAGTGATGACATTTTTAGCCTAGACCTTCAACCAGGCCCAAGTTGGATGGTTAGTGTTTCTTTTTCTCAATATTTAACTAGCACTGATTACTCTGTAGCAGCTTTTTAATTTAATTGATTTTGGGATTTTTTTATCTTGAAACATTCTAGGAGCTTAAGAAAGTATATGAAACGAAATTGGAGATGACAGGCAAACTGCAAAAGAGGGACATCGAGAAACTGGAGGTTCAGCAACAGCAGGAGCTGAAGGTTTTAGAGAAAAAGTTGAAAGTTGAGCAGGTAAAGTACTTTTGCTCGAGATTTTGTTTATTTAAGGGTTATCTGATGCAAGATTCATTAATATTGCTCAAGACCTGATAGAAACGGAACTCAGCCTGTTAGTAAAGGCACAGGACGGCAAGGTGTTATGTTAATTTACTTGTTTCTGAAATATATGGTGTACTTGTTCACAGGAAAAGTCGTACAAAGAGTTCAAAGAATCGCTCAAAGAAGAACAGAAGGCGCTTAAAAAAGAGGTATCTCCACGTAGCTTTTATCATTTCTGTTATGCATAAAATGTTATAGAAAATACAGTTGCTGTCTGTCGGCGAACAAGAAAGATTTTGATTTCTAGCACTTGCTTTCTTCTTAGAATCTTTTAGTGAACTAAACGCTGAGTAATATCCTGTCGAAGTGTCAAGGAAAACAGTTTTGTGCAGACTTCCTCGTGGTTTGAGAGAAAATTTTAATTTATAGTCCTGTGAAGATAATGAAATTTCAAAACAGTCAGTTATACCATGAATCAGTGCCAAGATAGTTGTTTCAAATTTTTTGATAAATCAGCACATTTTAGCACTGACGCTGCAAGAATTCAATGAATCTAAAAGCATGATGTTTTTACGGACTGACTTGAATTGAATTTGAATTGAAATAATTCTGCTGAAAACCATCACCCCATTTTGCTAGCTGGTTGTAGATTCAAATGTACAAATTAGTTGCCAGACTTCTTTCGTCACATTTAAAAATTCCTTTTTGCAACAAGAAAACGCACCGCCAAATCAGGATCTTGTTACAAAGTTACTTTGCTTATCAAATTTATCCTCGAGTTATATGCATTGAAATACAAACAAAATTATGGTTTTATTATTTTTCCAATTTCAGACAGATAAAATGCCCAAAGCTGTTCGAAAAGAAGAGTTCAGACGCAGAAAAGAGCTGTTGGATTATTCGCACCAAAATGTTGTATGTCTCTCTTTTGTTTAGTTTGTTTTATGTATTAAATAATCACAAACCAACAGCCTTTCTGATCATTGGGTTAATTACCTGACTGGAGGATAGGAGACACGAGTGTGCTATGTTTAATTCTGTTTTTAAAAGAGTTTCTACTTCTAAATGATTTCAACAAGCTCTAGAATAATCTAGTTAAAAAATTATTTAAGGCATATAACTGTTTGTCATACTGTGTGAAATTGTGATGATTCTACTCGAATTTCTAGGTTGTATTCAAGCGTCCCGGGTTTTATTTCATTTCCATTTCATTTTTCATTATTTCGGCACGGTAGCCCCTCAGTCTAAAGGTGAACCTTCAAAAAATAAGCTTGTATTTTAAGTTTAAAGAAGTTAGATATTTTGTTTGGTCTCAAAGAAATCTTGTAAGTGTCAGTTACATATTAGCAGGAGTTTTTGATACGAATTCTGTCTATGAGGATAATGTTTCACTCCCATGGCCATTTTGCGGCATAATTTGTAGCCAATGTGGTTGGATTTATTCCATTATTTTTCAGGAACGTGAATTCAAAGCAAGGCAAGCATTGGACTTTGAAACTTTCCACAGGGAGAAAACTGAAGAAAGAACTCGCAAAATATTTGAAATGGAGATGGGATTTTTGGAAATAAAACATAATCTCCTCAGAAGTATGTTTGATAATGTAAATTATTAAGAAAAAATGTTTCTTTGAAAATGACAGGCGATGATTTTGTTGCTATCGGAAATCCTTTACAAATGTAGCAAAATTTAATAGTGGATGCCCAAAGCGAAGTTAAATTCGTTGAAGTGAATTGCAGACTTTTTCCTCTGATGATAAAGTGCCTGTCAAATGCAAGCCTGTGAAAGTCGTTTTATTTCTTTAAGACTGGAAATCGGATGAATGGGAACTGGAGCAAGAACATATCCACCGCAAGCATCAACTCACAAAAACGCAGCTACAAGAGACATTTTATCTTCAACGAACGCAAATGGCTGCAAGGCACAAAAAGGTGATTTTGCTCTTCAAAATTGTTTGCAGCATGATTTTACCCCCTGTGGAAAGAGAGTTTTTAAAAGCAGATGAAATTTTTCGATTCTTTTTTCATTATTTTTAGTACATTAGAGCTTTGTCAAGACATACGATCTTTTCGGATAGCCAAAGCAGCCCCCCCCCCCTCCCTCCAAAAAATATATGAGCAGGTTTATTTTTAATGGGATGTAGAAACAACGGATTTGTTGGGAAGACGAACAAGATAGAGTTTTAAATTGGGGAGGCAGCCCCCTGTCCTGGAGTGAAAGAGCATGCGCATTGAGCTGAAATACCTTTGCACAAATGAGTCGATGAGAATCTCTTCTGCACTGTTGTTTCATAGGCTTGAGTGCTTTTTAGCTTAGATTTTATAATCAGCAGCACAGAAAACTGTTTTTACGCTTTTTTTTCACCAGTGAAGTGTAAACTATAAGGTTAAAAGATTCGCTTTTGCGAAACCGAAGTATTTGCATGTGTAGTCAATCATTTACCTGTTTTAGTTTCAGTTTCATATTTTAAGTTCTCAACATACAAATTATTATTAAAAGGTAACATAAACAAATGATTAAACTAAACTATAATAAAAGTAGCAATATTACAGAAAATGAAAGCATTTATATGATAAATTAAAACATCAAAGTACGAAACTATATACATAACCCTGAAATAGACTTAACAAGACAATACAATAGAAAACAATACAATATAATGCAATGTATAAATACAAATTCAGGAACAAAATAAATTAATTGTATGAAGGGAATTACTTAAAGGAGGAGATCTCTCAATAAATAAACTAATCGAGAAGAGACCCCTTCCCCCCTCCTCCCCTCTTTAAATGTATAAATTTCTTCCCCAAAGTGATTCCACAAGGAACAATATGGTCAGTGACGCTGACTTCCTCACATAAAACAACTAACTACAACAATGATGTTGTCACGATTCATGCATTAATGATACTGTGTATTTTCACCCTTTATTCGAGAATTTCAGAACAATAGCCGTTAGTTCGACTTGTATCGCTTTAGTGAAAAAGTGAAGTGTCGAGGTCTTGAGATTTACCGGAAGAAAAGATGTGAGTATATATCACAATCTTTCACAAATGTTTTTAACAACTGTGTCAGAGCATATCCTGCTTCATAGCTAGAAATACAGTGGCTTTTTGCGCGCAGTCCTCTAACAGGCGATTTTTCTCCCAATAAATCATCGAAAAAACTAGCGTCCACGATTTTGCAAAATATTATAGATGCCTTCTGACATATCTTGACGCCAACAAAATCAACACACTATGCGGTATAAATGTAACAAGTGGCTGAAAAAGTAGTTTGGCTGAGAAAACGAGAAATATCATTTGACAACACGTGACCAAGTATTGCTTCAAATCAATGATTCACTATCCTTTGGTTTCTCTCTCTCTTTATTTGAGCTTTCTCTTGTATTTGATTAGCAAAACATAGTCGCTGAATGGCTGAGGATCTACTTCCAAAGTTTGCAAGCTAATGAACCCAAAAAAAACTCAGTTTGGTTCTTTACTAATTTTAAAATATTTTTGCTTTCAGTCTAATTTGTCGTAATGATTATTACTAGCTTAATGTGTGTTATCCTTGTGAAAGGGCAAAGAAGCGAATGAAAAGATATCACGCAAATCGCTTGGTCATCGGACACTCTGAACAGCATAAGCTCAGAACGACGACGTAGCTCCCGTCAGAAGGACGAACCATCCGTTAGAGACAGTGATAGTGAATTACCCCATCCTCGCGAAGGATCAAGGAGATGAGTGAGTACGATATTGGATGAAAACACACGGACACACCTAAAGCCAAGTCGAAGGAACCGGTGGCTGGGGCTAAATTCCGACCGCTAACTTGGTGGGATTTAAGGCTAGTGCGGAGGCGCAAATGAAGATGATGAAAAGAGGATGCTGTCAGAACGACTTGCCTTGCTGCGTACACGATGCGAGTCCCAGTGCAAAACATGATTATAGCTGAAGGAGAGCAGAGGACGGAGAGACCAAAAACCATAGCACTGCCATTGATGCAGAAAGAAAGAAGATCAAAACCTACTTCACGTTTAGCATGAATGCTCTGCCCAGGCAGGCTGGAAGAGTGGAGAAGCAATGCTCCAGGGCAGCAAGGGATGAAGGCAGAAAAGAAGGAAAAGAGTCAGAAAGCTAGATGGAGTGATAAATGAAAGGCCGAAAAATAAGAATGTGGAGAAGGGCACGGTTGCTAGTGTAAAAAAGGGGAACACGGAAGCGAAAACCTGTCAGGAGTGTCTAGGATTGAAAAGCAGAACTTTGAACAAGTTTATGGGTTGAATGGAAAAAGGATAAGGATAGACCGAAAGAAGGACGAAAATGAAGCCGATAAATTTCTCTTCAGAGTCTGAAGCCGACAGGGTAGCACTGTTACGAGCCCTAATAAGGTAATATATAATTAGTTATCCTTGCTTTTTGTCTTGTATCATTTCATTTCTTCAACGTGAATCATCCTTCTAAAATACTCGGAACACTGTCGTAAAAAGCACTCTTTACTGGTTCTGGTACATGGTTCATGTTGAAACGTCTATTTCAATGTTGATAAACTCGGTAAGTTGTAAAGCTACTTTTACCGGAAACACAAGTTGATAGATTTCAGCTTTTTAATAAATTGAAGTACCGTTAAGAACCCAGTTTAGTCTTGTCGTTACAATATAGTTGTTTATTTATCTTTAAATTTGTTATTAAAGCTGCATTATTGATGAAAATACCATACTGAACCAAGTTTATGTATTTTACAGCAATCCAGAGTGTATTCTGGTCTCATTCACTGCTTTTTTCGTGATATAGATCTGACTTGCTATTTACATAGCGTTCATACTTATGTGTAAACACGTTTGATAATGACTTGATATAAAATCTTCAGAGCTTGTCTGTTATGATTTAATAAGACGGATTGGCAAGCTCTCTTGTCTTGCAACTAAGAGCTTGTTGTAATGTGTATTTTCCAGGAATACAACATGTTACAAAACTCTTTGACAAGGTTCGCAAAATATAGAATGGTGAATTGGAAAGGTTGTTAGCGGAAACACATTCAAAATCGTTGACGTCAGCTCAGAGGACTTCAGAGCCGCAGTCAGAAGAGAGTCACTTTTGACGGTCATTGAAAATCTCTACATTGCAATTTCTGTATTTTGTATGCTGCTCACAAATGGTAAATCTTTATGACACCATTACACAATGTGCGGTGCCACTAAAGATGTTACACTAGTTTGTAAGTCTTTCGGACCTAGCCGTATAATGAATAGAGTCAGGCAAAGCAGAAGAAATTGTATAATCATTATTGCTTGCCAACTCAAAAGCCGTTATACCATGTCCAGTACCGGTTTTAAGTGCAGTAGAGAAAGCGTGCAGGCTGAGACGGGAAATGGTGTAGAGACAAATACTTCAAGGTGTTTGAGAGTTTGTTGCTCGCCATAGATCCTAGCGATAATTTAACCAAAACTTGTCAGAAAATAATAAAACTTGTTGTTGGGGAAGCCGATCGGCGTTGGCTGCTATGAGGTCGGGGTTGGGTTACTAGAAGCAACTCCAATTTAACAGCAAGATATCCCTATCAGCCAAGAGGCAAAATGGCGTACTTGGTTGCCAAATGCTAAGGAATGCTGAAAGGCAGCGAGTTGAGAGGAAGGCCAGTACGACTTTTCTTGCCGTCTGTAAAGGAAATGTTCTATGAATTTATAATTAAATTCATTTCTATAAAATAACCATTAGCTTTATATCAACATAGTTTTTCCTAAAAACACATTACTGGTGCAACGTTAGTGTATCATTCCTGTTACAACCTGGTATTTGATACTTTGGTGTATGATATCTTCCATGTGAGACTTCGTTAATGTTACTTCTACGAGTAAAAGTTTCCCTTTCGCATAGCACAACTGAAATCTCAATAAACCATAGTCTTCTTTCCATTATTAAACGACCTTTCTCCGGTGCAAGCGAACTTTATCCCATACTAGGAATTGATTTTAATTGCAGAAGACAAGGTCTTAATAAGGAAAATTTTACCGGAGAGATTGAGCAAAAGCAAGGTCACGATTTGATGGCGAAGTAAAGTCGGAGTGGGGTTTACATGAGGAAAAGTTCATGGCAAGAGAGAGGATAACATTCCTTTGTGTCACACCGTTTTTACCGTTTCTTAGATGCCTCGAAAAACAAAACTCAGGGTTTGGCGAATTTGAAAACAATATGTGTTCAGTATCACAGAAAAGAGAAAGTGTTTTTCCAAAATTTGCTGTTCTATCCATTCATCATTGTGTTCATTATCACGTGAACGTTCTTATATATTTCTAGTCTTATTCTAGCACCATTAACAGAATTTCTGGTCTGAAAAAATAACTAAGCAATAGAAGAAATAATGAGAAATTTGCCTTGAAGTAATACAATAGATTAGTTTGGTTGTTATTTGCAAATGACATGGCAACAGAAAATAAATGATACTTGTTTAACCCCCTAAAGAACATTCCTGATTTTTTTGAAAAAGAGAACATTTTGTCGGAACTTTGTCTGCCTACTGTGCAGGTTGATTATTCTTTATACAAATGAATACTAAAAGTTTAATGTTTAGATACTGAAAATTATATAAACAACAATGAAATAACAGATGATTATAGAACAGTGAATGACATTTTAGACCTAGAGCTCAAACCCAGCCCAGTGGCAATGGTAGTGATTGTTCTTTTTCTGAACAAAGTTAATAGCACTGATTACTCGCTAGCACGCTTTTAATTTAATTGATTTTGGATTCTTTATCTGATTAACGATCTTAGGAGCTTAAGAAAGTATATGAAACGAAAATTGGAGAATGATACCGCAAACGCAAAAGGGACAAGTCGGAAACTGGCAGGTTCAGCAACAGCAGAAGGTGATAGGTTTTAGAGAAATGTTTGAAAGGACATAGTCAAGACTCTTGTTGCTCGAGATTTTGGGTTTATTTTAAGTGG